AGTTTAAAAAAAAATATCCAACGATTTACAGACTTCTCTTTCCCAATGTTAGTCAATGGGAAAAAGTCATTCCGGGCCCAGCGACTGATACGGAAGTGTAGTACCACCGTTTGGCCACAACGAATATTTTCCTCAGAGTCTGGCGCACTTCCTGGGGGCTTGGGACAGCCCCACTGTTAGCAGTTAGCAGTTAGCTCAAATGTAGCTACTGCCCCAACCTCCTCAAAGGATCAACACACTTTCTTAAGCTCCTGGTACACAGCGCCCCAACAGTCCACCATGACTTAAAATCTAATTGTTAATCTGACAAAAGTTCTGGACCCGAGTAATGGGAAAACAAAAGAGCTGAGTCATCTTTCAAGGAGAGCAATATGTCGTTTCATACTTTCGCTCAATTGCCCTATCACTGTGAAACCCATTTTTACACGATTTCTAATGTTCTTCTAGTTCCTCCTGCTTCTGAGTTCTTCATCACTGCCTCGCCTCCCCCTCTCTCCTCTCCATACCAGTGGGAATCCCGGCTGTGATGACAGAAGCTGATGCTGCAGTAAAGTCCTGACTCTACTGCTGAGGCTTTTATACGGGATGCTTTAGCGCCCTTGATGTGTCAGACAATTAACTAAAAGCTGCAGAGAGATGGAAAGGTCTTCAAATTAATATTCTGAATGGAGGTTTTCCCTTCTTGTCTGATACAAGGCCACAGTTTCCTGCAAGCATTTGTATTGTCCAATTTGATTTTGATCCATCTTCCCAAATATGGACCATATGGTGTTCAGCCTCTCCCTTCCTCAGCTGTGACCTCCCGTCACACTGCGTTACGACGACTAAATCCCCGGACTGGGGACGTCAGCACAACAACATTAACAGCTGACCTTCTCCTCTCCGTACATGTGCAGACTGCAGATATGCAGGGACTGGGGGGGAAATGTTTGCAGCATGCATGTTTTATTTAAAAAGAAACCTTTAGAAGAAAGGTACATTCAAAGCATTTAGTTGGAGATGTGTATGGGTTTAAAATGCATACTGCGAATGTTTTTTTTTCCAAAGTGTCTGCTTTTAACATTGTGCCCTGTTTGTCAATATGTGCTCTTAAAGCCACTGAATACACATCGGTATACAGATGCTTTTTACAGGAAAACACATTGACATTCATGCATCTACTGTACAGCAGCACTGCAGGTACATTATGCTGCAGCTTTAGAATACAGTTAATATTACATTCCATTTCCTCAGGGAAACATGAGGTCGAAGTATTATCGAATCTTGCCTCCTGCTGGTAATTGTGTAAATGACAACTCGAGACATTTAAATCATCCTCGCTCTACGCAGATATTATTATATTCCATTATGGAGGTACATTTGCAAATATAATACATGCAGGACTGGGAGGTCAACAAGTCTGAATATTTGTCGTCGGGTTGGAAAAACACACGTTGCAGCTGACAGCAGGTTGCTCTGCTCGTGTTAAAACCTGTGTGTGTGTGTGTGTGTGTGTGTGTGTGTGTGTGTGTGTGTGTGTGTGTGTGTGTGTGTGTGTGTGTGTGTGTGTGTGTGTGTGTGTGTGTGTGTGTGTGTGTGTGTGTGTGTGTGTGTGTGTGTGTGTGTGTGTGTGTGTGTGTGTGTGTGTGTGTGTGTGTGTGTGTGTGTGTGTGTGTGTGTGTGTGTGTGTGCTCACCTGAATGCAATCTAAACAACTGTCACCGAGGAAAGGAAATGAGAAACACTCCTTTGCATTGTTAGCATGTTTGGATTTCTTGTGTTTGTCTGAGTGTGTGAAAGAGCAGCATCAGGCTTGACTAATTGCTAACCTGCTCATTAGTGTGTGTGTGTTAGTGTGGGTATGTGTGTGATCATTATCCCCCTCTAGTTAAAATCACTGAGCCAGTAAATCTGTCCTTGTTGTCAGAGAGGAAAGGAATCCAGAGACTGTCAGTGATTTACTTTGAACTTCGGGGAAAAAAAGTCCTGTATTTGCACACAGTGTTTCAGAACTAAATTAGGTTAAATCAACATACAGACACAGAACTATTGTGGCTGTGCTAACACAAACACTGTCGTTCTGCAAAAGCTATGCACACACTCACAAAGCCAAAGTCAACAGATATTGACATAACTAAACCCCCTTGACTCAAAGTTGTTCACCTATACGTGTTGCTGGTGGCTGCTGAGTTTGGTTGGTCTACCACTTTTAGTCGGCTATTCCTTTAAAGGGGCCCTATAATGCCGATTTTAAGGTTGATAATTGTAATTTGTTCTTCTACTGTACTCTTGTTTTCATTTGATGAATAATTATAATCCTGCCAAGCCATGAGAGCAAAGGTCTGTGAGGTTGAAAAGGTCAGAATCAATTCATTCATTTATCTTTTTTTAATGCAAAGATCTATAAATGTGTTTTTTTTTTTCTGCAGTCCAACCTGCTATCAGAAGTGAATTTATGAGAGAAGACAGATATGTAGGTGAAGAGAGAGAGTCAAAGGACCAGATAGTCAGGTCTCATTCTTCAGGCTAACGCCCTCCTTCTCCTCCCTCTGTCCTTCCACTTCCCCCCCCCCTCATTGTCACTCTGCTCCTGCCTGAAAGCAGGTGGTTGTCCTCCTGTTAGCAAGGGGGATGTGGAAGAGAAAGCTGCAAATCAACGGGACTAGATCCTCTCGTAGGAACAGAAAGGCTCTGTAAGTCCAGGGAGAACTTTAAGGTTCCTTTTATTTGGATTAAATGATAGGTGTCTGTGTCAGGATACAATCAGAGGGGATGTCTGTGTTGTTGAGGAAGTGAGGTGAGACAGACTTTGTTGGTTGGTGTTCAGAAAGAAAAGGACAGAGCTGTGATTCAGATTCACGATCGTATTGTCTTTAAAAACCAGCTCAAATAAGCTTGTAAACTCCTGCTGAGGTAGGTTTGGATTATAAGCATCTGGATAACACACATGCACTCTTGCAAATAATTGATTTTAATTACATTTCTTGATTGGTTCTATTTCTACATGTCAGCCTATATAAGGGGTATATATATATCAAGACTAATGGCTGATTATTAGGATATATACAGTATGTGTAAAATATCTATTAATATGATTTTATACTGGTTGTTCTTAATATTAATATTGGACATACTTTTTTGAATATCCTTAAAGCTGCTGGGGTCTCAATTTTTACCCTTGTGAAAAATGTTACTTCTTCTTTTACCTAAACTATGTTTACCTCCAGGGCTGAAGTAGTTTATCTCAGGTGATTTCCTTTCTTGTGTGTCAGTTTGACTATTTTCTAGGCTGTTGACATGCCAATACAAATCAGCTTTTTAGTGCAAAGACGATAAATAGATGCTTTGTTGAAATAGAGTTAGTGACGGTGTATTCGTGGACATGTTTGGGGAATATTTTGAGCTGTTTTAGGGTGTTAGCAGGACGGGCTATAAATCACTGTGTTGGTATGCCGATGCTGTTTATCTCTGGAATCAGTGCTTGAAACACATGTTTTTTTGCCATCGATCTCATTTTTCTTCAAACCACATTGCTTTCTGTGTCTTCAAATGCACAAGCAATAAAGAGAAGCTAAATGTTAAGATGCTTTCAGCCTGATGTATCATATCGATGTGTATTGAGCTGAGCAAAGACAGAGAAGATCACTCAGCGGTAGAAGATCTTAATGACAGTCATGCTGGGCAATAGTTCCATTTGATATAGATATCATGATATGAGAGACATGCTTTTAGATGATTAATATTAGGTTATGGCACAAGTGTTGTCTTTGCATTACAGTAAGTTGATATTATTTAAGTATTTTTCTTTACATAGATAATATATCCACATTAACTGAGGATTTTTCATTTAAAAAACCCTTTGTGTAAATATGTTATGAAAGCATCAATAGTCAACCCTACAATATGATCCCAACGTCCATATTGAGGTATTTAATATATACCTAATATATCCCAGTGCTAAGTGCTAAAATCTAAATGTTAGATCAAGCATTGGTGCTTCCACACACCTCTCCCTCTGTATGCTGGTCTTAAGACTCGTAGACAATATATTCAATAGTGTTGTGATTTATTTTGTTAAATGGCTTGGTGAAACTGATGATCTAACAACTCAAAGAAGATGCAACAAAAATGTTCCTTTTTTTGTTTGTTTTAGCTCTTTACATAATCATATTTACAATGTTGGCTTCTTTTTTTTGTCTGTATCTACATCGTTCAAAGACCATTTAACCAAATAAAATACAATCACAGACAGAAAATAAAATCACCTCAGCTGGAAGTATTTATTATAATATTTACAGTAGAGTTACAGAGGTCCACATTCAAAAAGGATGAATCATATTACAAAAAAGGGTCACTTATTAAAGGATAAGGCTGATTGTGTTTCATATCTTATTGTTAATACATTCTAACAATGAATGGTTCAACTCAAACTTATTTTGTGTGTTTTCAATCCTGATAAATCTCCTCTGTGCCATAGAGCACCATTATACAGACTCACAGAGATGCTAGCTAGCCTCAGACTCTTGTGTCATCATATTTATTTTTAATAACATTTTCTGGAAATTAATCAACAAGCTTTTTCATATTTCCATCTAATTAGAGAAACAGCTTTATCATACTTAAGCAAGTAATTAAATGATCTGGCAGTTATTATGTTGTGCGCTGATATATGTTTCTGCATCGTTGTGTGCACTGCAGTGGGACTATCCTTCATGTGGTGGAGTTAACCTTAACTATCTTTCGTGTTGAGCCTGTGGAGACTGTATTGTGTTGCCTTCAGAGTCATTTCACTTTGTGAAACAGCTGCTATTGTAAAGTCGAGATCATTTGATTTTGACTGAGCGACATGCAAGTTCAGATTTCCATCCTCAGACTTTGTAGTCTTTCCTTTGAATTAGCTTGAGCCATTTGTAACAGATAGAAAAAGAAGCATTTCCTATTTTTGCTCCAGGCTGCAACTGTAATTATAGAAGTTCAGCAAATGATGTAATTACATTTTTTCTTCTTCTCTTCTCTTTCAGAGCGGAAAAAACTGAAGTATTGAGTGACGACCTACTACAGGTACTAATCAATCGTGTGTGTGTGTGTGTGTGTGTGTGTGTGTGTGTGTGTGTGTGTGTGTGTGTGTGTGTGTGTGTGTGTGTGTGTGTGTGTGTGTGTGTGTGTGTGTGTGTGTGTGTGTGTGTGTGTGTGTGTGTGTGTGTGTGTGTGTGTGTGTGTGTGTGTGTGTGTGTGTGTGTGTGTGTGTGTGTGTGTGTGTGTGTGTGTGTGTGTGTGTGTGTGTGTGTGTGTGTGTGTGTGTGTGTGCAATGTTTTCTGCCTCTCACAGGGAAAAAGAATCATCATCGGTGCAAAGTATTCAGCCTGCATGAAATGACTTTTTCAAATGGCTCTGTGCACTGCCTGCGGGCGTCGTTAATGAGCGCTGAAATTGAACTTCTTTGTGAGACAAAAGGCTGAGCGTCCCCACTGATTGACTCGGGGTGCAGCGCTGTAATTGATCTGATTAATGCCGCCCTCAGCGCCAGCCACGACGGTTCCACTGAGTTGGGTTAATAATGAAATGAGAGGCATTTAAGTGAGACAGGTAATGGTGTCGTATAAGTGTCACCGGATGGGAATACGCTTTTCTTGATGCCAGGCAGACAGGCTGTAAGAGCCTGCAAGTGTGTGATAGTAACTGCAAATAGGGATATCCTGACTATGACTTAAAGGGATAGTTCACCCCCATATTACATATTTGTTCTCTTACCTGTAGTGCTATCTATCAATCTAGATTGTTCAGGAATGTATTGCCAAGTCCAAAGTCATGATCTGGTTAGTTAATGAGGCCCTTTTATTGATTTTGGTGTTTCCCTTTCCTGTAGTGTGTTATATAGGTTTTTCTGCATGTTAATGGATTAATGGCCTTTATTTATTTCCGTAACATAGTGACATCACTATGTAACACTCACACTTCTATTGACTAGCGCTCCAATTCATGTACACATTGTACCTGATTTTCTAAGGGGCGGGACATCTCTAAAACAGAGCAGCCTGGGCTCTGGTTTCAGACAGAGGGTGAAAAGAGGTGCTGCAGCACAGGCAGTATGAGAAAAATAACGAGCTTTTTGAACATTAAAGCATGGAGACATGTTACAGTAGAGGCACAACAATGAGCATTATATGTCCTTTTCAATATAATATATACGACCCTCGCACCAAAACAATCTAGACCGATAATTAGCACTTCAGGTATGAGGTAAGAGGTAGGAAGACAAATAGGTATATTGTATTTTTGTATTATCTTTTTTCATGTCTTTTCTCTCTTCCTGTGTCTCAGGTGGAGAAACGTCTGGAGCTGGTCAAGCAGGTTTCCCACAGCACACACAAGAAGCTGACCGCCTGTCTGCAGGGCCAGCAGGGCGTGGAGGTGGAGAAGAAATCTGTCAGGTCTCCCTCGGTGAGAAAATACCCAAAAACACTTGAATGCCTACAGAGACTCTCAGAGAGGGCAGACCTCTACCAAAGTCCAATGGTTGCATTCAGTCAAGAACACATTTCTCAGATCATTAAAAAACCACATCAATGCTAACAAGTCAAGAGAAACAATATGTGTGTATCCGTACAGTGATCCAGATCAGCCCCATACAGTAGCTTACTAGGTTCTTCTTTGGCCCCTGATTCAGCCTTTCACAAAGTTACGTAGTCGTTTTTCCGTAATCCTGCTTAGAGACAAACAGAAAACATTCCCTCATTTGGTGTTAGTGGTCCTGATTGGCAGGAGCAGATAAGGCCTGTCAAAGGAAAAGAGAGAACAACAACTTCATCTCATAAAGTGGGAATTGATGTGGAGGTGCAGGTGCTAATTAGAAAGTATCTCCTCCATCAGAGATAATAAAGGATGTTTCTTTTTCTTTTGTGTTTGTTTAATATTTCTGTGTAGAAGAAGCTTCCTCTAACTACACTTGCACAATGTATGGTGGAAGGGGCGGTGGTGCTCGGAGACGAGTCCCTACTAGGGTAAGTACACACACACACACACACACACACACACACACACACACACACACACACACACACACACACACACACACACACACACACACACACACACACACACACACACACACACACACACACACACACACACACACACACACACACACACACACACACACATATGTACATCACTGATTATCTGTAACATTCGCAGCATTTTCTCTAAGCGCAGACATGGAAAGGAATGTTTTTATTACCCAGAACTGATTTACACTTCTTGTCCAGTAAAGGCAGCCAGATGAGGACAAACCGTGACTTTTTTAAAGGTCCCATGTCATGCTTTTCCGGTTATTACCCGTCCCCTTGTGTGTTATGAAGGTTTTTATGCATGTAAACGGTCTGCAAAGTCACAAACCCTCAAAGTACACCCTGTAGCGAGTAAAACTCTAACACAGAAAAGACCTGTCTATGCTGCCCCAGAACGCCTCGTTGGAGATTTCTCTTTTTCTTCCTGGGTACAGTGATGTGCCCATATCCAAATGGACCCATTGGTCCAAATGGACCAATCCGTGGAGCCGTTATGTTACGTCCGCAGAGCCGTTGGGTTAAGTCCGTGGATTGGTCCAAATGGACCAATCCGCGGACTTCCTCACACACACACACTCAATCTTTTCTCAGCTGCAGCTCCGCTGATTTCTCCTCCCTACGAGGCTGTGAGTCGTGTGTGTGTGTGTGTGTGTGTGTTTGGGCTGGGTTTCGCTGTGTCTCGCTGTCTCGCAGACGGCCACTGGGCTCATAGGGAGGGGGGGGGCAGGAGCTCCAACAAGCCGTGTAGGACAGAGAGTGAATACACATACTATACAGAGATGCTGTATGAGAAACCAATGTGAGTTTGTAGTAAATAGTAAATCTATTTTAGTAGACCTCAACAATGGAATTATGATCAGTAGAAATGGCCATGACATGGGACCTTTAAGAGAGGTTCCAAAATGTGATCAATGCATATAATAAAGTATTCTTTATTATAATAATATAAATAAATACATAATATATACATACATATTAATGAACAAACATTACTAAATTGAAATGAAATAATAATACTTTGTCAATAGTGTCAATAGTAGAAAACAGCATAACTGAGAGGAAATATGAAAACATTTTTTTATTTATTTAATAGAATTTTGCAGTTGCCTTCGCCCGATATTAAGGGTAACAAAAGGCTTATTCCTATATTTTAATGACGGAAGGAGTTTGTTCTTTCTTATTACAGTTGACTATGTATACATTTGGATAAAAAATATTACTATGACAATATCCACAAGCAAAACAAAAACAGAAAAACATCAAAGCAATACAATTAAAAGATGGAAAAGGATAAGAATATACATGTTATTAGCACTAACAAACATAAATGCAAGATATTATGTGTCATTATTTGAATTGGCACATTAATAACCAGAAAAAGTCCAAACATTAGATGCAAAATATCTGAATACATTTTTGATTGTGCTTTTTCTCTTTTTCTAAGTACTGCAAATAATGAAGCTATTAAATGTACTTTTATAATTAAATGTATGTGTGTATTGTGTATTTCAATGTGTATTATGTGATCTTTAGTTACAGTATGTCAAGCACAAAAGAGATCAGTTGATATCTGGATGAAAGAAAAATCCATTGCAAACACAAAAACGTATGAAGATACAGTAGAATGATCTGTTTGTACTTTATTTCAGACGTATGGTAAGAGAGTCTAATACAGAACATTAAATATTATGCACATGCTGATGCCTAGCTGTCTTCATGTATGTGTTTGAGCCTGACTCTGTAGTGAGTTACACTGTGTTACATCACCTGAGGCAGTTACTCATGTATCAGCATCACTGCTGTTATTAGAGTTTTGAGAGAAGGTGAATAAATATCAGCGAGTGTTGGAGACGTTTACAAGGTGGCGCCTGCTCTCTGTCTGATCCATGATGTTTCCGGGTCTTGTTGTGTGTTGCAGGAAGATGCTGAAGCTCTGCGGCGAGACGCAGGAGAAACTGGCTCACGAGCTCATCTTGTTCGAGCTCACCATCGAGAGGGACGTCGTGGAGCCTCTGTACGACCTGGCAGAGGTACACAAACAGCACTGTGGAAACCACTGTGTTATCTCAGATCAAACTTATTATTATTATTATTATTATTATTATTATTATTATTATTATTATTATTATTATTATTATTATTATTATTATTATTATTATTATTATTAAGGCAACCTATTTAAATGAAACTTTAAAAAAAAAAGTAACACAACGGGTGTTCTCTCTCTTCTATGTCCGATTTCCACTCACTCATGTTTTATTTTTTATAAAAGACTAAGGCAAATTAATTTGACTTCATTTGTTGTTATTTTTCTGATAGAACCCCCAGCCTCTTGATACCATCGAAACATTTTTTTTTGTTTGAATTAAAAATTAAAACATATTTATATACTGTTCACACATTATTCACATTGTCGGTTTAATTAGTAACTACATTTATATTGAAAAAAGCATTTATGCCCTTAAATAGTTCTGATACCTGTCAGACAAACCTGCAGTGTAATTTCTATTGAATAGTGTGTACACAGGGCAGCTCCTACATGTGTTTAATACAGGGAAAACTGTACATGATCACTCTGTGATAGAGACATTAAGCTAATCTTCATGAGAGCAGAGTTTTCCTCCAACAGGTGCAGATCCTGTGTTCCCTCTTTCACACCAACAAACAAACGACATCTCTCTGCTCTGTCCTCTCAGGTGGAAATCCCAAACATCCAGAAACAAAGGAAACATTTAGCCAAGCTGGTGCTGGACATGGACTCAGCGCGCACACGGTGAGTCTGTTTTACTGTGTGTGTGTGTGTGATGTGGGAAACTCCACCCTCTGTGAATGGGCCTGTCCTGGTGCTTCACACTGAATGTAACTGGGATCCAATTGCACAAAGTGAAGTGTAACCATGAATATCTGCAGATTGAAAACCTAATTGTTCAAAAGCAGAGGAGTAAAGTTTATCAAGCTATTACACTAACAATATTTGTTAGTTTAGTACATGTATTGCTGGTTTAAGGATTTAAGGAATTTGTCCTTACATCTTCTATTTTATTTTATTTGTTTTGTTTTATTTTATTTTGTATTTTAACACATTTTATTTTTATCATTTTCAACGTCTTTACTTTACCTTTTTATGTTCATTAAAATATCTTTGATTTATTTTATATTTTTATTTTAAATTCTTACTTTAACTTGTTATAATTGTATAAATATTTTTATTATTTTTAAATGTTATTTTGTTTTATCTTTTATTGCTAATTTAACATCTTTACTTTACCTCTCTATATTTATATAAATATATATATAAATAAATTGTATTTAAATATTTTTACATTCTTACTTAAGCCTCTTATGTTTGTATAAATATGAATATTATTTGTTATAATTTTTTTTTTAAATGTAATTCTAAAAAGGAGCAACTGTCACAAAACACAATGTTAACAAAGAAAGTTTTCTTATTCTGATTGATCTTATAAAGACATGTGAAAACCTCTTGAATGATCATGTCAGTGTAGCTTTCTCTCCCGTCCAATCAGAAGCTGTTTCCTGTAACGTGCTATCCCTACACTTTCTTCCTGCTGATTCACTGTCATCACTTCAGTTTGAGCAGTGATATGAAGAGAAATGTGATTTTCCTCTCTGCAGTCCAGCCAGGCAGTCAGTCTTTTTTTGGGTGACCCAAATCTGAGACAGTTTTTCCCATCATGCTGCTGTGCTGAGCTCCTCTGGCAGCGTGGCATATTATCTCCACCCAGAGACTCAGCTCAGACAGAAAGTCAGACAGAGAGGGCGGAGGGGGGCTTAAAACGGAACAGAAAACAGCTTAGAGGAATGAATTAGGGTGTATATGGAGAATCAAGTGAAGACTTAAATTGGCTTTTTAAAAGATGTTTTGTTATCCAGCAGATTGTGTTGTCGATGATTATCACTTAAATATAAAAACAAAAGCCTACGCTGCTGGAGGTTTAGTTTAACATGCTGTGCTCACACTGGTGGAATGTAACTACTGTAAGGCAAACACTGAAGTTGCATTTGTCTGACAGATAAAGTGACTTGGCAGATAACATTTCACCCCCCCTTTCCTTAACAGTGAAATCATACAAATGTCTTGAATTTTTAACATTTCAAAACCTTGTTGAATCAGCTGAAAAATGCACCGTCACAAAGCTGAATACAAGGCTGTTTATCTTACAAACTCATGAAAAGTTGACGTTTTATGGATATCACTGGAAAGCTATTAAGCTACACATGATGATCTTAGAGAATATGAAATGTGTTACATTTACACAATCCTTTAGGAAATAAACCAGTGCAAATGACAACAACTTTAAACATACAGTATACAGCAGTATAATGCAACGTACACATTAAAACAGCAGTTATATTAATCCAAAACATCATAAATAATACTGAAACACAGACATGGAACATCTTAATGCACTTTGTATGTTGATTATACATACGGTACATACTTTGAATAAAGTATATTTTCTATGTAGGACTTTTGCTTGTAGTGGAGTACTCGATATACAGTAGGATCTGACTACTTCAATTAATAGTAATATTGACAATTGTTTTTCCCCCAGGTATTATCAGTCCAACAAGTCTTCAGGACTGGCCAGTAACCTGCAGCCGTCAGGAGCGAAGGCCGACCACCACAGGGAGGAGATGGAGGAGGCAGCCAACCGCATGGAGATCTGCAGAGTCAGTGACCACCTTACTCACAAGCAATTAACTGTTAATGTCCATTCATATTGAGAGGATCCATTTAGTTAAAGCTGTTTGAATTCATATTTTTATGTAAGATGGTTATCTGTTTTGGTCCCGGCTCAATGCTCTCATAGTGTTGTTTAGCAGTTTCAGCAGAAACTGCTGTAAAAAGCCCTGGGCTGCAGTCGAATAGTCCAAAAATCAGCCACTATTGTCTATCCCTATCGTCTATTCCTTGACCTCTGAGTGAAACGTCACGGGGTTAAGGAATAGTGGATAGGAGAATTCAAAAGGACTTAGGAGAAGAGACTGCGGTACTTTGAGAATCCGACTGCACTTTCACTATCCAACGTGTTTATGATGCGCCAGCGGAGGTCATAAATGTGCGTCTGCTGCTGTGGGGAAACTACAGTTTTCTATACAGCGGACTACATGGATGTTTAATAAGAACGAGGGACTACTGTAAACGCATCTAGAGACTCTACACCGTGCTCTGATGCTGTTGTTTTATGCTTTATGAACGGGGACAACAGAGACACATATTGTTCATGACCAAAGTTGGAATTGAAATAAAAAAGGAAAGTGAAACTTATGCTCGTCACCCTCTCCCTCCGGTCCACATTAATACAAATGATCCCAATACGTATGATTGTATAAAAAGATCTTAAAATCAATACAAATGTATTTATTATAAACGTTAGTCCTTAACATCTATCACTGTGTATATCACCATTCAAACATCTTTTAAAAGTTGAACAAACCCCACACAGCTCAGTAAAGACTGTGAAATGTTGACTTTATTTGATCATTTCAGTAAAAACTAACGTTCATATTTCTCTTTTTGATTATAATACTGATGAACGTTCAAAACAAAGCACTTTGGCAACTTACCACATACGTTTTAAAATGCTTAAAGGTAGGGTAGGTAAGAATGGAGAAACCAGCTCGAGTGCGCTAGAATTTGAAAGTACACAACCGGAAAAAATCTGCCCCTTCCTTCAGACTTCCTTACAGAGCCCCTCCTCCAACACACACACATGACCAATGAGGGCACGAGAAACATTTGTGCACGAGATGGAAGGCTGACAGGCAGGTAGGCCATCCAGTTATTTTAGCCGGGCCGGCTCAGATGATTGGTCGTGCTTTGTACAGCACCACAGCTTCCACAGATGAAATATTTGTATATATTTATTGTCAAAGCATTTAATGTATTCATTGCTATCGGGATGTTGAGAGCATTCCATGGAATATAACAAAACGTTTCTGAAGTGAATTACCTACCCTACCTTTAATAAGCACCGTAACTTTCATGATATCATTTCTCGGTCATAATCGGTTGTTTCCGTGAACGGCCGACTGTTGTGTGACGGAAATGCTGTGGCCGCAAGGCATTGTGGGGCAGCATTTTCTCCTCTCCTTTCGTAAGGGAAGGTCCAGTGGTTCCTAAGCTAAAGGAGGTTATAAAGGAAGTTTGAAACCTCCTTTCCTTTCATCTATAGAATTCGAACGGCTCTTATCATGGCTGCCACTGAGGTACTTCCGGGTCATTTCACTCCGTTAGGAAGGTTCCTAAGCTAAACGGACTATTCGACCGCAACCCTGGTACTCTACCTGCTCAGCAGCAAACAGCAGGCGGACACAGTTAGACACTTGCTGGTGAACATAGTGGAGCATTTAGGGACAGATATCTCTCAGGAGCTGGTGGAGACCAAAATCAGAGCAACATACAAAGACTCAAATAGATGATAATGTTGCTGCACATCCATGACACGTGTGCTAACAAAGTTTGCCATATCAACTTAAAAAAATGATTTATGAATCATTCCATGATTGCCTGTTTATGTTTTTATCATGTTCTGTTGCTTTTAACGTCTCCAAATATTTACCAAATTGTACGGTACCCTTGGGTGTCATGAAAGGCGCCCCTAAATACCTTTTATTATTATTTTTAGTATTATTAAATGTTAAAAGCTCTATCTTCTAAAAGACTCTCTGGACTTTCCCATTCAAAAATCGCACATGGCGCACAGTAACGCATTTTCCATCACTCAGCTGTGGTTGGTCCTTCAGAGAGGGTGGGCGGAGCTAATGCAACATACGTGCTCTTTAATTGTGTATAAAGCGGCGTACCAGGTTTTTTTATGTTGTGAGTCAACAGTATCTACGGCTGAATAAAAACAACGTTGAAACTTAACCAAAAACACACCTGAAATTACCGCTAAGAGAATTTACTTCAAAATTCCTGACAAAAATAGTTTCTTGTTTATCAACTGTTCTTACAGGGCGGATTCGAGCCAATTTAAACAAACAAACTGTTGTTGTTTTTCACTTACTGTTACTATAAGCAAATATTGGCAGCTACTTTTTTGTTATTTTAGTCCACTTTTCTATTGGATTTTCAAAAACCACAACACAGGGTTAGGTTATGAGGTTGAACATTTTGGCATGAGGAAAGGAAAATCTGATCATTTATGAAGCACTTCACTTTTTGTTTCTCAGTTTCCCTTCCCTGCTCTGTCCTCACATGATTATGTTGCTTGGGTGTGTTAAACAAGAGCGGATGGTGAGGACAGAGCAGAGAAAGATGGAAATGAAGTCATGCTGGGGCTCTCCGGGAGCAGCAGGGAACAGCTGTGAGGCAATATATTTGTATTTCTCACCGCCCTAACAGAAACAGTTGCCAAATTCCTATTGGACTGGGCCATCTCAGAGACAGTACTCTTATACTTTAACAGATTATGTTATTGCAACAATTTTTTGACAGTACACGCACATTTTGATATATTTCAACTGCAGGTTACTCTACAGTATGGTGGCCGACAGGTGCAAACGCGCTACAGCGGCCAAACACACTTCCATTAGGAGAAACGCGCTGCACTTTCAAAAATGATACGAATATAAAAACACAAATGTGCCAATACACATGCAAATGAAGAAACATCTTCAACAACTTGACAACAGATGTGCAGCATTTAGAAAACATTCATCAACTTGATGAAACATAGGCAGCGTTTAATAAAAGCTCTGCTAAATGAACAATGCTCCAAAAAGCTCAAAGCACAACGGAAAAGATGTTTCCTCAGTTTCATGTGTTTGGACACGTTTGTGTTTTTATATTTTTCATCAATTTTGAAACTGCAGCACGTTTTTCACACCTGTCGTCCACCGACAGACAAGTCGAGGCAAGTTCATTTATAGCACGTTTCAACAATAAGGCTATGCAAAAGTGCTTTATAAAAAATACTCAAATAGTGCAAAAAGAAACACAAATATAAAAGCATTCAAATCTCAAGAGAAGAAAAATAAGGACAAGCTAAAATACACTTAGCTATTAAGTACCAGAATAAAAGTTGCAGTGCTGTCTAAGATATGAAAATGCTATAAGATTTAGTCTTCAGCCTTGACTTAAAGCAATTAATGGATACAATGGACCTGCCATTTTACCTGAGTTTATTCCAAATAACAGGAGCATTAAAACTGAACACACAAAGCAAATACTTGAAATAGCCGTAACTTCTACAAATATTCAAAGGAAACACAACCTAGTTCAATATTCTATCAATATACACTATCAATTTGACTGCATATTAATAAATGTTTTGACCTTTTTAACTGCCACCATCTTTTGTACTTGTCACTGCAGGAAACTCACAGGTGTAACTAATAACACTAACGAAGCTCCGCCTACACCCCTCATTAATGCAATTAATTACACCTGTGCTTTTCCTACGCTCCCAATTCGAAATGTCTGCTTTTCAAAAGGTATTTTTTTAAAACATTTAACGTTTTTAATATGATTTACTTTGTAGTTTGACCGTATGTTTTTGTGTGTCTTCACCAGGACCAGCTATCGGCAGACATGTACAGTTTTGTGGCCAAAGAAATCGACTATGCAAGCTACTTCCAGACAGTAAGTCCAACCTCTCTGCAGTGACGGGGTTTCAGTGAAATGTTCTGCTGCTGCATCACAGTGTCTCTCCTCTCTTCCAGCTGATAGAGGTCCAGGCAGAGTACCACAGGAAGTCCTTAGAGCTGCTGCAGAGCGTGCTGCCCCAGATCAAGGCTCATCAGGGTGAGTTTGAGATCACATGATGCATCAGGTTTTACGACTCTTTCTTCTCTGACATCAGGTTAGCTGTTGCTGCAATGTCCTATGTTTGCTAATTTGCAATATAGTTATACTTTCTTGGTACGTTAATAAGCAGGGAGATATGACGTATATCTTGTCAGCCAGTTTACCCTCTGCAAACATGTTTTTCTTTGGGACCTGAAAAAGTGTTTTTCAAATTAGGTAACATTACATGTCTAAAAATAGTACGAGAAAAAAAATAAAGAGCTATAAATAATTGTATCAAAAATAAGAACAATATAAGTTGTTTTGTCATTATACAATTCAGGATTACAAACACAGTTGTAGCCACACAACACAAGTATATAAAATGTGAAGCATTTATTCAGTTAAACAATGGGAATATTTGGGCAATTAGGTACAAAATATTTATGATAATTATAAACACGGGAGCAGGAGTAAAACTCCAATAAGAAATACGTTTTAAGTCGTCAACGTTCGAGAAACTTAAAAATCTTAAAGAAATTATCTTAGACACTTAACAGTACTTGATGAGCTATAACATATTGCATTCCTCTAAATCAATACAGTAAAAACATTTAATTTGTGTCTGTATGTAGTCACATACATGACCTGAACTCAAACGCCATTGTCAAGAATTATTATTACATTTTCCACGAATAGAAATATGTGAAACCACCTTTTCTTAATAGCCTGTGAGAAGAGCATTAGCAAAAAAACAAAAATCTGTCGTTGCAAATGTAGCATTCAATCAGGATTCCATTGCTTACAGATAGAAGCTTCATGAGATAACAGATTTTAAAGGTCCTCCGGCAATTGTATTACTGTTTGGTTTGGTAACTTCCTGCAGCCTGAGAGGAAATGTTTAGCATCTGTAGCTGCGACTGTATTCCATGCATGTTTTCCTGTGTGTGTGTGTGTGTTTAACTCTATGTGTGTGTGTTTGACAGAGACCTGGGTGGAGAAGCCGTGCTACGGGAAATCATTAGAGGATCACTTAGCGCTCAGCGGGAGAGATATTGCCTTCCCTATCGAGGCCTGTGTCACCATGCTGCTGGAGTGTGGCATGCCGGAAGAGGTCAGCCTCACACACAGAGCATCTGTCTTTTACATGAAACACACACACAAGTCACGACTGAGATGAAGTCACTGAAAGAAAAACCAATGAGGTCCAGGCTACAGTTTGCTTTCCTCAAAGCAATTTGCAGTTTTACAGCCTGAAACCAAAGTCCTCGGCTGTTTAATTAATGTGTGATGGTTAGAAATGTCCTAATTTTCTGATGTTATCAAGCCAATGAGCTGTGCAGCTTGTTAACGATTGTTTAATGGAGACATATTGAGGGTAATCGAAATGTTCCCCGTGAACAAATGTTTATACGATTATAAGAAAAATAAATGCATCACCATGAATAACTACATTTCATTTCAACAGTCATTAGACTTAATGTGATGTTTGCTGAACATTATAGATAGTGCTTTTGAATGTGGTGTGTAATTATTTAAAAAGCTGACAGTCAAACTTATCATTAGTGTTCAACTCGACATGTTAGGCAGTTGAAATTAATTTAGTAAACGACCCTTTGATACCAGGATTGCTGCTGACTCAGCTGCTCATACATTAGCAGTTGGGTTTAATGTTCAAAATGTTTTGCTAATATAAAAAATTGCTTAACAACGACTCTAGCTGAAACTAACTTAATAAATACTACATTCAATTTTCAATCTTTTGCTAAAGCAAACAAGTATTATCAGTAAAATATACCAGTAGCATATCACCGGAAAAAGGGCTTATACTGCAGAATGGCCTTTCAGACTGTTGTAATGACTATAATAGTATAATAACTTATGGTCTGACATATTTCATCTAGTTACATGTTTCGTTCGTAAAATCTTAATCTGAATGTAGTTGTCAAATAAATGTACGACATTTTCCCTTTGAAAGTGGACTTAATTTCAATTTTTTAAATTTTACTATTAAGAAATATTTGAAGTACTTGAGACTCTAAAGTTGGGCACTAGAATGTGCATTTAGTTTTCCTAATTCTTTACAAATGCCACCATTCAGAAGAAGTAGCCCTCGTGCATCAGTTATTTCTGCCAGTGTATAAGCACAACAGCATTATAGGCTCAGAACTCCAAGATTGAAATTTACAAGAAAATGTGTAGTTTGTTTGTTCTCATTAAAAATCACTTAATTTTCTTTACTTAAAAGTGACTTAAATGAGTCTTTTCATGTTTTGTATCTCAGGGTTTGTTCAGAATCGCTCCTTCAGCCTCCAAACTGAAGAAACTGAAGGCGTCTCTGGACTGTGGCGTGTTGGATGTCGAGGAGTACTCTGCAGACCCTCATGCCATCGCAGGTGAGCTCTCCATGACCTCCCTCCCTCCCTTTCATGTCTCCCAGTGGCTGCTAATCTCGGTTTACATGGGTAGATTTATGAGCTGGCACATGTTGCACATTAGGAATCTTAATTTCTCCACATTTCTGGCACGCTCTAACGTCCATGTGTTATTGATCTACCCTGCCACCTCCACACAAACATCATCACTAAGGCTGTGTATTTCTTCTTCACACACACTGATTCCGCAGCTGTCATTGGTAAACCTCAGCAGTGGATGTCCTGTTAAAGGTTCATTTCAAAGTCCCATTTAAAGGCCTCACAAAGATCACTCTAAGCCTTCATTACAATTCAGTTTGCTTCTCCTGAGAGTCAAGCGCAAATAGATGTTTTTAGTTTGTTGTATTTCTTTTTATATTGGAGAGATAATCAATAAACTATCACAAAAATGTCTTGTGATGAATTCAAAAATATTACTAGGATTAGTGTTGTTAGTTTCTTCATCTTCTGCAGAAAAACAGTCTTCTTGTTTTTGATCTGCTGTTAAATCCAAACCATGATGGACTATAAAAGAAAACAAGCTTTTATAAAGCCGTTATTGATCTTTTCTGTGAGGGTGGTGCTTGTCCTCAGAGTCCTGTATAACTCCGAAGAAGAAAAGCTCCAAAGTTTTCCCTAGATCCTGAAAATTCATTTTTGGAAAATGAACTCCCAGCATCCAAAGAGAGATGTGGAAGCAATGAATGACTCCTCTGTAGTCATTTAGGTTCCTCCAGTGTAATCACCCGTCATTACACTGGATATTTCCTTGTTACAGTTTATGAACTGTTACACCACGTTTTTCTGGTTTATTGTCTGGTTTGTTATTACGTAGAACACACAACATGTGTCTAAAGGGACCACAAATATAATAAAACAAGCTAAATGTGTCCAGTGGGGCACATTTAGGATTCTAACAGGTATTATTGTTTGTTATTGCAAATTGTACGTTTGGAATAAGTTAAAATCCTAAAGTTCCCTCCAGAGGGACATCACTATTTAACACTAGTGCTTCTATTGGCTAGCTCTCCAAGACATTGTACGTGATAGGCTAAGGGGCGGGACATCTCTAAGGGGTTGGCCAATCACAACAGAGTCGGCCAGCTAACCAATCAGAGCTGGTTTCAGACAGAGGGTGAAAAGAGGTGCTGCAGCACAGGCAGTATGAGAAAAATAAAGAGCTTTTTGAACATTAAAGCATGGAAACATGTCACAGTAGAGACACTACATACTAAGATGAACCTGAAAAGGAGCGTAATAGGGCCCCTTTAAAGATACAACTCAAAATCGGGAGATACAGTACAATGTTTTCACCCGTCTAGAACAATATGTTCCTTTTTATGAAATATCATATCAGTCAGTCGCCTGTGTTCACTGGAGCATGTGGACAGAGAGGCTGTATCCCTCTCTAATGATCCCATATTAAACTGGGTTAGCTCCAACAGCAAATCTCATTTGCCAGCCTTTCCCACTGGAGGAGCAGAGGTTCATCTCCAATCAGCATCAATGAAAAAGCAGCAGACTTCTCTTTGTTAATATCTAACTAGAGGATTTGTAGTTTCATCATAATTCCAGCATTTAATGTGTTTATTTAGCACCAACAAAGATCCAAAGACACAGTCAGACAGAACAGCAGCTCCGAGCTGTCTCCCAGTGAGGGAAGCCCTGGCTTTACGTTTGTCATCCATCCCACACACTCCGGGGGAAATTAACTCAGCAGACCAGAGAAAAGAAGACAAGTTGGAGAGAAACCCAGTCAGCCGTCCCCTTCCTCCTCAGAGCTGGAAAATGCTCCTGCCACCCACGACTTCTGATCAAATTATGTTTGGAGATAGTGTTTTTTAAAGGGCTCGTTGTATCAGCGTAGGTGGGTCTGATGCTGTTGTATTTCTTCTGTGAAAAAGCAAACAAACAATACATTTTTGAAATGTTATTATAATGCATAAATATGATAAAATAATTGCAGTAAAACATTCTGTTCTCAATAATGGTATTTACGAGTATGCTATAATGAATTCTATTGCCAGACAGATGCAGTGACGGATACAATGCACTGTAGATATAAGGCGGAATCTAGTCACTGCTCTTTGCTTTAAGTGAGTGTAGAATTTAAAGTGGGATGTTTCTCCATCATTTCTGTAATGCCTTCCTTATTCATAAAAATAATCATGGGAAATAATTGTTTTCAATGATGTTGAACAGAATTCAGGGTGGGATTGATGCAGTAGTTAATTAACATTTTGGCTTAAGCATTATGGTACTTACTGTATGCAATAGTTGTTGTATGTCAGGACCCCCTTCCCAGAAGTAATACCATTTTGACTACATTATTATGACTGAATAAAAACCGCATAGGAATCTGAATAACTGCACTGACAGCCGAGATGTCAATCACAACATGACAACCCTTCCAAATGCCCTCCCGTCTCAAGGTGACAGGCACTTTGATCTCATGCAGGCTCATTTTTATTATATATGCATAGTATTTGCACACATTTCCCCTTGCATGCATGCATTCATCTTATTATTTTGTTCTCCGCAGGTGCTTTGAAGTCGTACCTGCGGGAGCTCCCAGAGCCGCTAATGACATACGAGCTCTACAACGACTGGATCCAGGCCTCAAAGTCGGTAGCTTTTTATTTCATCGTGTTGCTTCTTTTCTTTTGAACTTTATCTTTCATTTTTATTGAACTTTTCTTCTTCCTGTGGTCCTTCAGCATTCAAGATCAAGACAAGAGACTGCAGGCTCTCCTCAACGCCTGTGAGAAACTCCCCCCGGCCAACAACAACAACTTTAAGTGAGTCACTGTTTCCATGTTCCTCTCCTGGGCTCTGCTGGGAGTCAGAACCATGAAGTGATTAGTCAGGCTTCACACAGAAATCTGTTGCACAAACCTCTGTACTTCTTCACTGTGTTAAGTAGGACACATTTTCACTTTTGTCAAAAACATTGTCGACTGAGCAAGCCAAAAGAAACTGTTCACTCACGCAGAAAATGTTTGGGGAAATTCCAGTTGCAAGGAAATGTTACTGTAACAAGAAAAAATAACTAGAGTCCAAAATGTAAGATGCTGCTCACTTCCACACACACACACAGTCACACACACACACACACACACACACACACACACACACACACACACACACACACACACACACACATTTATCAGTGTAGCAAAAGTCAAGGCAGCAGATTTGTCACTGAAATGCAAAATAACATATGTTATGGATTATTAAGCCATCCAGCAGTACATACATTTAATATGACCCCCCCCCCCGGACTTACATACATTCAGTACTGAGGGCATTCCCCACAGGAGCAATTTGGGGTGAAGTGTCTTGCCCAGGGACACAACGACATGCTGACTGCAGTGGGACTCAAACTTGCTATCCCCTGATTCGAAGTCCCACACTCTATCCACTGAGCCACAGCCGTACTCTATGTATTTAAGTATTTTGATGCCAGTACTTTTTACTTTGCAAGATTTGTAACTGTTTCAGATCTGAATACTTTCTCTGCAATTAGATATTAGTTTATATACAAAAAATCGATAAGCAGATGTCACTGTTTGTTACCATGGAAACAGTAAGCCTACATTAACCTGTTAAGCCCCAAAGCCCCCGTCGGCGGGTCTTTTGTTTTTTCACAAATTAAAAAAAAAAAAAAAAAAAGATTTCAATTTTTTTATTTTGTATTAATTTTTTTAATTTTAATTTTTTTTCTTTGGATGGAATGAATACCTATGGTGATAATTCAATGTAATACATCATTTTTATAGTCTGGTACCTGAAAAAGGTCAAATGGCACTGATGGAACCAGATGTACCCAAATGTGCCGAAAGCTTATTCCGCCTGGAACTTTTTTTGCTAAACCTCTCTAAAAAGGTCAAATATAACTTGTTTTGCTTCAATCTCGATACAGGGTACTTATTATATGTTATAGTTTGGATTCCTAAAGCTTTTAGTCTACCATCCCATCATTCAAGGGTGGTTTTCACTATAAGTAATGTTTTTTCTTTCGGCGGAGGTATGCTTCTAATCTACACCTTCCACATGTGTAGCTCAGTGTGAAGCGGTGCTGAGACAGAGGCCTTATGGCGGAGGTGGATTAAGACGAGCTGTAGATGTTTGCCAGAGGGCTTATCTCTCGATCAAAAGGCACTGCGAGGGGGAGAGGAAGTCAGAGAGGAGAGACGGGAGAGAAATTGAAAGAGCAGAGATACTGCAGCATTTGTCAGTGTCATAATCGAATCGCACAAATAGGTGTTATTTTTAGGCAGGCGTCCTTTGAGCAGACCTGTCACCTGTCCGGATGATGGCTGCTGCTGGAGAGAGCCTGGTGCTCATCCAGCTGCAGCTCAGCCAGATGAATCATTCTGTCGGCACAGAAACACACTGCCACATCTCTGGGTCTTAGAAAGAGATGAAGAGACAAAAACGATAGTTTGCTGTTATAATAAGCTGAGTGTAATTCATGCAGGCATGCTCTGTTGAAGCACAGTGTTCTCTTTTAGTCTTGGATTTGATCTTATTTAAACTTGAAGAAAGCAGGGTGGGAAACTTGAGCTGCACTACAGCTCAGTTCTGTTCTGTTATTTCCCACTTTCACCAATACAATATAACCTTCCGAAAACATGAAAGAAAAGTGGATATGTGCAAATGTGGCTCTACATTTGGCACAGTATCAATAGCGACACAAACCCAACCCAGACAGATAGGAAGTATCTCATTAACTCTGCAGCTGGTAAATGATTGCATTTCCAGAGAGTGTGAGCCTCCTGCAAATGTCGCACTCTTAGTTTTTGTAAATCCCAGCTGTCAAGTGAAAACAATGCAACAAAGTGTTTACCTCTTAAATTAAAAAAATAATTTCAATACAATCAGATCTGTAGAAAGCTGAACTCACACAAAACTAAAAACAGGGCAGTTTTTATTAGCTTAGTATGTTTTTACAGGACAGCAATAGAAAAGTACCTTTTTAAAATGTATACAAAATCTAAAAGACAAAATCTAATGTATTCCCTGTTTCTGTATTAACAGGTATTTGATCAAGTTCCTCTCCAAACTGACTGAATACCAGGATCTGAACAAGATGACTCCTGGAAACATCGCTATTGTCCTGGGACCCAACCTGCTGTGGATGCACAACGAAGGGTGAGACAGCAGAGACGCATACTTAGTCAGTAGTTAACATTCCTTTATCAAAGAATATAACATACAACTTACAGTACGACGTCAGAATGCACCTTGTGTTCATTTTTAAGGAACTACAAATGCAAAAACATGCGTTGTGGTTTTTCTTCTGTAATGAATGTGAACTTAAAATGTTTTGATTTCCACTGCTGCTTAAAACTAGCAATGCCAAATGTTTTCAGTTCAAAGTGCCTAAAACAAGTAGAGTAAAGATTATAGCTCATATTACAATTGATCACTGTTCCTTTGCAAAAGCTCCTCAATAAAAGGTCAAGTATTGATATCCATACTGTACAACACAAATGTATAATTAATTCGATTTCACGTTTTATTTCCCTATAGAAAATAGATACAAATTATAATCATCTTTTTCCTCTTTTTCTAACGGTATTCTGCATTAATTTATTCCAGCTCTCGACTAAAGCTATCCTTTTGAGACCCAGCATTTCATATTTGTCCTCTGTGGAGGACATGACATTGAGGCTTCATTTCAAACACCATGCATGCAGTTTGAGTCCTGGTGCTGTGAAGAGCACTTCCTTGGCTTTCTTAATGATGTAACATACATTAAGGGTGTGACCAACAGAGCATGTCTCATGTCTTTTCAAATTAGTGTGAAGCCGAACGGGTGAAATAATCAAAGGGGCTTTCAAAGCACACATTTGAACCTCTGTGCTTTGTGGGGGGCAGAGGGTAGCTTCTTCTCATTTTCAACCATTTTCCATTCTTAAAGAAACAGAACTCTGAATGAGGCAAACTAAAATGTTGAGGAAGTCGTACATAGATATTTGTCTTGTAGAAACACACACACACACACACACACACACACACACACACACACACACACACACACACACACACACACACACACACACACACAGAGGTTTTAACACGAGCAGAACAACCTGCTGTCAGCTGCAACGTGTGTTTTTCCAACCCGATGACAAATATTCAGACTTGTTGACCTCCCAGTCCTGCATGTATTATATTTGCAAATGTACCTCCATAATGGAATATAATAATATCTGCGTAGAGCGAGGATGATTTAAATGTCTCGAGTTGTCATTTGTTGCACAGTAGGAGCTAAAAATGGACAGCATCAGGAATCTTTTAAGGGGGAGAAAATGTTTGGGTGCAGTAGAACCTCAGTGTCCTCTTTGTTCAGTCTAGAAGAGGAGCGTGCTTTTTCATAAACAGTCTATTGTAATAATACTGTTTTGTATGCAGTTCCACAGGGATGTCATTTTTCTTAGTGGCACATTTTAATATCTCCTAATCTTCATGATGTTGCTCAGAGCTCAACGTACTAATAACAAAAAGGCCAATAGGTACACACACACACACACACACACACACACACACACACACACACACACACACACACACACACACACACACACACACACACACACACACACACACACACACACACACACACACATCTTGAGGAGACTTTTTATCAGAAAGTGCACTCATGATGAGGATGAGTCAGCGGTTTAGAAAGAGTGAAGGACACCTCCCTTATAATATCTCTGTGTAAATCTTACAAACCCTTTATCCCCCTCTTACTTTTAATTAGTATTTGAATAGCCAACCTTTCTAAAACGCTTTTGAATTTTCTCCTTTTGAATGCCTCTGCAATACAATAAAACGTGTTAATCACAGACGAGTGTAAATCTTCCTGATCCTCTCCAGCCCGCTGTAATAAAGCCTCTGTCTCTGTCTGCAGGAACATCACAGAGATGATGACCACCGTGTCCCTGCAGATCGTCGGCATCATCGAGCCCATCATCCAGCACGCAGACTGGTTCTTCCCTGGAGGTGACCGTGCATTTTCCTGCTGATCCCAAAGCCTTTTTAAATACTTTATTGAGCTCAAGATGTACGAGATCTCCAACAGATAAAGGAACACTTGATCCTCTGTTTATCAGGAAAAACAAACTTCATATTTCATTTTTACTAGACAGGAAATGTTTGACAGATAACATAAGTAAATGTACTTAGTTGCATTCCAACACTGCTTGGATACTATTTTTATTGAGGATTTGATTAGACTTACTCAAACAACAACACACTGAATAGTTCCTGTATTTTGTTCCTTTTTTTCTGGTCCGTCATAGAAATCGAGTTCAACGTCACGGGGAACTACGGAAGCCCGGTCCACACAAACCACAACGCCAACTACAGCTTGATGCCGTCTCCTGACATGGATCAGATAGAGAGGAAGCAGAACGACCAGAGCCGACGGCCGCTGAGCGTCGCCACGGACAACATGATGCTGGAGTTCTATAAGAAGGACGGGTAAGACCCCTCTAGACCAGCTACGATCCATTTCTGTTTATTGTTAATCTTAAGTAAGTCATAGGCTAATTTATTGCAAATAAGAAAGCAAATTAGCGTCTGAAATAAGCAGGACTTTCTTTTTACCAGCTTCTATCATTGGAGTGTGAAATTCACTTATGAATGTATATAAATACAAAATAACAAATGTTGTCAGAAAATTATTAAGAGTCAGATATACCATTTTTTGTGAAGTTAATTTAACTTCACAAAAGTTTAGTGAAGTATAGTAATAGTATACAAAATTGTCAAACTAAGTAATAATCATTTTTGTTCTAATACAAATGGAATATATTAAGCAGGATAGCTCTATAAATAAAGTTGATAAATAAACTGTAAATAAAGCTCTAAAGTGCTTTCAAACTTTTTTTTTAAAGAATTGACAAAAAGATTCTAAAATATATTAGTAAATGTAAAAAGTAATAATACAATTAATATGAATAAAAAAACATAAATAGTTATTATAGGGAAAACATTTCAAGTATTAAAAGTCAAATTAAATGCAAAGCTGTTATTTAAAAAAGTACCTCAAAATTGTACATAACCACATAAAATGTAAATGTACTTGATTACATTCAAGAACTGCTGTCGATAAAATAATGATCCAAGACTTTGTGCAGCAATGAAATCTAACATGGTGCTGTATCCTCTAAATAACATCTAAATAAGCTGCCATGTTGAGTTCAATATGCTTTTGAAACAAGAAGAATGAGAGTTCAAAGGCAAACAAACTTTGAGGAAGAATTGCTCGAAATCAAACAAAGACAGGAAACTGTGTAAGAGCTCCCAGTGATTCTACACACCATTCACACTTCTAGGCAAGTCAAGTTTCTGCATGATTCTCTTCAAACGTGAGAAGAATTCCCCACTGATTACACAAGTGTAATGTAAGAGGAGACCGCAGTGAAAAGCTCAGTTTCACTATGAGGTGGACAGAATGACTCGTATCTGTAGTCTAGTGAGCGGGGGGAGAAAGTGACAAAAGAGAAAGAGAAAGAGATGACATTTAGTCTGTGAAATGAGGAATCTGACAATCCTGGATCTGTGGAGGGGGATTAGCCGAGGCCCAGAGAGGGGCTTTCTTTCTCTTTTCTCTGTCCGTCTGTCCGTCTCACTGTCTCTTTCTTTAATGCTTTAATACACCCTCGTCTTATCAGGCCCCGCGGCGAGTCTGAGTCTGATTCAGCCCTGAGACCACATGCGGCCCGCTAATTAAACCTGGACCCGGTGTGTGTGTGTGTGTGTGTGTGTGTGTGTGTGTGTGTGTGTGTTAGATCTGATCAATAGAACCCAGCTTACAATAGAAGCACTCTCTTCAGAATTAGCAGGCTCAGCAGCACAGCTAACCTGCCTTCCAATTAGAGTTTTTCTGTATAAAAGATTTTTAGATTTAGCAGTGTACATGGTTATAAAGTTTGACTTTAAATGTCTACGTAGTGCACACTGCTGTCAAATACTTAATTGACTTCCAGACACTCAAATGTTCTGCTTGAGAGGATCTGTCTGCCTACATGTGAAGAATAAAGATGGGATCATTTCCCCTTTATTTTCTGTAGGGAGCAGGAGTAGTTGAAGGACACATGCTGCACTTATCCTCTACATTAATCTGGCAAGTTAAAACAATTTATAGGTAGTCTGGACATAAAAAGAAAGAACTTGAGCTGGTCAAGCAATATATTTTGTGCAATAAGAAAGTCAGCAGTTACAAAAACCGTCGATGCTCTTTGAGCCCAAAAATATTTAAACATGTCGAAGCCTATTTACTTACCTGCAGAGAGTCAGAAAAAAATTTGATATCAGAGTAATGCATGAGATTTGTATGTTTCATATCGGCCCTGTCTCAGAGCATCTGTTTATGTTCCTGCTAACATTTCTTCATCTTGTGTAGAATTAAAAATAGGCACAGAATAGCCACAAATTAACACAAAACTGACACCTAGACACCTCCAAATCACCAAAGCGACTACAAAGAAGTGAAAAACAACCAAAAAACAACAACAACAAGCCAAAAAGGCTACATAGAGATCCAGAAAAAGACACAGAAATACCTTGAAAAACGCAGAACATCTATAAAGCGATGCAAAACTAATGCAAACGCACAATGACCTAAAAGATGTCTCTCAATGTTGTTTGCTATTGTTGTTAGGAATGTGGGCTTGGGGCCCTTTACATGTCTGCGCCCAGGGGCTCATTGGCCAGAAATCTGGACTTCTACATGGGGGAATCACCACATTGAAACGAGAAAGGGTCTTACCCAAGCTTTGCTCAAAATTTGGATGCTCAATATCGTCTAAAAAAATCCTTCCACTGGAACTATCGGCTAAAACCATGAAGAACAGCCACCAAAACATAAATAAAGGGTGTCCAAATATCTTTGGTAATAACATTGTAGTTGAACCATGAATATGAAATACTCAGCGTGATGCATGAATGAACCAGATTTTTCTTTTTGGGGGGGATTTTCTGCTATCCATTAGGGAAACTATGAGCTAATTAGCGTTAATGGGACTATCATTTTCTCTCTGGGTTTTGACGTGGCTGAAGCGCTCCAGGGAGAGCACACATCACCCGTCAGATCGCTCTCCTCATTACACTCAGCGTGACTCTGATCCCCTTCAGCCCCCCCGCCAGGCCAGCCCCCCGTTTTGTTCCTCTTTCTTGGCTCTTTGCTGCTTTGATAACAGTGCTGTTAATGAGCGTGTCCTCATTGTGCTTGTCTCTGTTTTTAACTATGCAGCATTAGGAAGATACAAAGGTACAGTATAGATCCTCACCCCCCCGAGTCATCCTCTCATCGGTCTATTCATCATCTGTTTGTGTCAGCTGCACGTTGACAGGAAGTGTCACTCATCTGTCGTGTGTGTGTTTAATGCTCTGAGCAGGTCTGCCTGTTGGACTCCTATAGTTCAATGTCTCTAAGAGAGCGAAGGGACAAAAGGGGGGGCATGGACAAAGAAGGCTTTTCTTTCTGTGTTTACATAAGTAGCATCTTTCTGGTACTGGATAAACTTGTTCAGCCTGTGAGTACAATAGCCTCTTGTTTATAGGTCCTATTCATAGTTAGGTTATTTCCTGTTATTTCTATCAAAAATATTGAAAAAAAATGTTGGGAGATACTCTTAAAAGATTTCTGCTAATGTGTGTTTGTTAAATATGATCCTGCTCACAATTAGCTTAGCATAAAGACTCGAAGTAGGTGGAGCTAGCCAGGTAAAAAGATGAAAGGTCAGCACTTCTTGTGGTGCATTCACATGCTCCTTAGATTGTTCGATCTACCGAGTTAGAACGTTGTTTTTCCAACTTCAGTGTGTTAAAATTTTGAAAGCATAATGAACGTGAAACATAATGGACGCTACAAAAAGATGTGTTGTATTTTATTGCTCAATTCTGGCTAGCTTTAAAAATGTGTTTTTTTACCTAAAATCACCACTGTTATCAGAGTTAATGCTGATAACAAAGTTTTGTAACTAAAATAGATCACCCTCTGCGAACAGCAAATAATGGTTACAACCTTATAACATATTACAAATGACATTAGAAAATGATACGCATTACCAACAAATCCCATATACTGTCACCCGCCATGTTTTTAGCTAAATTTGTAAAAAAGTTAGTGGACAAATCGTAAGAAAGTCATTACTCAGTCTCGACCAAGATATATTCCAGCATATAACACTCCTTTTTACGTGTTACATTTTTAGATTTGAGATTTAGAGGTGCTGGTAAATGTTCATCTTTGGACAGAGCCCCGCTGATCTGAGTCTTCATGCTAAGCTAAGCTAACTAGATGCTAGCTTCAGTTGAATGGACAGACAAAGCAAATAATGGGTGTTTCCCAAATGCCAAAAGGACCATCACATCTTCATGTACTTCTTCACTTAAATCAAACTGTTCTTTTTTTTGCAGTTTTCACACAATTTCACTTAATTTCAACTTCATACATTGTCATCCTACAGGAGAATGTGTCATAAATGAGGGAGTTAAACATTGTGTAGGGGAAATGTTCTCTGTTTGTGCATGCTCAGGTACACAAGTACACTCATGCAAGACAATGTGGGTGGAGTGACACACGATGGACAGGGAAGCTCCTCCGTTTTTAGCATCCCTGACGATCTGTGTAGGGTGTGGTCCCCCCCCCCCCCTAAACCACACACACCCTCCCTTGATTTGATTGGCTGTGCATCTCTGTCCCACTGCAGCATGGGTGTCAGGGTGATGGACACTACTTGGGTGGCGCGCAGGGGCTCGTCTTCTTCGCGTAAATGCTCGTCCACGCCGCCGAGCGTGCACCCCCCCATCGCCCCCACTGACGCTCTCACCCCCGAGCAGCCTGCTGGGGATTTCTCTGCCACCCCCTCCCCCACCCCTCCTCCCACTAACAGCGATCGAGCCAGGTAAGGCTTTCGTACCCCCCCCTGGCCTTAACCTCCTCCCACCTGCTGCTGCTCCCCTACCCACCCGCGTGCCCTGCAACTGACCCCCGTACAGCGCCGTCTGCTCCACGTTCTTCTTGTCTCTTGCTGTTTTCCCCCACAAAATGCTCGTCCCCACCTCTGTATGAACCCCGGTGTCTCACCTCGGATGAAGCATGTCATGTCAAACGATGTCATTGCTTTAAAAAGGGCAAAATGTAATACCCTAAAATGTAAAATACACATTCATCCTCTTACCTGTAGTGCTATTCAATCTAGATTGTGTTGATGCTAGCTGTCGAGTTTTGGAGATATCGACTCCCTTCTCTAATTATAGTGGAACTAGATGGAACCTCCATGTGCTGCTTTAAAGGGCCACAAAGTCCATTAGCAGATTTAACATCAAGGGCCCAGTTACTAGTCACTGACTGAGCAGTTTAATATAGGAACTATTTTCTTTCTGCTAAACTGCTGAAACCACATCACTACTCAGAAAGAAGTACATTATTGTCTTTTAGTTATTTTATTATTATCTACATTGATCAATACTACTACATGTTAGAGGAACAATATGTATTTTTCATTTTCAGGTGAACTGTCCCTTTTTAAGTTGGTGTTCATTTCTCATCTCTAATTCTCTCATAAAGTAGCCACGTCTGGAAGAAACGTGTTGTGCCTGAGTGGTGTAACTCTATATCATGTTAAGATGTGTTCTTGTCCTTAGGTTGTTTCATGTAACATGTGGAAACAAAGTTGAGAAAAGTTCCTCCATAGTTGAGTGTTTCATTGCTGCATGTGCATGAATTATATCTGTTTTGTGTTTTTGCCATTAGTCCAAGCATCATTAACAGCTTTACAGTCCACTGTCGCAAAGCCCTGCACTGGATGAGGTGATTCACTTTTCAGTTTTATTTGATTTCCCATTTCTTCCATATTGTTTCCTCTGTTCTCTTCCTCGTTCATTTACTACTTCTTTGCTCCCACACCTCACAATAATTAATATTCGCCTGATTTCCTCCCAAACTTAAACTCTCCTAACAATAAATCCCACAGCTCTCAGTCTTAAGCTCTAATGCCTCCCTGCACTCAGCTCTGCAGCTCCAACCCCATGAAACATTCACGTGTTTATCATTGCAGCTCGGATGATGCATCCTCCAATTGGTCGGAATCCGGTTACGCCTACCCCTCCCCTGAGGAGGAGAGGCCGCCTCCCCCTTACCCCTCTTCCTCATCTTCCTCCTCATCCTCCTCTTGCTCTTCCTTCTCGCTCCCTCACCACCATCACTTCACCCGTGCACCTCTGGGTATGCGTCCCGTTGCTCCCAATCCCGACTCTGTGCCCCCCGGCCCTTCACCTCCCTCCCGCCGCTGTGGCTACAGCCCGCCCACGCTCCCCCACTCCCTCAGCCCCTCCCCCCAGCCGCTTGACGTCAACTCCAACCCCAAACCCAATTCCTTGCACCTGCCAAAACAGGCGTCCCTGTCCGTCGTGTCGCATGCGGCCCCGTCCGAAGCGAATGGCTCCACCCTTTACATCAAACCCCCGCTCGTTCTTACTCGTCAAGATCTTTTCCTTGGCTCCCCCAAACCCCCCAACACCCCCCTCTCTGCTCCCCCTCCATGGGCAGCCTGTGCCTGTAGCCGAGAGAGAGGAGCCAAGCTGACTAGGTAAATACAGAAGCCTGCTGAACTCGCTCCAACTTCCAACACAGCTCACACACACATGAAGAGAGAGGGATGATGTGAGGAGGAGAGGGGATGATGTGAGATTAAGATCCTCCCAGCAGCCCCCTGTTCTTTGTTCTCTTTTATTCCCTCCGTAGTGTATCCGTCAGTCAAGGAAAATCTATGCTCTTTAGGACTCCATTATCAGATCCATCCATCTTTTCATATAATTGCCATAAATGCAATCCATAACTTTCCATGTTGCCAGGATATTCAGGAGGCGGTTGCCAGGCAACAAAGGACATTCAAGGCTTTCGGTGCATACCATTATAAAAAGTGGGCGTTAATGAGTCATACCAGTGAGCCTTGAGTGGTAGACTGCAAGATCAGAGCAACACAATGGGCCTCATGCAGGCAGTGATTAGGATAACACATTTCCTCTTTTTTTTCCTTTGTATCCACATTTTTCTTTTCTAGGTACCCATTGATTTCTGGGATTTACACATTTCTTACTCTACTCTTAGATAAGAGAACATTTTGGAAGCAGTCGAGGGGCACTTTTACCAAGATAAGAAAAACATCTTGTGTTAGCAGTACAAAAATGGTCTGAGACATACTAGAATTTGAGAAAACAAAACAAAACTTCAATATCAGAGTGATTGAATTATTAGTGTTTGCTCATGGCAGAACACCTGCCATGTCAATAATCAACCACATGCCTCCAATTCATGATCAGAGCAGACATGGACTGTTAAGCAGCTTTGATTCAAATGGAGGTGACTTCTGTTATTTCTTCTCTTAAGTGAAAATGAAAATAAATTATAAATCAAATCAGGTTTTATTTATAAAGCACATTTTAAAAGCGATTTTTGGTCGAGCCTAAGTGCTGTACATGTAATAAAAAACACATTACTACAAAACACAATAAACGACAATAAATTACAACAGATATAACTTAAAAAACAAAATAAGAATAAAACACACGGAAAAGTCAGGAGTCGTGCTCCGCTCTAATTAGAAAGCCAGAGAGAAGAAGTGTGTTTTTAATGTGGATTTAAAAAAAAAACCCTACGGTCTGGGCCGACCTCACATGGAGGGGCAAAGTGTTCCAGAGCCTGGGGCCAGCTGCTGCGAAGGCTCGGTGCCCTCTGGTTGTTAGCCTGGTCTTGGGCACTACCAGCAGCAGCTGGTCAGCAGACCTTAAAGCTCTGGCTGGGGTGTAGCGCTGGAGCAGTTCAGCTATATAGGCCGGAGCCAGCCCATTTAGGGCTTTAAAAACAAATAAAAGGACTTTAAAATCAATTCTGAACCGAACTGGAAGCCAGTGTAGTGAGGCCAGAATAGGGGTGATGTGGTCGCGCTTTTTGTGACCAGTCAACAAACGTGCAGCCGCGTTTTGGACTAGCTGTAAGCGTTTGATTGAGGCCTGGTCCATACCCACATACAGAGCGTTACAATAGTCCAGTCTCGAGGTTACAAAGGCGTATATAAGAGGAATTTAAGTGAATTTCCAGCATGAGGCCCAATTTATGTAGACTTTGAAATTAAGCCCATGGATGCCCATGTGCATTGCTCCACTACATCTTTAAATCCCCGCAGCCTCAGTCAGACTCATCCATTCATGCCTCATCCGCTGAGTAAACTGGTTATGTTTGACCTTCAGGCCGTCCTCCCATTGGCATTCTGGCTGCACTGCACTGCAACATTAAGGAAAATCCATTAAGCCATTACAGTTTATTTGGGATTTTCGAAGTGCTTCTGCTGCCCCGTAGTGTGTACTACATGTTAGCCTGTGACAGTGATCACTCAGGCAACTTGACATTGAACTATGGGTCCTCTCATATTTTGTATGGCATGTTATTAAAGAGAAGGTAGATGCATGAGCATGCTTGTAATTCCTGTGTGTATTTTTCTCCTTCAATGTGTCCTCAGTACTCTAAAGAACAAGGAGCTGTCTCCAGTGATTGGACAGAAGGGACTGCAGGGACTGCAGGGGACGCTGACCTCTAGTGGATCTGATCACAGCCCCCACACCCTGAGGAGAGGTAATGAGGCTGAGCGCTGACCCCTCCATTAGTCTAAACTAGGGCGGTCGCGATATTTGTCATGTTACTCCAGTGTTTCCCCTATATACCAATAGTGGCGGCGCAGCGCCGCTGCTGAAATATGTGCTGCTAGGGGGCGCCAGCCAGGTACCCAAAAAAAAGAAAAAATTTAGTTTCTTTTAAATTTTCTTTTTTTTTAAAAACTAAAATAATAATAAGTGGCGACCCTTTTTCATTTTTGATTGTTTGTCATGTGGATTTGTAGTATTTATGTTACTGTATGTTCAATAAAGGTGTATTTTTCATTTATATATAAAATCTCGCCTAGGGCAGCAAATTGGCTAGAACCGGCCCTGGTACTAGGCCTCAAGAGCCTTTCTTGTGCTGGCAGACACATAGAAACAAATTGGCGGGACGCACTTCGCACACGCACACACAAACAAATTCCACGCGCTCACATTATGCTGGGCCCACGTGCCTTAGCACCGCTGCTATGACTCCATCCTAGGGGAAACACTGTACTCATTCATGATAATATCTTTAAAATATTCCAAAACCTCTTAAAGGGGACCTATCATGCAAAATGCACTTTTTTATGTCTTTTATACATAAATATGTGTCCCCGGTGTGTCAGGGAACTCACGCAGCGTCAGATAATAAAACCCTCTCTCTTTTCCTCCGCACCCAAATCTCTAAAAACGGGGCTACAACGGAGCTGATCCAGATTTGCGTCCGATATGACGTAATATCGGAAATGTGGACCCACGGCACTATCAGAAAGTTGCTATCAGAAACAATGCCCGACTGTTTTGGACGTAATATGGTCGGTGTTTACATTAGCATCGCTAACACTCAGAGCTAACCTGTACTGGAGAGAGCATGTGTGTGAAGAAGCAGGAAATAAAAAGGAACTCACCTTGTGGTATAACCGGCAAGAGAGAAAGCCTTTGAGCTCCATACTGTTTCAGAAATAATCCTTAATAATCCATGATATGGCGTTTCATCACGGCAGTATTTAGTTTAGACAGTAGCTGCCGGGTCCCGCATGAGCTCAGCCCCCTCCTTTTTTTTGTTATCAATTTTTTTTCTTTACAGCTTTATTCCCTAAATCAGCACTTTTGAAACAGGAAGTGAAATAGAGGGATATGAGGCATGGCTAGAATGGGTGATCTGTTTGGTATTTTGAGCAAAACACTTCATAGACATGTTTTTTATATATTTGTATATATCTGAGACCCATGCTATTGCCTACAAATAGCATGATAGGTGACCTTTAAATCATTTTTTTTCTGTTCTTCCTTTGTCGTCCACCAACCCCCCCCCCCCCCCTTCATGCACAAGTGTAACTAATTTGCTAAAAGAATACAAAATGAAATTCCATTGCCATTATATTTTCCAAAAGTTCTGTAGATATCGCAATAGCGTTATCGAGAATTCCTTTCCACAATAATTGTGTAAAGTATGACAGCTCCAGCCTTTAATATCATGTTCTCACTTGAAACGGTTTAATTTCATGTTATACTGACATTGTTAATGCATTATATCAAATGTATTCTGTTCATTGCTTGGTTTAGTAAAGTTACAAATATGAATATATAATTAAATCAATGCAACAACCACACAAAAAAACATATAAAATGAATCTTTACTTTACAAACATGGCAACATAGAATAACTTGTATTCCAATTATAATGCATTATAACAATGATGATGATGACCATCAATTCTGAGGTATTTTGATTCTTGACCTTACAAGTAACACTTTCTTATGTGTAATGATTATTATAATAAAGCATTATGGAGATTAATTCGGCCTCACAACTATAATTATAAAGTGCTATAAGCAGACTACAACGCAATGTGTATGTTTGTCTATAACTATAATGCATTATAGACATTGGTTTCATAGAAAGTGCTGCCAAAAGTGATTCTTCAAACTGGTTCTTTTGACAGCTGCTCTCCAGCAGTGACTCTGCTCCATATTGCTCAACACGTGTCAAATCTCACTGCAGTTTTGTAATATTTATATAACAGGAATATGTTTTTCTGTTCTCTCTGCAGCAAAGAAGCTGGCCCCGATCCCCCCCAAAGTCCCGTACTGCCAGTCAGGAGCCATGTCGGACCAGTCCACAGGCCAGCCGTCCCCTGTCAGCCTGTCGCCCACCCCCCCCAGCACCCCCTCCCCGTACAGCTTCAGCTACCCGCAGGGATACGCCACCATCGGCTCCCCGGGACAGATCCAGCTGGCCTCCACCCCGTCTCTCTCCTCTCCCCCCTCACTGGCCGGGACCCTCACCAAGGCCAGGCCCACCCCCAAGCCACCCCGGCAGAGACCCAGCTTACCCCCCCCTCAGCCCCCCAGCACGCCCGGCACCAGCCCCCAGCCCCTGGATCATTCTTCAGGCCTCCTGGATGGTTTGTCTCCTGGGGAAAGCATGTCCACAGGTAAGGTGTATGATACAGATAACAACACATCTGTACACGTGTACACCTGTTGTGTTCAAGTACAGCTTTGAATACTCACTTTTTTAATTTATGAGATTTCACTGCATTTACCTTAGCCCATTAATTACTGGTTATTCTAAGGTATGATTTTGTTATTTTGCATAAATTATAATTTGGCTTCTGTTCAACCAGACTTTACAAGATTATTTAACAGGTCATACATATATGAATGAATGATTGATTCAATGTTATCACTGAGTTACCATAAACTTTTGATAACTAATATATTTCCGACTTTTCAAAATGTCAACCTGGCAGTGAATTAATCATTAGTTTAGATTAGTTTACTTGAGATTAGTATATAGTTCAGTTTAGATTAGTTTAGTCAAGATTAAATTAGTTTATTTATTTCAGTTTGGTTGTTTTCAATGTATGCATTCCAAAAACACATTAAAAAAAGAAAAGAAAAGAATAATAATAAGTCTTTACAGGTAGGGAAGTCAAATGGTGTCTTTTCATGGGACTTGTTGAAAATCATCATTATATATGATATGGTAATATACTGTATGTCTATTTCATGTTGGCTGTTTCTGGATTTAACTCTTTTTATCTCTTTATTTACCTCAGTAAGTTTCAACTGTATTTTCTTGTACTTGTCCCCTCTTGTCGACTGCTCTCGTTGTCTCACTTACAGCGGTATGAGCCGAGAGGTTCAGTGTGATTCTATGTGTGAGAGGGACTTTTAGGGTAAGCAGGAGTTCCTGTGCTAAAGCCTCACCCCCCACCCCTCCAACCCCCCTGCCATGGAGTCAGCTCTCAGTAGGGTGAGGTTGCCAGTAGATGCAGATATTATATCAGGCTTCTGTCTGATTCCCCGCTCTATGGCAGCCTCACTCTTAATGCACTCCTTATTGTACATTACCTTTCATTATGTATGTAGAGTGCTGCAGGGATGACATACTTTTTTTTCTTATTCCCTGACTATGAGACTAGGGAACCTGAAGTGCAAAGCGCTGACTCATTTCCAGGTTTTAGGAGTCATCCTGCAGCACTCTATACAGCAGCTGTCCTCAGACCAGCTTTAACCCATTGTTTCAGCCTTTGCATGGCGGCTGAGATCGATGCGATGCATGGCTAAACAGACCGGGGCGGTCGCCAAAAACCTCCAACCTTCTCTGCCCTCAGGATTCCCACCCATAATGCCCTGCTCCAGATGCCCCCCCATACCCTCCCCTCCTACTCCAACTCCACAGTGTTGTGCCTCACTGCCCTCACCATCGCTGTTCAGTCTGCACACTTCCTGTTTGTGCAGATATTCATCACACATGTTACACTGTTGCATCAAAACTGAGGTCAATATATTAGTTCATACACAAGGATGACTACACTGATCTCATGGTCTGGGTCCGACAGTGTTTACTGGATTGACTAGCCTTTTTATATTGATCATTGATCATGTCTGAATCAGGTGTTAGCAATGGGTATATAGATAGGGGATGAGTCGATACAGATATTAGCATCGTGGGATCTTCGGTTCCTAAAGCTTGACTCATGCTATAAGGATTAAACGTCAGTATATTTTCGCCTTTCATGGAACTATATAAAATGAGGTAATTGTAATCATTTCTGTTGCGCTGGGCAAGCATTGAACTCAGTATTGTGATAAAGTTAAAAAAGTCTTTACTATCTATTTGAACTAATTAAAATAAATGCACTACATGGCCAAAAGCAAGTATGCAGACACCCCCATGACATACTGTGCACCTTGTAAATCGTGCACCCCTTTCATGCTGTTTTTATTTTTCTCATACTTTGGTTCAATGGTCTGAGTTTATAACGACCCACCTGCTGTGTGTACCATCATCCAGCTTTCTTTCACCCACATCAACAGTATTGTCATTTCACTCTCTTTCACTGATTTCCTGTCTGTGTTTTGGCCCTGCCAGATTGTCTCTGCAACTTGGACATCCCCATCATCGACGTGGAACTGAACTGTATTTTCGACCTGACCCACATCTCCCCCTTCAGGAACTCGGTGGCACTGCGTGAACCCACGGGCTTCAGAGCCGAGTCGGAGGAAGAGTCTGATAGCACAGTGCTATGACGCCACTGAGCCCCCCCCCCCCCCCCCCCCCCCCCTCCCCCTCCCCTGGCACACACTCATACATTGACCTTTTCACTTCTCCCACTGGATTACTGACAGCCTCGCTCTGGATCTCATCGTCACACCTCACTGTACTCCAGAGGGGTGAAACTGTGAGAAAACAACAAAAGATACCCAAAATAAATCCGGATCACACGAGGCGATGGCGACAATGTTGTCAGGGGACTTTTAATCAGACACATACTTTGACATTTTGTGTTTACTGTTTGTTTTTATTTTAATGTTTTTTGTTTCTTTTGCCTTATTTGATTCACTTGCAATATTGCCTTTAACTTCACACACGAGAAAAGGCATTATGTAATAACACAATATTTAACAACCAGGAAAGATTTTTGTAATAATCCGCAACATTTTGTAAAAAACCGCCTGAGCACAAAATGTAATTAATTTCTCCGCATTTTATAACAAATACGTTTATCACGAAAAGCCGGAACACTTTTATTCATTAATATGTAATAATATATTATCTAAGTATTACAAACCTAAATGCACGTCTTCATTCCAAAAAAGTGTAATATGCATACTGACTCATTTGCAAATATACAATTAGTTAGGTAGATTATATTTCATTGGTCAAATCTACAAATGCAATTTTAGCCTTCTTTAAAGAACAGATGAAGACTTACTTGGTTATCATATAATGTATCTTTTACATTTCAATCAATAAAATAGCTTAATATTTTTGCAAATACCACTTTAGTCTCTAATAATTAACATCAAAATGCGGGGAAACATTTTACATTTTGCATTCAAGCTGTTGACTTTACAAAATGCTGCTGTTATTACATGAAGTGGAAATGCACTACATTTTCTGGAGTTGTTACATAATGTGTTATTAAAGGCTGCTGGGAAGGATGAGTGCGCTCTGTTGCTGCTTCTCCTGAGTGAATTTAAGAAGTACTGTACATCTGTCCTGCCAACTCTTCCTCCTGTTTGTTTCCCATCTCACATTCCTCTTCATCCCTCAGGGGTATCAGTTGAAATGCCTGTGGAGGCAACAACCCTGAGTATGTGTCCCGTCTGAGCGTTCACTGTGAGTGTGCCAGTATGTCGTTTTGGAAAGTGTGTGTGTGTGTGTGTTTGTATGTGTTGTACTATCTGATGTTGCACTGTTGGTGTCGTGGCGCTTAAACAGGAATGCATGTTTTAGAGATTTAGGAAACGACCAGGTTGCAAAGAGCTAAACAAAAAACAATCACACTCTCATCTGTATTTACATCAATCAGGATATCAATCACTGAATATTTATTGTTTATATTGTACATTTTCAGAATATATGATACAATTAAGGTTTTAAATCAGATCAAATCCTATTTTGTATCTAAAGGAGAGCTATAAAGATACCATTTCCTCCAGATAGCATACAGTAGATGCTGTCAGAACTCTAACAAACATATGAGATACATACAGGTACAAATTGAAAGGGTTTGGATGGCTTTTGCAAACAGGCTGGGAAATGAAAAACTCCATGTGATAAGTAATAAGTTATTTCCAGTTTGCAGACTGTGGAGCAGGGTCCACAGAGTCCATGATGCCTGGAGTGTGCCACGGGGACATTTGCTGAAATTATGAATTATGAAGCTGTTATCTATTGGCTCTGTGGGATGGACTTTCCTTAGAGGTGTCCTGTGGAGTTTTCTCGTAAATGAACAGAAGTTATGTTCATATTTAGTGTCTCTCACCAGACACAAGCAAAGCGATTAAAAGCATATCCTTCCTTTAGAAGAGTGCGATGTCCATGTCCTCGCAGTTTTCGACTTCTCTGCTTCTGAGGGCTTATTGCTGTGACCACCAAATCAGTGGAATTGCACAAGATCGGCAGGGGACTGTTATTTGTGTCCCACCTTCATTGAATCAGTTTTGCAAATAAGAGCTGAAATCGCAATTTGGACTTAAATATCCAAATTGCGATGGACACCATATTTGTTATATGTGTCAATATACTATCTTTAACATGTCACTGTATTGTGGTGCTGCAGAGATGTCCTGGCATACAAAACGTATCCTGATGATAATGTTTTTTGGAAAATCTTTGTTACAGATCCTAGCTAAATGTGATGATTTAGTTATTGAAAAAGAATTCCCTCCAATATCGTGAATAATGTCGCAATATTCAATATCAATCTAGATGATAATAAGAAGATAAGTAGATCTGTTTTGAAATGATTCAAGCTACAGTAAGTGAAAATATCATCTGTATCCACCTCAAAATGTAGTCCCAAAGCGCTGCTACTGATCAACAACTCCACAGGGCCCCTTACATCTGTCATACTGCTGGAATAAATATGAAGAGCCAACCACTAAGTGATAACAACATTTGAATAGCAAATGATAAAGCAAGGAACACAACAATTGTGAATTATGATAGGAAGACACACATTTATGAAAAGTAAAAATCGTAAAGTAAACTTGTGAGCCAACAGCTGCCAGCGTCACAGAGCAGCATCATCATTCACGTGACACTCCGGCGGCACACTTCAGGCTCCCTCTGTGACGCCAAACCTCAGCAGAATCCTCCCAGCGAGGTGCTGTTCAGCTGAGCGTGATGAGATCTCATCCTCCTGCCCTGAGGTGTAATAACGTCCTATCATATCTCAACTGAAAACAGTCACACTCCCTGAAGAAAAGGTGCTATTTTTGTCGCCTGCAGCCTCAGTGGCAAAAACAAGCACACCTTTCTCTTTCACCTTCACGCCCCCCCCCCCCCCCCAGACCCCTGTCTGATGATGCTGGTGTTTTCGGTCTATATAAGTGAACCAAAGGCAAGTGCAAAGATATGTATGTGTTTATTTTAATGAGAGTATTTATACAGATATATTTCTGAATACTTTTTACTAGGTCTGAAGAGTTGTGATTGTTTCCACTACACATGAATCTCATCTAAGAAAAAGGAAACATGGGACCAGAATTTCCCTGCTGTCGCATCGAAACCTTTTCAGGAAGCAGAAAACTTGAAAATCAATAAAACTGGAGTAACAAGGTTTGCATTCGACAGCAGCAGTTTGTTATTTGCCTTGTGGGGGGTTTCACTATGACCCATCCAGATTTCACTCTCCATAATGTCCTGAAAACATCCACTACACATGGCCTCAAAGTCACTGTGCTGCTCTGCCACCCTCTATCTTTCAAATATCACTTACAGGACTTTTGTAAATAGTGAGCCGCTGTACATACCAGTTCTGTATATAGTGGCAGGGGAGAAATCAAATATATATATATATATAGATATATGAAAATACTGCATTGAAAAATATGTCGATGAACATTATATTACAATGTCGCTGGTTCTAGCACAATATCGCCACATTCACACAAAAAAAACAACCTTTACTGACATAGGCTCAAGGTTAAATCTAGATTTAGATTTACTTAATAAAACCTGCTGATAGTGCTTGTGTTGCAGATAAGAATTAACCTCTTGAACCCTCATTTTAGCTTTGCAGTTGAATAATATTGCCTTTCTGTATTAGCTTGTTCTAACACATCTTCGCAGCTACAGTACATGATGTTACATTTCTTCAAATGGAGAATTCAAGATGTTCCAACAGAGAATCCAGCATATTTGATATTTCTCTAAATGTGCGGATCTTGTTTAAAATGTAAAATCACTTTCTGTGGGCTTGCACAAAGCTTGTCCGAACAACCTGCAGCTGTAACGCAGGGTTTGAGAGGTTAAAAGAGACTCTGCATGAAACTGTTGCACCGCTGTCTTTTTGTTTCACAGCGAAACAAAAACTAAGATCTTTACAGTTACCTTAGATAGATATGTGATAGATAAAAAAAGAACAAATCAGAACCTGCAAAAAAAGTTTCCCAGGCACAGAAACAACAGGATATTTAAGGGCTGTGAATAACACATATTTATTTCCGTCTGGCATTTCTGCTCTTCAAAATAACACTTTCTGTCAATCAAAACAAATCGACCTAATGTTTCAGCTGTGCTACAATTCACACCAATGATTCAATCCGACCCTTCAATCAATACAGCATCTATGCCAGTGTTTATAAGTAGGAGTTTATTTTTATTTTCTTTAGAAAGTAATTGTTGCAATTTGGCTGTGCTGAAGTGAATGGTGTGTCCTGTCTATGTCTGGATTTCTGTGTTACAATGTGCTGCTCTTCGTTTTGTACTAAAGGGTTTCAGATTAAGGCTTGTACATACAGTATTCATCAAACACAACTTTATTAACAATAACCGTGTCGAGCAAGAGACAGCCGGGAGACAGTTTCCAGTATTACAGCTTTTGCAAGCATGCCCTTTGAGCACAAAAAATACGAAAGGCCTTTTTTTACATGAATAGGTGGAATGTATTGGTGATAGACGATGTTCACCTCATACTGTAGGTCGTGATGAAGGCAGACTGTTTGTGTTGTGGACATATTCTCAAGTAAAAGAGAGTGGTGGGGTATTTGATCAAAAGTGTCAGTTTTGGGTCGGGAGGCGTGGGGGGCGTTTGATTCGATGTGTGAAACTCGGCAGCATGCTTTTTTAAACCATGCCTATGAAATGTGTCTCATCTTTGGTCCTATATAAATGTGCTTGTATTTATTTTTTATAAGTGAATAGATCAACCTTTATAAAAAAAGAAGAAGAATTTAGTGCTGCCCTTTGACCTTTTTTAGTCAACTTTCCACCAGTTTGTTTTGAAACCATCATGATTTACTGTTTCCCCCATGTATCTTCTGTGTTTATACAGTGTCTATAGCAAATAAGAAAAGCACATCTGGCTCAGAACAGAGATCACTGTCAGGAAATCAAGCTGTCGTTATGTTTGTGCCCAGAAAACTACGCTTTCAAAGGACAACAATCTCTAGAAAAGTTCAAGAAAATCATATAGCAAGCAAGAAAAAACCCATGCTGCATTTGTTTGAACCCAAACTATTTGTAGATTACACTGTGGTGCATGCAGCCATTGCAAAAATCCATCTCCAATCCTCTTTTCTTTCCTTGTTTTTGCTTACGTTCCAATTAATGGGGGCCAAAATAAAAAGGGAACACATGAGTGATCAAGGAATCTTTTGAGACTTCAAAGTTATTTGTGTGAAACTGTAGTGACGCTGTGGACTCTTTAAAGTTTTGAGGAAATGCCTTTTTCTTGGACGAGCTATCTCCCGGTCACCAAGTGGAACACAGTGTACAGTAAGATAGAATTAAAATTAACCTCATTCGAATGTTGAAACTATTAAAAAATGTTTTTATATTACCTGGAGTTTCTGTGCCTTTGTTGCAAATGTGGTGTCACTGTTATTTCACATAAACAAGTGTTATATATAACAGCATTTGGAAAGAAGCATATTGAAGAACACAAAAAGGCTGCAGTATATTAAATGTTCAAACTGTCACGGTGATTTCTCTCCTCCAGGAAGCCTTCAGTCACATCCAAGGCAGTTCAGTGAAGGCCAAACATTCTGCAGAGGCATAAAACACTCCATTACGTTTCTGAATTGCGAGGTCAATCACAATGTTAAGTCTCTGACAGTGACAGCACTGAAATGCATGAAGACCTCTAAGATGAACATTTCACATGCTCTGCTAAACGTTAAACCTAAAATCTCAAACATACAGCTGCCATGTTAAAACCAAGCTGTGCTGCATGCAAAGATTGGAGCATGCAGAGAAAAGTACAACAGTGTCTACAGCCAAAATGCTGTTTCTCTGAAGCTAAAAGCTAAATGCTAATATGCTACCATGATCTCAGTGACAACGCTAACATGCTGATGATCTTGAGTTTAAGCATGGTGCTAATTAGCAGGAAACACAAAGTACAGCTGAGCCTGATGGGAAGGCCATTAGTTTTGCAGGTATTGGGTCATCATTCTAATGGCGCCTTTCCACTACACGGCCTCGCTCGGCCCCGCTCGGTATGGCTGGGCCTCGTTAGGACTGGCTCACTTTATGGCGCATTTCCATTACAGTTTAGGAACTGGGGCAGTATCTATAGTAACGCAGTATAGGCGGAGCCGTGACGTGATCTTCAGAGGACCCCAGAAAAACAACACAGCCGTTAGCTGTTAGCACTCACAGCCAGGAAAACCACATTCCCCCAGGATAATTAAAGTATTTCTGAATCTGATTCTGATTTTTTTCAGACAAATTTATATTTTCTTTAAGGATTTATCCTCCGTTCACCATGAATGTCTGAATACAATTGGAACAAGGTCATTGTTTTGCAAGTGTCAAGACTGACCAGTCCTAGGTCAAGGTGAAGCATTAACTGAGTTTCATAGTATCACACAAGCAAAATAACGAGATTCCCTACCTTTGACCTTTTGTCCACAACATTAAACCGTGGTGAGGCGGCTGCTGCGGATCACTTGTCCTGTTAAGTGATCGGAACACAGAGCAAAATGTTACTTGGTGCAGATTTGCTTCATTCAACACTTTGAATCATCGCTAAAATCAACAAGATTATTATAAAGACAATCATCTTTTCATTAGATTAATGTTGGATGAGTAAGCATACAGTGCATCCGGAAAGTATTCATACCCCTTCACTTTTTCCACATTTTGTTATGTTACAGCCTTATTTCAATTTGGATTAAATTCATTTGTTTTCTCAACATTCTACACACAATACCCCATAATGACAAAGTTACAAAAGTTTTAAAATAATTTTTGCTAATGAATTAAAAATAAAACACTCAAATATCCCATGTGCATAAGTATTCACACCCTTAACTCAATACTTTGTTGAAGCACCTTTGGCAGCAATTACAGCCTTAAGTCTTCTTGAGCATGATGCTACACGCTTGGCACACCTTTCTTTGGGCAGTTTCTCCCATTCTTCTTTGCAGATCGTCTCAAGCTCCATCAGCTTGGATGGGGAGCGTCGGTGCACAGCCATTTTCAGATCTCTCCAGAGATATTCAATCCGGTTCAAGTCTGGGCTCTGGCTGGGCCACTCAAGGACATTCACAGACTTGTCTCGAAGCCACTCCTTTGTTATCGTGGCTGTGTGCTTAGGGTCATTGTCCTGTTGAAAGGTGAACCTTCGCCCCAGTCTGAGGTCCAGAGCGCTCTGGAGCAGGTTTTCATCAAGGATCTCCCTGTACATTGCTGCATTCATCTTTCCCTTGATCCTGACTAGTCTCCCAGTTCCTGCCGCTGAAACACATCCCCACATGATGCTGCCACCACCATGCTTCACTGTAGGGATGGTGTTGGCCAGGTGATGAGCGGTGCCTGGGTTCCTCCAGACATGATGCTTGGCATTCAGGCCAAAGAGATCCATTGTGGTTTCATCAGACAATTTGGTTTCTCATGGTCTGAGAGTCCTCTAGGTGCTCCATGGGGGCTTTCATGTGCCTTTTGCTGAGGAGTGGCTTCCTTCTGGCCACTCTACCATAAAGGCCTGATTGGTGGAGTGCTGCACAGATGGTTGTCCTTCTGGAAGGTTCTCCCATCTCCACAGAGGAACACTGGAGCTCTGTCAGAGTGACCATCGGGTTCTTGGTCACCTCTCTGACTAAGGCCCTTCTCCCCCAATGTTCAGTTTGGTTTGGGCGGCCAGCTTTAGGAAGAGCCGTGGAAGTTTCAAACATCTTCCATTTGCAAATGATGGAGACCACTGTGCTCGTTGGGACGTTCAATGCTGCAGACATTTTTCTGTACCCTTCCCCAGATCTGTGCCTTGATACAATCCTGTCTCTGAGGTCTACAGACAATTCCCTGGACCTCATGACTTGGTTTGTGCTCTGATATGCACTGTCAACTGTGGGACCTCATATAGACAGGTGTGTTCCTTTCCAAGTCATGTCCAATCTATTTAATTTACTACAGGTGGACTCCAGTCAAGTTATTGAAACATTTCAAGGATGATCAGTGGTAACGGGATGCGCCTGAGCTCAATTTTCAGTGTCAAAGCAAAGGGTGTGAATATTTATGTACATGTAATATTACATTTGTTACATTTGCGAAAAATTCTTTAAAAACGTTTTCTATTTGTCATTATGGGGTATTGTGTGTGGAATGTTGAGAAAAAAAAATGTAATCCATTTTGAAATAAGGCTGTAATGTGAAAAAGGTTAAGGGGTGTGAATACTTTCCGGATGCTCTGTATATTTATCATCTGCTCTTACCAAAGTCCATGTGGATGTCTAGCGGTGAGTTGTACATCTGAAGGTGTTGCTGAGGCGTCAAGAGCTCCTCTCGAGCCAGCAGCTTGTAGAGAACCCTCTGAGAGGCGATCAGCTCCGGGGTCTCATCCCACACATATTTATTTGAAGTTATTATTAATAATAATTGTCAATTTTGTATAAATTCATCATGGTCATATCTAATTATTTCTGGTTTTCTTTCACTTATTTTGTTGCCTTGATGTTGTCAACTAACAGCCAAGGGTTAATATTATTTTTAAATGACCAGGAACATTTATTGAGTGATTGAGGCTTTTATTGCTACATTTATTTAATACTTATAGTAATTATTTATTTTTTAATCATTTACTACAATGACAGCTCTTGGCCTCCATATGCTGTACATCAATCCCTAAAGAGACCATAAAACTGAACACACCTTTTTAGATTTGTCCAGTGTCTGCAGCCCTGACAGAACGGTGCACACTAAAGTTTCTGTGGCCTCCTCCTCATCCTCAAGAGCCTTCGCTCCAGGGTCTCCTGCCACCTGGTCTGCTTCGAGCACCTTCAACAACATGAAACACTCAAACACTGCAACAAACTCATGCATACAGATTATAATTCAGAGAGGGAAATCATAGAAGAGGGGACATCTAAATAAATGCGTGGAGAAAGTGAATGAATGCTTCTGATGGCTGGTGCTGTAACAACACCTTACTAAGACAATTTAAAGTATCACCCAGTGTTATTTTTCTGCTATTAATCAGTGTGGGAGAAGTATTCAGATGTGTTACTTAAGTAAAAGTAGCAATACTACATTTTAAAAGTACAAGTAAAAGTCCTGCATTCAAAATCTTACTTAAGTAAAAAGTATTGTTATTAATGGCCAATTTCAGAATCGTATATTGAATTGCTGGGTCACTATTATGATTATTCATGTGTTTTGATCACAACTGGTAAATGAAGAGCTCATTTGAATAATTTGTTATACTGCTACTTGATATCTTAACCTATAAATATATGTCAAAGTTTATTTAATCATTGATTTAGATTTTGTATTAGCTAATAATATAGCCTAAAAAGTAACTAGCAGGGTTCATACACTTTTTCACCAATGACTTTTCCATGACTTCTCCATGACCTTTACCTATTTTTCATGACCAAAAAAATGACTCTCTCAGCGGTACCACTGAAAATGGTTTATTTGAACATGGAACAGGAAAATAAGGTCTGCATATGAAACATGTTGTGCCTATCTAAAACAAATCAAATAGGCTTACTAGCTTCTACACGCTAAAGAAACTCAAATCTCTCACCAGCAAAATACCTCGACAGTTAAATGCCATTTTACGTTTCATTACTATACGATACAGTATTTATTATCATTATAGTATTACTATTTCGGCGATTAGATAAAATATAAATTATATTTGATGCAACTTTAGTTACATTTCCAAGACTTTTCCAAAACTTTGGGAAAAATATTGTTTTCCATAACCTTTCCAGGGCCTGGAATTAGCATTTTGAATTTCCATGACTTTTCCAGGTTTTTAATGACAGTAAGAACCCTGAACTAGTTACAAAAGCTGACAAATAAATATGGGGAGTAAAAATGTAAATATTGGCTTCTTAAATGTAGTGGAAGTACAAAGTAGCATAAACTGGGAATACTCAGGTAAAGTGACTCAACATTGTACTTAAGTACAGTACTTGAGTAAATGTACTGTGTTACTATCCACCACTGATATGAATGCATCCTCAAAGATGAAAGCTCACCTTGTAGCTCCACTGTTGGAACAGCCTGCTCTGAGGATGATGGGCCATGAACACAACCCTGGGAGCTTCCAGCAAGGCACTGAAAGAGATGGAAACAATGGTTCTGTTTACCAGATATAACAGTCTGGTTTTAGGGTATTTGTATCCCTTTTGATTATTCTACAGTGAGGGGTGTTTATGGACCTAGTTACACGTGAAAAAAACAGACGAACAAATGAGCACACACACAGGTAGACATTATTATTTGAACACACCATGACAGTGCTTTTAAGTTGAATGTTATTCATCTGTTTCCATCATTGTCAAACATGATACCTTTGTCTTCAAACATACATATATGTGCTTTGAAGTTGGCAGGGTATGACTTCATCTACTAAATATTCTTTTATGATCTTATTGCTTTTATTTGCACTTTCCTTTACTGTTTCCTTTTTTCCTTTAAAGCACTCTTTGAAAGGAGAAGTGCTACATAAATCAATATTTCCTTTTGATGGAATTGTGCAGTCATAAAAACATTGGGTCTTTGGTTTGAATATTTAACTTAGTACAAGAAGATAATTTAATGATACATGATTATTTTGCAACCTTAAACCACTTTTCATGTGAGGATGAATGAAGCATCATTACCCGTCTGTCTGGTGTTGCATGTCTTTAAGGTCTGTCAGAACAGAGAGCAGAACCTCTCTGGATGACTGGAAGAGAGGCACAGAGAAGCGTAAGAGCACCATATTGAGTCATAATGGATAACAGTAATGAGGACTGAGTAATCAAATAGCCGCAGCCGCAATTATATCTGAAATAATGCATAGAAAGATTGTAGTGGTTGTCAGTGGTTACTAGAATACATTTGTTTAGTTGGTTTATTTTGGTAATTCAAAATATGGCAATTTAAAATGTATTTGTATTTATTTAATTGACTCCAATGTTGTAAAAACACTCACATTGCACTTTCAGTTTGTACCAATCTTGTATGGGTCATTTGTTTCAACCAACTGTGGATCCTGAAAATCCAAAATACTTGCAATAGCTTACATTTTTGGTTGAATGTATCCAAAAGTATTCAGATTCGATTACATTTTTTGTAATTCAGTGGATTACATTTCTACGCAACCTTAATGATAACACAACACACATCTTCCTCATAGACAAACTTGAAACTCACTTCGATGATATGCAGCAGACAGGATGGGTAAATGTACAGCCGGCCCGTCATCAGATCCCATGAATACCGTTTGCTAAGCTGAAAGTTGAGTCTCTCGTAATGAGCTGCGTGGAGACAAACAAAGGAATAGTTTGTTGCCGATAAGTGAGAAATGAGGCAGCCTGACAACTTGAAAGTGTCTCTGTCGTTAACACACAGTTCAGCCTTTCTTTTATTGTGTCAGTATTCCTAAGCAGCAACTAGAAAAAGCCCAACAGACAGGACGCCCTGCAGACGCATTCTCATAGAGGTGTGAAAGCTTATAAAAACTCCAACAAAGGGAAAGTCTGTCACAGCTCTTTTCACATTTTTGTCATTTTAAAGAGTTGAGAAATAGATGTTTCTCCACATAGATCAGTACATTTGTAACACCAATCACCATCATCCTGCACTCCCCTGAAGGAAAACAAGATGACATTGGTAGAAGGTGATTAGTTCATTGATTTGAATGAAGGGGGAATAGCAGTGCCTTATTATTATCGAGCACTGAGCTATTGTGCCCCCGCTCTTCGTGGCTCTAAGGTAATTGCTGGCTGACCTCCAAGTTCTGTCCTGTCAGCGAGGTCGTGGGGGAGCCGAGCAATCACTATCAGCCGCTGTAGCACGATCCTCTGGGGAGACAACGGAGAAAAGTCTTAGAAAAGCTGCAGAGCAACAGCAGAAAGTGCTTTGTTACATATCACACACATACAGGAGGGAACACACATGCACAAAGTACAAATAAGCTATATATGTTAATACATAATGTGCTGTTTGATATCATGTTTTTAGCCTTAATTCAACTTAGATCTCAGAACTCTAACATGCCTCTACTCTAAGCTGTATTTTTACAAACCTCTTCCTTTTCTAGATCAGTCTTCTTTGTCATAAGTAGGTGAAATAAACTACTCCCAGATTCCTCCTCTTTCTTTTGTTCTGCTTTAATGTCTTCCATCTTACTGTCTCCTCGTCCAAATCAAGCACTGAGTGAGTAAAGCCTTAGCGAGCTGCGTGCCCTCTCTGTTTATAAAAGCTTATATCCTAGAAACCTATTGTTCCCCAGATGCTGTAAAACCAAACCGGCTGCACTCGGATGCAATTACATATATATAGGCTGCATGAAAAAGGCACGAGCCAATCCCAGCCTTGTATTTCAGGTGATAACAGCCAATAGGAGGAGGATGTGCACAGGACAGAGGACACAGTAGAATAAGCAGTTTTGGTTCAAGTTAGCTGGTTCCTCCTATGATAGGAGAATGTATTATTACTAATATTACTAAATAAAGGTTGTATACTGTATGTGGACAAAATAAATGTTAACAAAGATAATACATAGGGAAATAATTAAATATGAAATAAATCAATTCAAAAATCAGTTATTTGTTTTATTTCTAAGGCTTTTATGTCTACATTTCCCTTCAAATTGAATTTATTGTGCATCAATTTACTGTAGGTCAATTGCTAGTTTTCATATATAAGTCTAAATTGTATTTGAGATATATTAAGTGGCATTGTCATTATATGTCATGAAAGAAAAATTTCATGTGATCAATATGGCTACTTCAGTGATTGTTGGCAATTATTTTGGGCCTTTTTTAAAGTGTTTCCCTTCATTATGGGTTAGTCGAGTAACGTTCAAAGAATGTACACAGTAACCTCACATAGCAGAGTAGCTAGGTGAGCTAGCTAACTCCCACCATGACAGGCTGCAGCAGCACAAACCTCTCTCATGTGACTGTTGAACACGTCGAACATGGTCGCTGAGTCTTCTTCCATGTCCTCGGAGTCTCTGTCCCAGGAAAAGCTCATCATTTTCTCTAAACTCTTCTCAGTCATTTTGTTTAATTAGTTGTAGGAGCTCCGCACGGTTACCATGGAAACATGTGAGGTAATGACGCGTTTGACGTCAAAGACCACGCAGTTGTTATTTTGACAAACCAAGCCAAATCTTATCACTTGTTGAAAAAAAATGCAAGACTAACTTAATCTGAATTCTGTATTTAGAGAGATAATGTAGTACATTGTAATAATAATAATAATAACACAACAATTAATACAAGTGTTACAAAATGTAGAGGACAAATGTGTGGAAACATTTCCAGTTAACTAAATACATTATGTCATGATTTTATAAATACTCTCTTGGTAAATGAATAGTAAAACAAGTAAATAGAAAGTAACATTGATATTATTGATTTAATTTCAGAATTGTGTTCTTTTTTTTGTCAAAACTACTTCTTTTTTAAATTACTCAACCTACAGATACGTTAATAAGTTAAGAAATGTACCCTTTTTTAAGTACATTTTTTATTTTGTCCCCATTTTAACTTCTAAAATATATTTTAAACTATTATCTAATACTTTAGACTGCTTATTTTATATGTTTTTACTTTGTACCTTAAAATTCTGTAATCTAATAACGTTGATTTACAGAGTAAATTAAGATTCTCCATACAGATGGTTTGCACAACACAAGAACACCTTGTTTACACAGTTAATTTAACAACACAATATGACTTTATTTATTTCAAGATTTGTTTATTCTGTCCCTAACATCATAAAAACTTAAATCAAGTAATACTAAACCCTGTTGTAGTCGATGAGCAGCAGATGGTGCTAACTTGATATTGACTTATTTTACGTTATTTGTTATAATGCGTGATCATGCGCAGTTTGTGTGCAGCAGTGAAGCTCGTGAACACAACAGAGCAAGTGAGTGCTAAGGAAATCCACCCTAAAATCTGTTTCTTTCCAGGGTTGTTTTCAATAGCTTTATCCACATGTATTTTCCCAGTCTTAAAAAGAGAATACAATAGTTTAATATGTCACACTTTTATCCAACCTGAGTCACACATATCGGGATTAATAATATTCATATTTAGGGTGGACTCTCCATTAAATTCCCCACTGAGAGGAGTCAGCACAGATCATCAGACATCAGAGAAGAAGCTCGGCCTCAGCAGCTCACACAAGCGGGAATAATGGACTGATAAACATCACTGTTTGGGGCGATGTTCAGGTACTAAATGCTTTTGATTTCATTGTATTTTGTCTTCATTTGGAAACCAGTTCAATTAAAACACTAGAGCCAACATGTCGTCGGCTGCAGCTGGTCGTTTGTTCGGTTCACGGCTTGTTTGCACACCCAGTTTTGACAGCTGAGCTCAGCATCATGTTTGTGCTGTTAGACGCCAATCCTGGTGTCATTCTTGTCCTGTTTTATGTAATTACCATAGATAGACTGTATATATAAAGGGTAATTAATTACTCAATACAAAAGTATGGTATTTTTAATGCATCAATTCAACTATTTTAATTTGTTTGCCAGGTGACTAATGTTATAATTAGTCAACCAGATTACCATATGGTCAGTGTTCAACAGGGTCATTTCTCATTTGGAAATTAAATCAGTATGTCTAAAGAAGATTTTAAAGTGTAGGCCAGTCTTATAAAACACAATGTTTTTTAAATCCTATAATATATTCCTTATAATATCGAAATGTGTAGGTCAATTCAGTTAACATGAAGGAAACGTTTTTTTTGTAATTATTCTCTCTGTTTTAGGACTGTTCCAATTATCAAAAAGAGAAAACAGGAAATAAATAAAATAAATCATCCTCTTGCAAAATATTAACAGTGTTTGTGTTTTATGTAGGGGGCATACCTGGCCCTCTTTATGATGCTATCGAAATGGCATGTGATGCATTCTCTTCTACTGTAATAACATTATAGTTTCCCTGTGGGCTGCTGGTTGAATGTAATCTGAAGCTGAATTATTCAGGAAAAATAGAAAGATATGTTTGGGCAACATAAAAGAAGTCAGTGACATTAAGAGCAGACAAGCTCTCTTTATGGTTAATGACTTTTCTGTTTGAGTTTTTGAAGGCCAGATTGCCTTCCCTTGTCCTTCAGTTGTTGTAAAGGATTTTTATTGTGTCAAGGACATTTTCACCATGATGCTAGAAGTCAGCAGTATTTATTGTGACACTTGAGCCCCTGCTGGCCTTGATGCCTTGTTATCCTTCTCATACCATACACTTTAATAATCACATACCATTCTTATTAAGGTTTATTTCAGTTTTTGGACCTGCACAATAGTTAGGTAGTGCATTCTGGAATTCTTATTTGCTGTTCTAATTTTAACTCTTGGTTTGCTGTTTTGAATATAATAATTTCTCCCTATTATTTCTGACCAGTCTCTGCGATGCTTATGTACTGTAGAAGTGTTGTCCATAATCAAACATCCACGAGATAACAACGTTTTGGAAAATATGCTTATATATCCTTCTTGCATATAGTTACAGTACATGAGAAGATTGGTTTCACTGTAGGATAACATTGATATAATATAACTTATTTCATATACAGCTTTGTAGCTGGGCATTTTCTACTCAATAAAGTGTCATCTTAACCTGTTATAATATATAATCATGTATTTGTTGATTATATTATGTACTGTATAATTAAAACGAATCTGCAAAGTAACAAAAATACAATATACCTCTGAAAAGTACAAATAGTTAAATACTGAACATTAGTAAGTATACTGACTGACTTGCTACCTCTGGCCATACCATTTAATTGTTTGGTTTACAGGTAAACATCTCTTTTGATTCCCGTTCAGTCAGCTGGGGACACAAAATGGAAAGAGCAAAAACAGAGCTAAAATAGTGCAAATTGAGCAAAATGAGGCATGGCTGAAATGCATGATCTGTTTGGTATTTTGAAAAAAAAAAAGTATAAATATGCCTTATATAGGTATGGTCCTACACTATATTATTCAAATATAGCATGATAGGTCCACTTTAAGTCAAAGGGATTGATTAATGTTGACAAAAAATGTTCTGGTTTCTCAGTTGGGCGTGTTCCCATCTGCTGCTGCATTGAGTTGGGTGTTTAGGGGTTAAATTCTTGTTTCCTCTCTAATTATGAGTCAGTATAAACGAGGCTTCGGGCCCCAATGTTACCTCTGGGAACAGATCAGGCAGCACTCGGTTGCATTTTTAACTTAGTAACAGATTTGTTGTCTTGTGTAATGTCAGAAGGGCCCTTGTTTTGCCAGGCTTAGATTTATTTGATCTTATGGAAGGCCAATATCAAATCCAAAAGGCTGTTTTGTTCAAACCTTGGAGAGCAGAGTGTGGTTCTCTGTGAGGGGAACTCCTCAGGGTCTCTGTGAATCAGCAGGGAGCTCTTTTGATGATGAATTCCTAGCTGTGAGTTTCTCACTCGTGTCTTTATAGACTAAGATCTCAAGCTATTGGAACATTGAATGAGTTTGTTTCAGTTCTGAGAGATAAACCTGGCCGTTTTATCTCATTGTAATCACTGTTGTTTTCTTATTCCTTCCCTTCCAGATTTGTTTGCCATGGAAACAGATATGATACCAAAATTCTCCTCGAAAGACGAGGAAATTAACTTCTGGAAGGCTCTTTCTCTCAAGTACAAGAACGGGTATGTAAACTGACTCATATTGTGTTGTTTTGTATAAAGGATAAAACCAACATTACTCCATAGTTTTTGTTTTTGTCAACAACTCAAAGACATCCTCTATCTTGTCCTTTTGTGTCCTACATTATGGTATAATGTGTAGACACCCCTGTTTATGATCTGGGCTTGTCCCCATTGTTCCACATGACAACAATAGTGAGCTTTGTTGTAACCGTTTGTGTTCCTTTTTTCTTCAACATGACAATGCCCCCCATGCAAAAAACACGCTTTATCTGCACAGCTTGGATTCAAAACTGGGGCATAGAGTTTGAAAAATGAGAGCAGGGAATTAGTTAATAAAGATATTACTTGCAGTTGCATTGTGGGAAATGTAGGATCTAGGTTTTGTGAAGCTTGACTCGTGCTATGGGGCCAAAAGTCAACGTATTTCTGACCATTCATCTTCAAATCTGCACAACAATAATGATTCCAAAATGCTAACGTTTTTCTTTTTAATGCAGCTGCAACAGTATTTATTTGATTGTAAAAATCATACCTTTTAAATCTGAACACCATGCTCTCACAATTGGCTACTAACTGCCACATTTCAGTAGAACATATAAACTTATAATCAATCAAATGTGAATGCACTGAATGGCCAAAAGTAGGCAACGTATGTAGACACCTGAGTATTGGTCTGTTTTCCCTGGTTTGCGCACTTTAGTCCAAAACAAGTTCAATCTAAATGCTTCCACATACAAAGAGATATCTTCTATTGGACAATAATGTTTCTTTGTGGTTGTGTTCATCCCTTTTCTGTGGCAACATGACAAAGCCAGCTCCAAAAAGACAAGTTTTTTCCCAGTTTAGTGTGAAAGAACTTGACCTTAACCCTATCCAAAACCTTTGTAATGAATCGGGCTACATTTGAGTCACTGATTGTACCGCTGAGTGGCGGTTTAGATCCCAGGCTCTGATGGAAACACCGGTGTCTTTGTGTCTGTGGGAACGGCCGCTCATCACAGTGGGAATACATCACCTGAGGAATGTTTGATCTGCTGTCTTGTCATTGGGTTTCAGTCGCCCATTCTTTGTCTTTCAATCAAACGCCAGCCTTGACATATCCAATGACTTTTTTTATGTGGGACAAGCATTGAGAGCTGCAATGGAAACCTGTCCCTTTATTTCCCAAAGTGATGGCTCATGTTTCACATAAAACATAAAGGGCTTTCATATGTCTGTGCTGTCCCATCTTTGAATGGCTTTATGTAACTGGGCAGCTGCTGCTTTTGCTGTTCAACATTTTAATGATGTAAAGGCTGCTAAAATTAGCTCCAAAATATAATCGTATTTTACAAGACATCACTTGATTAAGAAGTGATTACATCTCGACCCGCTTTGCTAAAGGAAGCAGAGTCAGGCCTACACCCAGTTATGTAATCTCTAGACAATGAGCTTCCTTTCAAATCAAGGCTGCATCCATCCTGTTTGTGATGTACAGTAAGTGTTTTCTTCTATACATCTATTCATGCTATGAGGTCTTGTATTATTAAGGTGTTTAGTGTTAAACTAACTTTAGCCACATTAAGTTTCAAAGACAGTAGTGTACTAAAAGATTCCTACATTGCATGATTGTATTAGCAGATTTAACAATAGGGACCTAGAAAAGCTCACTCCAGTAGAATGCAGATCTGTTGCAGGTGTGTCACGTTCTCCCCCTAAACAAAGAAGAGTTGAATGTCACTCATTTGCCCCTCCCAGCTTCATAGCAGTCAAAGCGGAGGCCAAGATAACTCAACCAAAAATGTTTTTGTCTTGTATCGTCCCTTGCTTGGATGGTATGATAGCCAATAGGGCTGCACGATTTGGGGAAATAATCTAATTGCGATTTTTCTGACAGATATTGCGATTGCAATTCGATTTGCGATATCTGTTTTTAAGCGACCCAACAGAAGTTTATTGTAAAATGAGGCCATATCTCCGGCTAGGAAGGTCGTATCAACGTGCTCCCGTCTCTAGCACCCTGCAGCCCGAGCTACGAGTGAAAGAACTAAACTTACATGAAACTTCCGTTGGGTTGCTTTAAAGTCAAGCTTCAGTTTCAGATTCACCCTGTAATAGAAACATGTGATGGAGCATTACTAACCTGACTCAGATGGTTTGTTTCACCATCTAGGAAAGCTCCATTGGAAGCACTTTGGAAAAGTATTTCAAAAATACTTGGCAGGTGATTGGATCAATCTGTCTATCACCTACTATCATGGGCCACTTCTGATTGGTTAACAATGGCTGGTACATGTGGAGCACAGCACTTCTGATTGGTGTGTATTTTCTTTTTTAAATCGCAGGCTTTGCGATTTGATAATCGCATCATTTAAAATCGCGATTTCGATTTAAAATCGATTAATCGTTCAGCCCTAATAGCCAATCAGGTATCGGATTAATCTGCAGATACTCCTGTTCACACATTTCTAAATAGGCCTGCAACAAGCTGGGTATGGCTCATTTGAGGCCCCTGATAACAGGTTGATAAACGAGTTGGCTGTCAATGATAGTATAAAAAAGTCGTATTTTTTATAAATTGTGAATCACAAAAATCAGGAGAGGTCCTTTCTGTCATTAATGATCAGAAATACATATTAGGCTGATATATCCAGGCAATATATATTTATATGATATCGATATCGGCATATGAGACTTGATATTGTCTTCAATGTTGGATATCGTACAGTATTGTACTGTATTATGGAATGAGTATTTCCTGGTCCTAAAGGCTGCATTACAGTATATGGATGTATTTCTTTGGAAGTAACCAGACTGTTCTAGCTGTTCTATTATTTGCCTTTTTGCGACTGTGGTTGAGTGGTCTACCAATCGCAAGGTTGGGGGTTCGATCCCAGCCCCTACAGTCAACATGTTGATGTTTCCTTGGGCAAGATAATTAACCCCAAGTTGCTCCCAGTGGTTCGGCCAATGGTGTGAGAGTGTTAGTCTCATTGAGCAGGTGGCCCCCAGTATGGCGGCCTCTGTATGAATGTTTATGAATGGGTGAATGATGAGTTGTAAATGTAAAAGTGCTTTGAGAGGTCCTAAAGACCAGAAATGTGCTTCATAAATGCAGTCCATTTACCCTTTGATTACCCACCTAGGCACAATGTCCACGTAACTTGGATTTTTTTGTAAAAAATGTCTTAATGTTTTGTGAAAGCAACAGTCAAGCAATATTCAACCATACCATTTTGTTGCAATATCAATATTGGGATATTTGTTGTGATTCTTTTATTTTCCCCATTTCGGCATCTGTGGTCAGATACACACACGCGCACACACACAGTACGAACTCGCACACATGATCGAACACATTATCTCAACACAGGCTAATGCTTGGCAGATCTAAAAATAAAATAACTCATCTTTTAGTAGTAGCATTTATGACGCATTTTAGTTTTGTGAACCCCTTGGAACTAGAACTCATTTAAAGCCGTTGTGCATTTATCTTTGAGAAAAGTCACCAAATAGAGCAAAGTTGTGTATAACAAGCAAAAAGAAGCATTTTGCATCAAGAAAATGTTCCTCTGCTTACTGAGGATTCCCCCGGATGCACTGGAGTATTTTGAGTAAAGATTATAACTGAAGAGGAAGCACCAGTTTGAGAATGAGTCCCAGCCAAACGTTGTGAATCAGTTCAGAGCGAGTCTCTGAGTCTCTGAGTCTCTCCACAGCGGCTGAACACAGGCTGTGGACATGGGTTTTCTGGCTCTGTGCCACCTCCAGCACTTTCACTCACATGATGGTTTCCATTTTTAGACAGCCGGCTCTGCGTGTGTGTGTGTTCATCCGTGGCAGTATCCACACTTACGTAACCTGCACTTTGTGTTTAAGCTGTTCAGTGATCACATGTCCTGTGTGGCTGAATGAAATGTCAGAGATCAGTCCAACTGAATAAAGAGGAATGCCAGTCAGTTTTTGTTTGTTGTCGTTAGATGTCAAATGAAATGTATCAAATGCAGCATGATCTGCTACAAAATCAGATGCATACATTTTGGTTTGAAACTATTGATTTTTTTCATTATCGATTAATGAAAATATTAAACATTTTGAAAAAATTGTAAAATAAATATCTATTCCAGTTTAGAATATTCCAGGGTGATGACTTTAAACGTCTTGTTATGTCTTTTTTTTGGGTCAGTTTTTCTGATTAAAAGATATATGTATATACAAAGAAAAATACGTACCTCAGATGTGTATTTAAGTACTGTAGGGTGTACTTGATCAGGATCCACCACTGATATTGATGATATTGACGGTTGATCATTTGAAGAATCGATGGCCAACCCCTGCTGTTTAAATTCGTACATACTGTGACAATTCCCATCATCCCATGATTGATGACCTGCCACTCAAAAACATACTGTATTGATTATCATGTTTTAGTTTGTTGAATTTGTTTCTGGGTCAGAGCCTATTTAGGATAACAAAATATAAATAACAATGGATGCAGCCACATGCCGTGCCTCCCGTGGCTCTCACCGACCCATTTCTGTCTAGGCCTGTTGTCTAATGGCCTCTCCTCCTCTGTGTGCCCTCAGCTGTCAGGAGGCGCAGGAGGAGCTGCTGGAGTTTCAGGAGGGGAGCCGGGAGCTGGAGGCCGAGCTGGAGGCACAGCTGGCCCAGGCCGAGCACCGCATGAAGGACCTGCAGTCGGAGAACCACAGACTCAAGAGTGAGGTGGACTCGCTCAAGGTAACTGCAGGAGGAAGAGGATGTGGGAATGTGTGTCTAATATGTCCATCTGATCTGAACTGAGCTGTTAACATGTTGGTTTCATACAGCGAAGTTATTTATATGCATACAAATATAAACATGTGTTTGAGTCGGTATTATCCTTCCAGTTTAGAATGATTGGATCATATAATATAATACAGTATATAAAGTATACAATGCTAACTGACAACAAACGTATTAAAGATGACTCGTAGCAAGTGTTTCCAATGGTATGACCTTATATCAAGTTCTTCTCTCAAGAGGGCACTGTCTAATGTTTTTATATTTGATTTAGCTAAGATTAGATATTTACCTAATGTTAAGCATTAAGAAAATTAGCTAGCTAGTGTGTTTGCAAAAGTCAGTCAATGTTAGCTTTAAGATTTGACACAGATGAACTAACGTTAGCACTCTCTGTTGCAAGATCCAGCTAAATCCTCATTTAAATATAATATTTAAATGAGGATTTGATATATCTGCTGATTTTTGCAACTTTTGGAGCTAGGACTAGTTATGTTCATTGTGAAAGAGATACGTTGGTTCATTTGAAAGAGGAATATTGAGAGGTCCCTTTGTCCTCAATCAAAAATTGCAGGATTTCATCATTTGTTTACATTTTATTGACTAAACTATTCATTGTTTTATTTGAAAAAGCAGTACTGGATAAGTCTTTAATCATTTTGATATATATGTTTTATTCTCCAAAAACCCATGATCATTTCCCCAGAAAAAGCGAAGATATGCGTCCTGTCTTGAAAACAATATTTGTAAAAATATCTCTCGTTGTACTGTAGGCTCTGAATCAAGAACAAATTGCATATCTCCCTTGAAATTAATATTTGATGTTTTTTTGTATTCCTTATATCACCACCCGTCCTTGAGTGCAGTCTCTTGGGTAACAGTCCCTCTGTAACAGCTGCTGCTCCCCAGGATGCACTCAGCACTTATTTTGTTGTTTTTTTGTGCACCTGCAGCTTTGCCATTATGGTTTTACTGTATGTAAAAGGTCATGGGAAATGTGTGGATCAAACCTTGTCCAACGCACAACAAAAAAAGTGTGTATAATGATAGAATTTGTGTGTGTCTCTGCTTGTCGGAGGCCTAACTCCAACTCCTTTTTTTGCCTCAGTGGAACCCTGGAGTTGATATAGTCTGTGAGTCCACGTGCAATCTAAATGTTAATCTCACCCCAGGAAGTGCTGATACACCTGTCAGTACTTACCCACCAACACTGCTCTGTCCTAAGCTGGCTGCACACTGTTTGTCTCTCATACATAATGCATCAGGTTGTGTCTGATTCTCGCGCCATAATTACAGGAAGGCGGGATGCCCATTTGTGTGTCCATGTTTCCAGCTGGGATGAGATGTTTGTGAGCCAAAGTGTCTGTCAGGTTTCAGGTTCCACACATCAGGTGGATCATTTGTCTGTTGGAGAATAGTGATAGTATTTCCAACAACATCAATTGCTTTTTGTGAATATGTTTTTGATTTTCATGATACTATTGGCTCAAACGGTTTTACCCACTGTGTTCCGTACAAACACAATTTCAGAAAGAATACGAGCTTTGAGAAAAGGCAACATTTTAGAAAAATGATGTTGTGTTCATTATACATTTCATCCATTGTCTGCAGTTTTGATTAAGAATCTACGGTGGCATAAAGGTGAAAACACAACAGCATTAGTGAAACTGTAAGAAATCAAGAAAGCGTATCTAACACAATACTATTTCACAAAATGCAGGAAACTCAATATTTGAAACGGGAATTCACAAAAAGAAATTACCATTTTTAAGAAAACACAACATAGGAAAATATAATCTTATCAAAACAGTATTTAAAAAAAACACAGCATTTTGCAAAATAATTCAAATCTAGAAAACCATTTCATTCCAAAAACAACACTGGAGAATTGTTGTTTTGAATGTTGTGGGTTAAAACAAATGTGTTGCTCCGTTTTCTCAGTCGATAACATGTTTAATCTTATCTTGCTTGTGTTTCGCACCTCAAGGTCCCCCGTACAAAAGTCACATCACAGCACACAACGTGTTCTTAATGTGACTTGTGTAACTGCTGGCATGTGCTGAGTGAGACTGGAGTAAAAAGACTCCTGTGTGGCTGCAGTTGAAGCAGCAGATGTAGGTCAGACACAAACGGGCCCGGCGGTATTTATTGAGCTGATTGTCTCGGAGCTGGTAGATATTTAGGTCACACTCCACATCCGCTGCCTAACTGGGGAAATGAAGGGGAGCACTGAAAAATGTATGAAAGCATGTCGGTGGTGTGTGTCTGGAGCTGTTCAATCACGTCTCCTGCCCGACGTGTCCCAGATTGAACACATGCGATCAATAATGTGCTGTCTGTCTTCATCCTCTTCTCTTTCTCCTCTTCCTCCTCTTCTTCAGGAGAGGTTTGAGCAGCAGTACTCTCAGAGCTACAAGCAGATCTCCATGCTGGAGGACGACCTCGGCCAGACACGCAGCATCAAAGATCAGCTCCACAAATACGTCCGGGAGCTGGAGCAGTCCAACGATGACCTGGAGAGAGCCAAAAGGTGTGAAAGGGCTCACATTTCAAACAAATAAAAAATCGCTTCTTTATTTGACTATATCATTTCTCTGTTAAGCATTTGATGTTCCTGAGTTACATTGGATTGATTCTTGTCACCAGATGAAGATTTGTTTCTTTATTATGAGCGCAATGCACCATAGACGAGATGTATTTGTATATAATTGAATACAATTTAATGTATTCATCTATATGACACGGATACTACTTACAGGCGATTTGATATTTAAATAAAATGTAAACAATGCAAGGTGTATAGGACTTCTAGCCAATGCTAATTTGCGGTTAGGCTTTAAAGGGATAACACGCATAATCAAATGAGTTCAAACTGAACCGCTGCAAACAGTCATTGAAACACCAATGAGCGATATATTGAGAACAAGATAGAAAAATATATAAAAGCTTTTTTATGGATCACTAAATAAGATTTATTTTTGTATTATAAGGATGAGACAGGATATACAATATTGCATCCAAAATGTTTCTTTAACAAAATGTGTTTTTCCACCGTCAAATCAGTTTCTTTGTGATCCCCGTTTAATCTACATGGAAACAGTCTTTGTTACAATTAACATACTGTATGGGTCAAATATGAACCCCCGTGGGGAACTGAATTTCCTCACAGGGATTAATAAAGGTCCATCTTATCTTATCTTAAATTCAATTGCTTGCTTTCCTTGAACTTAATTCAATCAATGCTGCACATATTGATCTCTTATACATACTTGAATAATGATTAATGAGTGTTAAAGACATACAGAAAGGAGCCCCCGTGAGGATATTGAATTAATAAAATGTCAATCTCAACATTGCTTTTTTTTTTTTTACCTCCTTCCTCAGAGCTACCATCGTGTCTCTGGAGAACTTCGAGCAGCGTATGAACCTCGCGATCGAGAGGAACGCCTTCCTGGAGAGCGAGCTGGATGAGAAGGAGTCTCTTCTTTTCTCTGTGCAAAGATTTAAGGATGAAGCCAGAGGTGATTATTGACCAGGTTTTTACTAATGAGCCACGCTGTCAATCACACGACATTAACATACTGCTGCTCCCCTCCAACCATTTCAAATATCTGCTTTCCCTCATTCTAAGTCTGAAGGGCGGAAGAGCTGCAAAATGTTCCTTTACTTTGAATGTCTTGGTAGATTTGCGGCAGGAGCTGGCTGTGCGAGAGAGGAACACAGATGTGAGCAGGATGTCCGCCCTGAGTTCCCCCACAGAGGACACTGAGAAGATGGACACGGCTGCCCAGGCCTCCCTCTCTCTGCCTGCGACCCCAGTGGATAAAGGTCTGGACAACGCCTTCGCCAACCCCGCAGGTAGAAGCAGCCCACTTCCCTTGAATGCATCTCATCATGAAGATGGAGATGCACCTTTATTTATTTGTCATGCACTTAAAGATGGGGAACATTTTCATTTGTTTGTTTCTTATGAAAAATAAAGAAGTGCATCTGGTCTCTGAGGGGGAAGAAATTATCTACATTTGTTTCTATTTTATTTTAATCTTTCCTTATCTTTCCTTGTTTTATTTTAATGCAATTTATTAGTTTTAATCTATGTTTTAACTTATTTTGAAGGGGGAAGGTTAATCACTTAAAAAAATCAGTAACAAAATATATGTATCCGTTGACTTTGTAGACAATAATACATCAGAGTGGAAGGTTAAGAAGGGTTAATATGTATCATCTTCACACTTGCTTTCCTCAGGATGTCTGGTATCTTGTATAAGATCATTCATTTCTATCCTCTGAGCTGCTATGATCAATATTTCTATATTGATAATGGATCACATGTGAAAGGCCCCCTTGTAGTGACTCTGCAGTTTCTCTCAGCTCTACGGAGCATTTTATCATCCAGTGATTCAGTGGTTTCAGTTCAGTGTTAGTGATGTTATCAGAGACATTCTGTTAAAGCCACAGCACACTACCAGCTCAGCTGCAAACAGCACAATGACACAGCTGGTGGACATAGTTGAGCATGTAGCAGTTATAGCTACATTCATAATGAACTCGAGTGCCTTTTCAAATTGAATTGTTATATGCCACACCCTTTTTATGGATGAATGCATATTTTTTCCTCTTTAATTATTCATGAATATTGGGAAAACTTTAACAATTGATGGTACTATAAATAAATATGAAGAACAAATGAAAACACTTTTTGGATACTCTCCTGATGAACAATGCCCTCTTTTGACATCATATTTGGTAATACAGTAAGATGCAGTGCACCTCAGTATTATTGTTATTTTAAAAAGAGGACTACATTGAAAAGATATAGTAAAAAATGACCTGTGCACTGATTATTATTTCCAACACTGGTCATGACACAAAATAAAGATTCATCCAGACAGTAAGTCTCTGAAATGTCATTTAGCTTTTTACTACCGAGTAAACACCTCCATGTTTTTATAGGCAGTAGTAATTAAGTGAATAATATATTTATTTCACTTTTCTTTCTTTACTGTCTCTGTACAGGTCTATCAAACGGCTTTGGCAGCAACACTCCGTTGACTCCTTCTGCCAGAATATCAGCCCTCAACATCGTCAGTGATTTACTGCGGAAAGTCGGGGTGAGTCAGTCCTCCAGACTTCCTGTTTTCAGGTTTTCCCTTTCTCTAGAAAGTCCCCATCTTTCCTTCATCTCTTATTTATTTGAATGTCTCCACCTCAGGCTCTGGAGTCGAAGCTGGCCGCCTGCAGGAACTTTGCCAAGGACCAGAAAGCGAGGAAGGCGTACACTCTGGACAACGGCAACGTGCTCAACGCAAACACGGCTAACTACTCACAATCACTCCACACGTCGTATTTTGACAAAGCGTGAGTGAAACCAAAATGTATCTGCCTTTTACTACCTGTTGTATCTCTTTAAATCCAGACAGGGATGATTATAGACAAGAATCTTGCAATGTAATGTCAAGATCTAATTCCAGTCAGATTAGTTTAAAGGATGCATTACGAGTGTTATATGGTAAAAAGAAGATGGGGAAATGTAAGCAGTACATTTATTCAAGTCCTCTACTTGAGTGCAAATTCAAGGTTATTTTCTTGAGTATTTTCAATATGTGCAAACATCTACTTTAATTTCACATCATTAATTGAAAGCTTTAGTTACTTTCAAATTACAATTTTCCATCCCTTTTCCTGAAAAATGACTACTATGAGTATTTTAGCAGTTTTGCAGAAGTACTTTTCTCAAGTAAAGCATCAGAATACTTCTTCCACCATTGATGAGAGGTCATGTGATATGTATTGTGTCTGGTGGATGACTAAGGAGGAGAGTGTGTTTCTTCCCAGCAGGACTGAGAAGGTCACATTCCCCTCATTGATTCTGGGTAATGACGGCTCCTCCTGTTCCCTGAGTGTCAGGGTACACTAACGCATGCTGCTGCTGATTATAACAAACCTCTTTCTCCATGTAGAGCTCATAGACATTAACCATGACTGCGGGCTAGAAGATGACTCCCCAGCCACTAACTTTGTGATTGTGGTGGTGGTGAAATGTAATGGTGCTGGAATATTTCTAATGTCTCTCTAACTCTAAGCTGACTGAATAGATCTCTTTCCTACTAGTGTGAGTTGTTGTTTGTTTTGATCCTACATATAACCATTTATTATTAACAAAGAGAGTTTTAAACCAAACAGAGTCCTTTTTAGTTTTCTACGTTTGATTATACCTAAGGATAAAAGCATAATAAAGCTTTATTTTATATCATAATAAGATTTATTTTTTCAAATATGGGTACGTCTGGTGACAGCTGGATTTGAATAATAAAAGAAAAGGCGTTTGTCACGTGAAGTCTTCTTTGAGCGAAATGCTAAAATACTCACAATGACAATGCTGATGTGTATGCATGCTGAGATTTAAGATTGTAGATTGTGGAGTGCTGATGTGTACGTTTTGCAGGTATAAAGTCATAAATCAAAGTATTGAATCGGAAAAAATAGCGACTTTCACTCCAAACCAAAATGGTACCTCATAGTATGCTGGAGGAGAAGTCGAGGAATCACCTAAGTCAGAAGGATCCATCATTTGGGACCCATCAATATTTTAAGTTTTACACCAATACATCCAAAAGTTGTTATATTTAGGTCACGGCAACATTTTGTGGAGTGACAATGCAGTTAGTGTGGCTAAAAAAGGCTTAGTACCAAAGAAAAAGGATGAAATAGTGCATTTGTTGGGGACTATTTTCAGCAAAGGATTAATCCACCGTTGGCAATATGACACAGAGGAAGAATATACATTTAGTTAAATCTAAATATTCCTTAAAACGTAATCCGATGTTTTTGGCACTTTTTATGCTGCTTGTATCTGCAGTTTGTTGTTGTGTGAGGCGGATAGTGAGAGCAGAGGCTGGCAGCGTGATGATGTGACTGTGTTTCTGCTGTGTGAGGGAGAACTACTGTAAAGAGGCAGAGTCTGCATATTGAGATAAATACACAACAAGGTCATTGTCCTTCTGCTATCAGAGCAGGGCGTTTGATATGTACACCACTAACCTTCAGGAAGGTCAGGAGGTCTTACTGATTGTAATAGAGGGAAGTATAATTAGAATAGGGCTTAGGGTTGAACCTTGATACCTTTTTGATCAATGACCAAAGTGTTCATGTATTCATTGATCAGGTATTTCATGATCTAAAATATAGAACTTCTCAACCTTTTAGACAATGTTTTTTTAACACTGATGTATATAGAAGTTTGGCATACTTTGAATAATCCTAAAAAATAAAATAAAGCTTTTAACTTTGTGAAACTAGGGTATTAAAAGTGTAAAATTGCCTTGGTATTCAGAAACTCTTAGTAGTTCAAACCAGGCCTATAGCTCGCCAATTTTCTTTATTTACATTTTATTAGGTCGTTCATTCCAGCTCTGAATGGTGCGTTCCAGAGTCATGACTCAGGCCTAAAGCAAACAAAGGGATTCTGGTCATAGTTGTGACCGACAAAAGAAACCAGTGTAACCGGTCAGATAGGATAACGCTGCAGCTTCCTTCCCACTTTCTGCATTTGAGTTCCATTTTTAGCTTCAGACACATAACTTTGTTTGAAATGCGTCATCTCTGTCTACTAGCTGCAGGCTCCTCTGTGAATGATAGAGACATTAAGAAGGGATATATCCGACAATTTAAGCAGTTTTTTCTTTTATTTCCAATTCCTTTCCCTTTTATTACGGGAGTCCAATTCTGCCAGGAAAATAAAAATTTTTAAAACTGTCATTACCATCATCATAATACTAAGTTAGTTTTCAATCATGATTCGTCACATGAAATCATATCCATTCAAAGAAACATAAAACAAAGTCAAATGCAATCCCGTCAGTTTTTCAAAAATGCTACATTCACATAAATTAAATAAGATGCATTTGTGAAATTATTAAAACATTATTTTTAATCAAAGTTTAGGTCTTGTTTTTTCATTTTATACATAAGTTATGTATCTATCTCTAAAAATAATGAGTATTTTTATTTTTGTCATTCCTACATTTTCCTGGCAGAAATGGGCTTCCATAATTATCAGCTTGTTTAATCATAACTGCCTTAATGAAGTGGTATTCAATGAAATGTTATGGAGGCTTTGCCTAATACGTCATGTTAGTATGACAGTGGCTGGTTAAGGTCATTTGTGCAACACTGTTCTTTCTGAGACCTTCCTGGTTTAATGTAACTCTTGTAACTGTGTTTGCAGCAGGTCGGTGAATGGACTGAAGCCTGGTACCCTGACGGCCATCACCGCCCCCCCCGCTGCCTCGTCCCAGGGCTTAGTGCCTCTCGCTGTTTGACGGTAAACCCAATGCATCGTCCTTCCAATTGAAAATCACATCTATGAAGACAAGGCCTCAGACAAATACTGTAAAACGTTATTGATGTACTGTTGTACCCCTCTCTGTTGTTCTGACCCGATACACTGTACTTATGGGTCGCTGTCTGTATATTTCATGTGTTACTGTATCTGCTGTTTGCTCACTGGCTTGTACAAAGATCTACTCTTCACAAATTTAAAGATTTACTAGGATCTCACCCTGAATTGCGAAATATGTGCACCATATCAGCCTAAAAGCATGGATTGATTACTGATCAGGCTTACCGGCCACAGGCCATAGGGTCAGGTTTCACATGTTCGACCCAGGAAGAGACTCAAAATGACCACAAAGAAACATGAGGGGACTACAACGAGACACCAAACAACTACAACGAGACACCAGACAACTACAACGAGACACCAGACAACTACAACGAGACACCAGACAACTACAACGAGACACCAGACAACTACAACGAGACACCAGACAACTACAACGAGACACCAGACAACTACAAAGAGACACCAGACAACTACAAAGAGACACCAGACAACTACAAAGAGACACCAGACAACTACAAAGAGACACCAGACAACTACAAAGAGACACCAGACAACTACAAAGAGACACCAGACAACTACAAAGAGACACCAGACAACTACAACGAGACACCAGACAACTACAAAGAGACACCAGACAACTACAAAGAGACACCAAACAACTACAACGAGACACCAAACAACTACAACGAGACACCAACAACTAAAAGACTCAAAACAACTACGAAGAGACACCAAACTATGAGCCTTAAAATGAGTCCAGACAAAAACCAACAACAAAGTGATACCAAATAAATACACAAATATTTTAAATGACTACAAAGAGAAACCAAACAACTACAAGAGACACACATCTAAAAAATGTACAAAGACAAACAAATCAACTTCAAAGACACACAAATTATCCAAAAAAGACAATTAAAATGACTACATAGAGCAAACTTTAACTTCAGAGACTTAAAAAGTTACAAAGCAACTAAAATAGATACAGAAAAAAGCAACTACAAAGAAACACACTGATTTAAAAAACACACAAATCCACTACGGGCGTTCAAAAATACTACAAAGAGAGTCAACATGACTAAAAGAACCGTAAAACCAATAATAAAAGACACGGAGAGGCAACTACTGAATAACACATTTGCTAAACAAAGCGTCTGTGCCCTGGGGCTCGCTGTCTCACAATCCTCTGATTAAATATGCAATTCAAATGTGTTTTTTTTAAATAAATAAAGAATGCAACAGCTTTTTTGGCCTTTAAACCTTTATGTATACAGTCTATGCTTTAAACTAGCAATAACTTCAATTAAGTCGTCAGTGATGTGCACTCACATCCACGTGCTGCAACCATGAAAGGAAAATAACCAGTTATATGGGTTGCCACATGCGCAGATATCCTAAATAATCGTGTGCCACATGGCCAGTTCACCATTAATTATTGATGTTTGCAAAATGTGGGCCTCACAGGTTAATGTTTTAAACATGATCTCTGTTGTGTCTGTGATTTTGGAATTCAACCGTTATCTTGTGACCCCTGTTTTATAGAATTTAAGTTTCAAGCATTTTGAAAAGAAGGGAAGGTGAGTCTGTGTCATTGAAGTGAGTCAAACACCATCTATCCTCTGAACGATGTGACATGATGTGTACAGTATGGGTCATATTGATCAATGTTTATCGACAGCCTTTAAGTGGTGCTGCTGTCGTGTTCAGACCAGTTAACCAGCATTCTTTTATTCTGTAGTCAGTTTTGATCATGTTGTAAAAGCTTTTGATTTATAACACATTTTCAGTACTGTACACAATGAGCAATTGAAGCACTTTGACTTTGTTTGAACTCACTTTTTATTCAAGTGCAATATTGCTTGTTTGTTTGTTATAGTTTGTAGGTTTTATTTATTTCAGATTTCTTTTCCGGCATGTTTTAATAAAAGGTGCAATTCTGTAACATTTGTTACGCTTCAATCTTTTTTTGCTGTGGTGGAAATGGGCGCTACAATTATTGAACTGTTTTGGAAATGAATCCATCATTTTAGGTATTTTTTTTAGACAAATGCTTATATTATTCTCTGATTCCAGATTCGCATATGATACTTTTTGGGGTATTTATGTCTTGGATAACCATTTATTAAAAGTCAGACAAAACAATTAATTAAAAAACATCACTAGGGCTGTGGAGATTATTCCTTCATAATAAAACTAGAATTTGCAAATTAATTCATACTGTTGAATTAACCGTTAGATGCATGAGTGGGTCTTTTTTGACCCGGTGAGGTGGTTTTCTTGAAGTATCTTTGTAATTACATTCTATTATCATTTCATATTCCAGCTATTCCTCAAAAAACATGTTTTGGATATCATGCCATTCAAATTTTAAATTGACATTTTATACTTTTTAAGAAATTGTAGTTTTTGTATTACAACCCCAGGCTTCCATAAGTGGGTCAAAAATGACCCGCATGCATTTTCTATGGAATTTTTTTTTTTTTTTCAAAATGTCACTCGTGCATCTAAGGGTTAAAGGAACATTTTGGGTGTATTTCTTTTGCTTGTATTGTATTTTTAGACTACTTTTAAATCGGCAGGCTCTTCAAATGTGCTTGCATTATGTATGCATCACATTACAATTATTTAATTGTTAAATTAAATCATTAATGTAACATACAAAATTACTGCATAATGATGTTTACTGCAAATAATGAGAGAGTCTAGCCAGATGTAAGGGTCCGTTTATGGCTTGTAGGCCTAATGGAACGAATGGAAACCTACAGGGTGCATTTAAAAATATAAAAACGATATGATAAATAGTTAAAGAACTACAACTTGAAAAAAAAACAATATGCCCCTTAAATGGTAATCAACACTGCCCTCTGCTGGACAAACATTTACAGGTAAAAAACAGAGCTGTACTTGTCATATATTGGTCATTTAATTGTGAGTATTCATGTCTCAAAACAGACACAAAGCAGTACATTTCATGTGTGTGACTGAATAATCCAAAATTATTTCTGTGATCATGCACATGTGTCTCCAGTATAGATATCTTCAGGCTATGTACAGGAATATATATACATGTAGAGTCTGAAGAGTCGTGTAGTACAACAGTGATAGTTCAGGCTGCAGTTCAGCTGATCCTTCCTCTCTTCTTCTCTGCCACCTCTTCGATCTGCATCATCCTCCTCTCCATGATCTCCCTCCTCTTGGCCTCGTTGCGTTCTCGCTCCTGAGCCTTGAGCTCCTCCAAATCCTCAAAGAACTTGTGCCTGCATGGGAAGAGGAGGAATCATATTTATTATATTGATTAATGATGGAGGAATGAAATATCGGACATAAATTAATAATGGAAAGCACGTCTGTGTCCTTTAAAACTTTGCATTTCACTACTTTATTGTATTGTGCTATATTGATATCCGATTAAGCAATTTTTCAAGTAAACTCAAAATATTTACTGGTTCCAGCTTCTCAAATGTAAGGATGGGAGGTACGATACGATACGATATTACTTTATTTGTCGGATCAGGTCTGACATTTGACTTGCGTCACAGCAGCTCCATGTCCAACATCAACAGACAAATATCCAGACACAAATACATGAAACACAAACAACAAACATTTAACATAACAGCACAATCAGTGAGAGAAAACATGCTCAAAGAGCCTTCAGCGTGCATTTGATCTGGGATCAGCTCTGTATTTACTGTGAGAATTGACTGATGCACAAAAGAGTGCTTCAGTCTGACTTTATTGAATCGTGGGACCCTGTATCTCCCATTAAGATGGTAGCAGTTCATATTCACTGTTCAGAATATGGTTTGGGTCAGAGATGATGTTGTTGGACAGCCTCACTAGGTTGTTATGATAGGCTGAGTCATAGAGTCTCTGACAGGGTTGACCAACAATCTTTGAGCAGATTTTTAACAGGTGGAGCAGTTTTGATTTGAAAGCTGCTGACAAACATTTGTACCAGGTAGTATTGCAGTACTGTAGAATGGATATGATCACAGATGTAAAGAACAACAGAAGAATATCTCTGCTCGCCCCAAAAGACCCAAGACGGCGGAGAAAATAAATTCTGTTTTGTCCTTTTGCACAGATATTCAATGTGATCCTTCCATGACAGCAGATGGTCAATTCGGTCAGTTTTTGTATATCATAGTAAACTGTAGGCGTGTATTGTGCAACACAATTATTAGTCCCGCAGGAATTGTTTACAGAATAATCAATCAATCCAGAAAATATTTGGCAGATCAGTCGATAATTAAATTAATTATATTTGCTAAATAGGCATACACAGTTGTCCATAACTGTCTAGTAAGTAGTGTTATTTGTAGCCTATGTAGAGTAATGTACCTTGTTTGTAGCTGCTGAATGATGTCTGTATGTTAGCTTTTCAATTTAAGAAGATGATTAATAAAGGATTCATGGGAAAAACCAAAACCAAAACATGCACACAATGCAATACATCATTAGTTACCTGTTGAAGAAAGCAGTGCCTAATCCCACAAGAAGCGTCCCAAATAAAAAGGGTTTGGTCAGACGCTTAACCGCAGACAGCTGGTGATTCGTCATTATAGCAACATTTGCAGTGAAGTGCCTACAGGCCGAAATGTAAGCAAAGTTTACCCTACATTTGCTTCACAGCTGACCTTTAGCTAACCGCTCCATACACACCTCCTTGCTTGTCGTGCAGTTGATCACGTAACACGACTTCCGGTTCACATTGTTTATGCACCAATCAAATGTATCTTGCAAAACACGATGGCATGTATTTAACCACCAAAGCCAAAATATGTTTGTTTTTTACTGCGTTTGGGTGGTTTTATTTTATATTTAAAAAATAATTATGGTTATTTAAACTTTTTTTTTTAAAGTTGAAGGTTTAGCCGGAAACACGTAGTTGTACGGACACATTTAACAGACGGACCACAGTCTTATCATGGCCATACATTCAGAAGCCAGTGCATAAGGGCAAGTTTGTGTTTCATAAATAGTTTATTTATTATAGCTAGAGTTAATATAGTTAAGCTAATAATATGTGGAAGAAAGATTCGTCCGAGGGCTCTGACCGGTTTGAATATTTACAAACTCTGGTCACTGAGTTTCAGGACACAGACAGTGAAGGTAGGTACACTTTTGTCATTACTCAATGCATTATGTTTATTAGGTTCATTTGAGAATGTCTTGAAAATAGAACAAATCTCGTTGTTTATGTTGAAAGCACAATCCGTCATGTAAACAACAGGGTAACCACCTCCATCACTCAAACAACAGAATTAGAAAACTGCTGTCAGTCTAGCACTGGAAAAATACTATAACCTAAGTAAATCTAATCAAGTAGTTAGGTAAAATTGTGAGTTACTTGTCTTGCATTGTACTTCCTCTATTCCAATTTGTTTTCCTTTGTATACCAAATGTCAGAGTCAAATACTGCACTTTTTACTCCTGCATTTATTTGACAGTGCAGCAGGATGGTCTGCATTGCATTACGATTTTGAGTAGTGGGAGGCGAGCAAATGATTTGAGTCACCTGTTCAACTGTATTTCCCTTGATGGATGTTCTGGGTGGGCTGTGTCTGATGTGCCATTCTTCTTCAGTTTTGTTCATGTTCAGCTGCAGACAGTACGTAAGCACTTCGGTTATTGCCATGCAGTAGAAAGTTGATGGGAGTTTCAGAGGATTTGATGTATATGATGATGGATGAAGTGATGATACAGATTTGTGTAGTGTAAAAGAGAGGACCGAGGACACTGCCCTGAGGGGCTCCAGTTTTTGTGGTGACTGTTGATGATGTTATATTTTATGAGTCAGTGGCCTGTTTCTGAGGAAGATATGAACCCAGTGATCAGAAGTGATGTTGAGATGTTAAATGTAACCTTTATTTTAACAATTTATTGTCTGAAACGTTGAATTAACAGAGTCTTTGATTTACTAATTCTAAATTAAGGATAAATCCTTCTTTTGTTTCCACAACCTAATTGTTTCCACTGAGTTTGAACTTGTTTAAAGCTTGTTACCAATATATACATTTCATTTCTGATGTGTTGTTTGAAGCAAAAACCTGGTTAAAAAACATGGTGATTTTATTTAATGTACACACATAATTTGAACAAACATTAAAAATGTTTTTGTTTTTCCTACTTATGACATCCCTCATTTTACAGTTGAAAAATAAGGGTGTCACTGCTCTCTGGTGGACAAAATCTGTAATGATGTGATTTCGAATACATGTTTGCATTTCTCTACTGTCTGCATCTTCTTGTTACTTATCAGCTAGTATGTATGTGTAAACTGATCTTGACTGTAATTTATTAAATGAATGTGTTCTTTTGAACTATTATTTGCTTACATAACTTATTTCACATTTTCAGAGGCAAAGGAGCAGGTGCTGGCTAACCTTGCTAACTTTGCATACGACCCAAACAACATGGAGAATCTAAGGGAGCTACAGGTGCCCGACCTCTTTTTGGACATGCTCACTGAGGAGAATGCCAATTTTGTGGAATTTGGAATGGGTGCGTACAAATGATCATCTCCTTGTTTTCGCATTGTGCATACACTGTTTCCTCACATCATCACTTTTCTCGTGTGTGTCATGTTCTCAGGGGGGCTGTGTAACCTGAGTATGGACCCTGAATGCCGAGAAGTTATCCTGCAGTGCAACGGGATCAGTTTGGTCACAAATTGCCTGTCGAACCAGAGAGAGGAGACAGTCCTGTCAGCCATCACTACACTGATGAACCTCACTACGCCCTCGTCACGCGCTGAGATCACTGATCCGGCCATCCTGCAGTGCATGCTACGTTTCTCGCTCTCAGAGAGCCCCCGCCTGCGCAGCCTGGCCGCTGTGTTCCTGCAGGACTGCTGCAGTCAGGAGCAGGTGGCCCGGGCGGAGCAGCAGATGCAGGGACAGCAGACTGCAGTCGGCATCCCGCTGCCCAAGGACTGAGACAGCTGAGGTTTTCATGTCGGAGATTGATTTGTGAGAAGATACGTTTGCTCTCTATGAGAGTATAAGAAACATTTGACACTTTATGGCCCCACATATACACCTGCTGCAGGGATTTTCTCCCATTAGGACAAAAGAGCATCATTGATGTTGGGTGAGCAGGTCTGTCTCACAGTCAGTGTTGCAGTTCATCTTAAAGGTTCTGGATCGGGTCAAGGTCAGAGTGCAGACTAGTCATGTTCCTCTATATCAAACTTTCTTTATGGGGCTGGCTTTGTGCAAGGAGTACATTGTCCAGTTCAAAAGGAAGGATAGGAACTGTGTTTAAGGGGATATTTTTGTTGACGAAAATATCAATTTATCCTTTATTCTCCATCAAATTGTTTTCATTCAAAGTTGAAGACTCCATATCTGTTGAAACATTTTTCATATTTGTTTACCAAAACAAATGCATTCCTCTGTTCAGTGTTAATGTGTTTTGCAGAATGAACAGTCTTTATTTTAAGAAGTCCATGACCATTACCATATACTGCTGTAGCAGTGTAGTACCGTTTGGTCAAAGCTACATTGTTTCTGGATTACAGATCCTGTGCTGTGTATGAACAGCTGATATATTCTGCTAGCATACACACAGAACAGATAGCTAGCACACATTTAAGTGTAGTGCCTTTTTTTCTCCAAAAGTTACTGGATAGTTTTTGCAGGGCTGTTTAGTGAGAGATGAATACAGTTGATAGCTAATTGCCTAGAAACAGCATGTGAAGAATGTAACTAAGTTGACTTGCATAAGGTTGTATACAAAGGGTTCAGAGAGACCACATCTCTTTTGTAATGCCAGATTCACTGACTGTAAGATCAATATCAGTACCTATTTCCCCCCAAAATGTACATTCCTTCTGCTCTGAAGTTATTTCCTAAGACCCAGGAAGGATGCTGGAGCATTATAGCCAACTAGTTGACTATTGAACTCTGTGCTCTCTGTAAGAATGTCATGTTCTATTACATTAAATTCCAACCCAAAAATATGTTAAATGAAAAGTGTTAAATAAACCAAGAGCCACGAAAGCTGTTTGTTTTTCTTCTGGGCTCTTAAGAGCTATTTCTGGGCCGAGTCCTTCAGGTCTAGACAGACGAGGACATCTGATCCTGCTGCCCAGCGTCAGTTGGACTGCACATGTAGCCCGGGCAGACTCCAGAGGAAATTCTTTACAGCGTGGAGAGTGTGTGTGTGTGGCATTCATTGTAAATGCTACAAAGATCTCCTTTTCTGTGTGTGTGTGTGTGTGTGTGTGTGTGTGTGTGTGTGTGTGTGTGTGTGTGTGTGTGTGTGTGTGTGTGTGTGTGTGTGTGTGTGTGTGTGTGTGTGTGTGTGTGTGTGTGTGTGTGTGTGTGTGTGTGTGTGTGTGTGTGTGTGTGTCAATGGCACTCCAAGGGCTTAAGAGTTGAGCACCTGCCACAGAGATCAATAAAATACCTTAATTCTTCCCGTAAAAAGAGAAACACCCACGCCTTGTTCTAATAATGTGGTACAAAGCTTATTTCAAGCTGATGTAAAAATATTTGAATAGCTTTTTGCAGGATAAAAAGGAGCTGTCGGGAACTCAGTGGCTCAACATCTACAAAAATGTCTGCACGGATATTCAGTGTACCTATACTGTATGTTACAAAGGGTATTGTTAAAGAATCATTATTTGATATTGTATATATTGTAAACAAATCCCAATATCCCATATTGTACTATGTTATTTTTAGTTTTTTTCCGAATTTGCATATATATATGCCGAAGGTTGCATATTTTTTACAAACTATACTATATCGTTTATTTATTTTTTTCGACATACTATGTTGAATTTTACATCGTTTCGGCATAGTATAGTATGTTGAAAGTATGCAAAATTCGTTTTTTGCATAGTTTGTAGCACATAGACATACTTTACTATGTCGTTTTTTCAGATTATTCGACATGTCGTATATTGTATATTATGTCAACATTTTAGAAAAAACATCATAGTATTCTTTTAAGTCAGAAAAATTGCATCGTATAATATGTCGAAATGTGTGAAAAAATGTGAGAGAAAAAGGAATGATAAAGCATGTAGAGAAATATGCAAAAAAGTTATAGTAAAGTATTTTTAAAAAATAAAATAAAATTGAATAGGATACTCTGTCAAAAAAAGTCCTAATATTGTATGTCAAAAATTATGAAAAAACAGTCACATTATTCAATGTTAAGTAAATCATAATAGAATATGTCAAAACATTTGAGAAAAGTCATAGTATTGTATATCAAAAAATGTAAAAAAACGGCACAGTATAGAATGTAAACAAGTTGATAGTATGTCGAGAAAAAGCATTATTTGTATATATAAGTGTCATTGTCAAAATTCTAAAAAAGTATTGAACAATGCGTCAAAGAGTCACGATAGTTATTCATAAAGAGTTCATTTTTACAGTTATTGAGGGCCAAAACATTTTTAGAAAAAGGCCTTGTATGATATGTAACAACATGTAGTCATAAACAAGTCATATTCTACTATATCAAAAACAAGTGCTTCATAAAAACATTAAAAAAAAGCATTGAAAAAAATGTACACTATAATTTGGTCATGGTATAAAGTAAGTTAAAAAAGTGTATTAATAATTCCAAAGTCTTAAGAAGTGAGCACCCGCCACAGCGATCAATAAAATATCTGTATTCTTCCTGTAAAAAGAGAAACACCCACACCTTATTTTAATACCATGGTACAACGTTTATTTCAAGATCATGGACAAACAAGTTCTGCAGTGATATTCAGTTTGCGAATAATGTTCACATTTCCGGTGTTTTCTATATTTTCTATATTATTAACAAATCACCAAACACATTGGGTCCTAGTGAAGATATACAAGTACAAAACTGGTCACAATTAACTCTAACTTCCTCAAAGATTTGGGCACTGAAGTCTTTATTAAAATATAATGCTAAACAGTTAGAAATAGTGCATTTGTTGGGACTACTTCCAGCATTGGATTAATTCATATTTGGTGCTCCTGTATTTGAGATAAAAAACAAACAATATGTGTGTGTTCATGGTCATTCATGGGATCTTTCAGATGTTCTGATGGTTGGGTATGTTTGTGGGACATGATATCAAGTCAATGAGTTACATGAACAGTTCATTTGTCCTTCTTCAGCCCGAGCTGCTGCTCCGCCTCCTCTCTCAGCAAATGCTTCTGGATCTGAAAGAAGAGTTTGCTGTGAGTTGTACTGAAGGAGAAGAGAGTGAATGGACCTTACCATTTAAACATTGTAAAATAATGAATAATCAAATGAACAACTGTTCCAAAAGTATCCGCCTTCAGGGATGGGACAGATGCAAATCTACAGAAAATAATTTGCTTTATTTTCATTATGGATTATAGACAAGCTGGTGTAACTTCGTCCAAAGGTGACAAAATCTGCCTCTAAACACATCACATAATAATATGCTTTTAACGAGTGGCAGAATTGATGGTAAGCAGATTCTGTTGGAAAATATTGGCAGAAAAATGAAATAATTAAAGTAGAATTTAGTTGCAGCACTAATGTTTTACGAGAATGTTGCACAATTTATCTAAATAGTTATCATTGTAATAAACAGTATTTAATTTCATCTTACTGTACACTATTTATTTATACATTCTGCTGTTGTATATATCATATTCCATTTACATGTATATTGACTTCTTGCACTATTTGTTTTATTAGTATTTTTGTATTTGATCATATAACTATGTTGCATTGTTGGAGGAGCTCGGGTCAGAAGATCTTCATTGCCATTTCTACACTGTAGCTTTGTGCATATGACATTAAAACCTTTGAATGTTGAATCAAAGAGCAGGAAGGCTTTTTGATCATGAATGATGAGATATGATAAACAGAATATTTGGATTGATAGGATGATGAGCCTCAAGTATTTATCCCACATCATCATCATCATCAGTTTTCTCTGATTTACATGAAATCTCGATGTATTTTATAACATTTGGATGTTAGAAAATGGCTTTAGTAATCTAGCTGACGTCTCGAAATGAGTTGCGTTGTCTTGTAATTGCTATAATATTCAATCTTCTTATCTAACTCTCAGCGACAGCAAATCATTTTGTTCAAATGCTTTCGAGAGGTGGGATTCACATTTTCTGAGATATTAGGGCGTCACTTATTTATGGGACAAACTATTCTGCAGACCAGTGTTGACGATTTGTAGCCAGGACTCTTTGGAAGCACTGTTAATACTGATTGCATTCTCCTAAAAGTGACTTTAGGCGGAGGGCTGGTTTGATCTGATACGCTGCTTTGGGACGGGGTCCGCGCCCCTCTGGGTGGATGTAACAGAGCGCTGTGCGTGCAGACCACCTAATAGCTCCCCTTCCCTCCTGTCTGAGGGCTCTCAGGGCAGCCTGTTCAAACACCATGTCTACAGTGAATTACTTCTAACTGCATCCCATGAGAGAAACACAAGAACCAGAGGCCAGGTCTTGTGTTGGACTTCATTTATCAGACTATAATAGATCTGGAAATATAAACCTTGTTTGACATCGTCATTTATACATTTCTGGAATGTATGAGCTCTTACCTTTCCAGTGATGGTGATCGGGTAGCTGGTCACAAAAAGTACGTAGCGGGGAATCTTGAAGTGTGCAATCTATAGGGAGAAGATGGAGACAGTTGTTCAACATTTTTGGGAGGAAGAAATATATTTAACCCTTGTGCCTCACTATAAAAAAGTTGCTCTAATATCCTTAAAGGGCAAACCTTCCTGAAACTGCTATAACATTTCATATATTAATGATATTGTTCACTTTCACAGGGTCAAATCTTTTCACTGTCTTCAGTCATCATGATAACTACTTAGTATTCCTTGATTTTCACAATTTTAACCCTATAACCCTCCTATTGTCTTCGTTTCTCCCCCCCCCCCCCTTACTTTGGTGTTCGCGGTCAAATTTGACCGGTCCTGTTTTAACTGCTATTACATTAACACAAAAACCATTAATCATCACCAAATTTCATTTAACACCCTTTCAAACTGTAAATATTGTATCAGACTACTGGTATACATGAACAACTGCAGTAAATATACAAAGAATAGACACTGAACATGTATTGCGTTTGCCAGGTGTGATCCATGTGGGGGGATGGGCACACAAGGGGGGGGGGGGGACACACATCTAGAGTGTGTGTGTGTGGGTGTTTGTGTGTGTGTTGTATCTGATCCGGATGGTTACTGATTCCTTTTCTTTATGGCGGTCATTTTTGACCGGGAACACCATGGGTGTTAGAAAGTTGACTAAATCATCCAAAACTCAATGAAAGTGGTGATCAGCCATTTTATATGTTCAAATGTCTACTGTGAAGGATATCATAAAGCCTTAATGCAATCGAATGTAAAACAAAAAAGTTATGATTGATGAAAGTAGTAAATCGGTCAGATTTGACCCGAAGGCAACAGGAGGGTTAAATGTTAGTTTGTAAACAAAACTGTTGCCTTTTGTAAAATAAATAAACACTTTCTCTCTCTCTATATATATATATATATATTCTTTTTGGGAAACTTTCTCCACACTCTGGGATATGCCAATGAATATAACACACCATTTGCCTGATGTGTATTTTCCACAGAGAGAAAAAATAGAAATGACTCAATCTGGTAGAGAAATTGTAAAAACTACAATACTGAAGCCTGGAGAAAACATTGAAATCCCTTTGTAATACAATGCAGCTTTTATGCTTTAATGGCAATGGGATCAGAAGTTCAATGGGGAATGTTCTGTCGTTAAGTATCCAGCTGTCTGTATAATCAGTACATAGTTTATCCAAGACTCATTATAGGATGCTGAGGTTTAACTTCCAAAACAGCCAAAATAAAGGAAAAATCTAAAAGCCACAAATGTCCCAAGTGAGGCACAAGGTTTAAATATGACATCTTATTATAAAACATGAGCACTGGGCCTCACCTGTCCTTTGCAGTAAGCTTTGATTTCCTCTGCAGTGCAGTCCTCTCCGTCTGCCAGTTTGATGCAAGCGCACACTTCTTCACCCAGCCGGGAATCTTCTACTCCAACCACCTGGGGAGGAAAACAAAAACAAATGTAGCTCTGCAGCAGCAAAAGAGAGAAGCATTGTTTCTGGTGCATCACAGAAACATTAAGATGTTTTCTTATCTATTTTATTTTGCTTTTGGTTGGGCATTAAACTGCTGTAGTATGTCGTATTGTGTTGCATTTTCCCAGCAGAAAATATAACACTTCTATTAGACTACATCTTTTATTTTAATTTAACAGTACATAAATAACAAAAATGTCAAAACCCTTAATATTTCCTGATAGAAAAAAATAAACTTAAGAAAAGTTAATTATATATCCAAAATAGGGGGTTGATATTTCAATTAGAACATTGTTTAAATGGTGTAGTATACAGTGTTTCCAAACCACAGACCCATATTAATGCAAAAAACAGCCTCTAACATGAAATACTTGAATTATTTTCTTTTCTTTAAATCTATTACTTTGCTTATGTCATGTTCTCTGCTCACCTGGGCCTCCTTGACTTTGGGGTGTGTGTGCAGGAACTGCTCGATCTCCGCAGGGTAAACGTTCTCTCCTCCTCTGATGATCAGGTCTTTGATCCGGCCCTCGATTTTACAGTAGCTGAACGCATCCAAGCTGCCGATATCTCTGCAGGGAACGTTCAAACATCAGCAACTGGACGACATAATTGTGATTTAAACATTTTTAAATAAAAACAAGCTATGATACACTGACAGCTCCCTCTCACCCGGTCTTGTACCACCCGTCTTTAGAGATGCACTCGTCTGTTTTGGCCTGGTCCCCCCAGTACTCCAGCATCACGCAGTACCCTCGGATCATGATCTCCCCCGTCTCCCCCAGCGGCATCACCTGTCCTGTGGTAGGGTTCACCACTTTAACCTGTGGAGCATACCATTATATGTTAGTTATCTAATACACAAAGGAATTATGGTATGACAATCCATGTGTAGTGACGCATATCATTTTTATATATGTACATACACTCAGTTTCTACTTTTTTAGAAAGAACTTTCTTTGCTTCCAGAACATCCTGAATTATTTGTGGCATTGATTTGAGCTTTAAATACCTCTTCTCGACTTTGTTACTTAAGATTAGTCAGCAGCAAATCTTTTGCTTTACACCGCATCTACAGTAGAGTCTTTCTCTAAGCTCTTGAGAATAATGTGTGAAAATAGAAGGCGTTCAGATATTTCTGAGTCAGGGCCTTTTAGACCACATTTTTTCCACAGTTCTGCGACATGACAAGTACTCAGAACTTTACACAAGTGAATCCAACAATATCACAGTGTAGGGGTTACAAGTTAAGTCCTATGTAACATTCAAGACTTCACTTCAGTAAATGTACAAATGTTGTAACAAAATGTACTTCAAATCTGAAAGTACTTGTTGGGTGGTACAGGCCCTTTTTAGAGAGTTTGTATTATAATACGAACATCAAATTATTTTAATATTACAACTGAGGCAGCTTTTGGATGTTACAGCTGACGGAGTCCATTTGACCTACTTTATGTAATGTTGGAGAGTTTGTCATATTTGTATAAATGTGTTAGTTTGTTGTTAAGATTTTAATCTATGAAGTAACTAAAGTTGTTGAACAATTGTATTGAGTTAGACTCTTCTGAGATGTTGTGGAAAGAAGTAACATAATATGGAAAATACTCAAGCAAAAAACCTCAACAAGCTTATTTGACTGGTACTGTAATAATGTATTTGTACATGATGTCTGACGTACCTCTAAGTGGTCGAGGATGCAGCCGACGGTCTCAGACTTCCTCTCTATGTTGTCTGTCGGGAACGCGCAGAACGTGACAGGGCTGTTCTCTGTGGTGCCGTATCCAATCTGTCAATCACAAACAAATAATAACAATATTAATAACTTTGTTTACATGGCTCCTTTTATACACAAAACGCAGTTCAAACGGCTCAACAGTGATGCATTAAAACACAATAGCACACAAAGATATAATAAAAGATCCAATGAAAAGGCAGACAAATAAAAATAGTTCTTGGCATTTGTTCCTCAAGCACTACTCAAATGATTAATCGCCTTACAAAATGGTTACAGATATTTATTTTTGACCATCACCTTTTAATTGTTGCTCTAAATTGAGAATACTCAACTTCCTTACTTAAATATGACTGTTTTTGAGACTTTCTGCTTGTCCTTTCCATTGTTTAAAAAGGAAATGATTGAGCTTTTTCCAGAGAGATGTGTTGCTGTGCTCGGAGAGGGATTGTAGACAAACAGGACCTGGAGGGCATTTTAGAAGCGGAGAACTTTACCTGGAAAATCCGGGAGGAGATGATATTCCCATTAAATTGTTAGATTTGTTAAGTCAACTCTAGATTCCATGTATCCTGTGTGGGTCCATCCATCTTAAAAATGCAGCACCTGAATCTGACCCGAGCAGCTTTCCAAAGTCCTGCTGCAATTGCTATAATTTAAGTTACTCAATCCTTTGAAACCTGTCATCACCTTAAAGGAATACACCTTTCAAATTATTGTTTTTATATAAACCAGTCGTGTGTTAGAATTCTTAAAGACAACTTGTCTCCACAGTGAGCAAAGAATCCAAAAACAAAGAGAGGTTTTGTTGAATTCAAGTAAATCAGGTCGGTTTAAAGGGGCCCTATTATGGTTTTGAGTTTTCCCTTTCCTGTAGTGTGTAATATAGGTTTTAGTGCATGTAAATGGTCTGCAAAGGCTCAAATCCCTGTGTTCCCTCCAGAGGGAGTTTCTCTCCCACACACTCCCCCCCTGCCTGAAACACCTCCATTGGACTCCTTTGTTTACTTCAGTAACATAGTGACATCACTATGTAACACTCACACTTCTATTGGCGAAGCGCTCAAACACATTGTACATGTTAGGCTAAGAGCCGTTGACCAATCACAACAGAGCCGGTCAGCTAACCAATCAGAGCAAACTGGGCTCTGGTTTCAGACAGAGGGTGAAAAGAGGTGCTGCAGCACAGGCAGTATGAGAAAAATAAAGAGCTTTTTGAACATTAAAGCATGGAGACATGTCACAGTGGAGACACTACATACTAATATGAACCTGACAATGAGCAGAATAGGGCCCCTTTAACAAAAGAAAACTATATCAAAGCATCTGTTTTACATCTATGCGTAAGATTGTTATCAAAATGCAGATGTTTGGTAAGTAGTGAACATATGATGGGATAAAAAAGACTTGGAATGTAGTGTACGAGTTGGGTAACAGTTCCATAATGGATTTTACTGCTATTAAAAGCGGACGCAATTTTTTTGCTCTTTTTTTCAATGTATTTTGATAATTCGCTCATCGTGAAGGAATGCGATAAATAACTAACTTTTCTTCAAGAATTCAAGGTAACAAGGGGTGTGAGTAATTGATACAAAAATAGTCATTTTGGGGGTGAAGTATTCCTTTAAGTACTCACAGGTTTGACTGAACGGACCATTACATAATACCGCACTCATTTCAAAAGAAATAATTCACAGAGGAATGTAAAGTGGCATCTAAAAACTTTCCTTTGTAAGTATCTTTCTGCAATTGTTAGGACCTGAAACAGCATCTCACTGCTGGCCAGGCATCTGGAGACTATTATGGGTTATAAAGCAGCTGCACAGGAGCGGCTCCTTTCCTGCCACCGCAGACTGAAAAACAATAGAGACGTCTGGCGCTGCACACATCGAGTCTGACCTGCCACGTTGTGAGACTTTCACCTGGAAACTAACACTAGAAGAGCAGTGTGGTCATGATCCTGGAATCTGGATATGATACATTGAAAAATGAGTATTTACATTTATAACAATAATAAGTTAAATATAGCAAGGCTCTAACATTTCGAGCTATTTTTTATTATTCTGCGAGTAGCAGACAACAGCTTAATTACTGTACTGAATAATAATAATAATTCAGACTTTTTTGCATGAATAAAAATGGTGTTCTTGAGGTAGCGTGCATGTTCTAATCTAAAGCCTCTTTGCAACGTATTCGAAAAGCAAGTACCGGTAAATGCATGTAAAAAACAAAACATGCATTTCTTCTTTAAATATTATTGTATTTTATTTGTATTTTATTTTTGTTGAGATCAATTCATTTGAAAACATAATCATGGCTTTATGGTCTACAAAACGTTTTTGAGTAATATCCTCATTCTTTTAGCAAAAAATACTTGCAAAAGTATGGCTAAGAGAAGAAAGAGATACATCTGCTAGTACCAATGTGTTCCCTGAGCGCTGTGCAATAGCTGCCCTCTGCTCCTGGTACTAGACTCCTGGTACTAGACTCCTGGTACTAGACTCCTGGTACTAGACTCCTGGTACTAGACTCCTGGTACTAGAATGGGTTAAAAGCAGAGAACACATGTCACTGTGTGCTCTGCATGTGTGACCATTAAAGAGGGGTTCATCCCTCCGTTTCTATATCTATAGAGCAGAAAATCGTTTTTTTGAGTTATTCTATATTGATAAATCTATATTTTTTGACAATTCTCAAACTAAGCATGTGTAATTCTCTCCTCATTTATCAGTTTATCATGTGCATCCAGCAGAAAGTCAGTCCTTCGTGTTTTGCAGCAATGCAGCAGAGAGTGAGCCTGTGTCCGTGTCGTCCTCCTGCTCATTCAGGGTTAAATTCTCACAGACACTTGACTTCCTCTTGCAAACCTCTCACTCCAACACTCTGGCAAGCCCTCCTGGTTTTTTTTCCTCAAGTAAATGTTATAAATAGTGCTGTGTGCTCTGTTGACCGGCCATCCTCCTCTCAAAGTGCATCGCCCACCTTCGCTCGGTCCCTCACCTTTTCTCTCCTTCTCTCTGCGTCTGATTCTCTCTCAACACAAACAGCTCTTCTTATTCAGAGATCTTCTATTGGAGACTTTGCACAGGACCATCAGCTTGTTCTTATTCTGCTCCATGACCGGAAAACATTCTTACTAAATCAGCGAGTTCGTCAGCATGCGTTGTGTGAGCTGGTTGCTGTTTGGGACCTCCATCCTGGTCCTGGGCCTGGCGGTGCAGGGAGCCCCGGGCCAGTGCCCAAACCTGTGCCACTGCCACGGGGAACTTCAGCACGTGATCTGTGACAGCGTGGGGCTGAAGAAGATCCCCCGGGTGTCTGAGGTCACCCGCCTGCTGAACCTGCAGAGGAACAGCCTGGGCAGCATCCCCACGGGGTCCTTCACCGACAGCAGGGGCCTCATCTCTCTGCACATGCAGCAATGCCAGCTGAGGGAGATCGGGTCCCAGGCCTTCAAGGGGCTGAAGAAGCTCATCTACCTCTACCTGTCCAACAACCAGATCAGCAGCCTCAAGCCCGGCGCCTTCGATGACCTGACGGCGCTCACCTACCTCTACCTGGATGGGAATCAGATCAGCGACCTCGCCAAGGGCGTCTTCTCCCCCATGATCAACCTCTTCATCCTGCAGCTGGACGACAACCGGCTCCGGGAGCTGCGGCCGGGGACCTTTACGGGGGCCAAAGACCTGCGCTGGCTGCACATGAGCGGGAACGAGCTGACCACGCTGCAGCCAGGCTCTCTGGACGAGGTGGAGAATCTGGCTATATTCCACCTGGAGAGGAACAGGCTGTCCACCTATCCCATCGCGGCGATGAGCAAACTGCGGGTGGTGGAGGAACTGAAGCTGGGGAAGAACCCCATGAGGACCATCCCAAACATCGCCTTCCAGAGCTTTGGGCGCTACATGGAGAAGCTACATCTGGACAACATGGGGCTGGAGAAGGTCAGTCTGTGGTTTTACTGGGTATTTACTAGACTTTAAGGTGAGATACTGAGCCTGCTTTATAGATATTTTTTTCCTTAGATTGCATTGTATATTTAAACATAATAACTTTAAAAGTAATCATCTAGGGAAGTTTCATGGTGATACATTTTAGATAAAAAAACGTTTAAATTCAGTTCATCTCATGAAAAGGTCTCTATGCTTTACTGTAGTGTGTGTCTGTCTTCATATTAGTTTATTTGTTTTGGTCTGGCAAACCAGTCTCCACCATATACCATCAGCATATATACGTATATGTATATGTATGGGCGCGCCAACGATCCACGCCTCCTTATCTGCAGCCAACAGCATCACACAGTGCCTACATGTGTGTGAATGGATGCTTCTACAGTAGACATATTATTACATTATTTTAGAACCTGATATTGTGACTGAAAAGTATGGAATAGTTGGTTTGTGTCATCCTGCTTCATCTCTATTTGGCTGGATAGATAGTCAGATCTATTTTGCCGAGATCTGACTGATAAAAGAAGAGTAGCTGTGCAGCTGTAATATACAAAGTAACACTATCGCTCATGAAATTCTGTTTCATGAAACACATGTTTTAAAGGGTATGATCACATAAAATTGTTGGTGTATAGTCATATAAATCGTTTTGGTTTTATGTCTGAAGCTTTCTCCAACAACCTCCATTTTGCTGCTTTACTCTATTTAATAGGATTGAATATCTTTGGGTTTTAGGCTGCTAAATGTCATATTTCAAAAATGTAACTTGAACAAAAAGTACAATTGATTTAGAAAATGTTAAGAATAAATAATAAATAAAATAAAAAACAGTTAAATTTAGATAATAAAAAGATTTATAAGTAATAAAACAAAACGAGAATACCTAACAAACATATGCATTAAATCAAACTCTCAATAAACAATACGTATTTTGCGGGGGAATTCGGGTGAACCGAACCTTTAACTTTTAATACGTAAGGCGGCTACAAGGCACTTCATAATTGTACTTCCATAAGACACTGAAGCTGATGTCTTCCAAGATATCCAGGATCCATCTATAGAAAGGCAGTTAGCAAGTGCCAAGGCTGTTTCCATCATTTAAAAAAAGTGTGCGTCTTATTCAGTTAAGCTCCAACATTTTATGCGTTCTTCCTTGGCCCATGCTACTTCAAATCGAGCCAGAAGTTTTTCCGTTATCCTGCTGACAAACAAACCAACAAACCAAACTGCAAAACAACCCTGGTGGAGGTAATAAATCCAAAGTCATGAACACTAAAATCTGCCACATATTGACGTTTGACTCTCAGCCAGTGGTTTGAGTCTTTATCACGACATGATGTTCAGATATCAGAAACACGAGACACATGTTTCCAGCCTGTACAACATCCATCCATTCCACCATATCCTACACAGCTTCAGTATGAACGTACATACAGTACGAGCTCTATGCTATACCACACATTCTCAGACATTCCTGAGTGCACATTTGCTTCATGCTTGAGGTTAATCCAATATTTGAGTGTACCTGTGCCACGGTATGGAGTAAAACAACAACCTTCTCACGCTGGGACTGTGTGAGAGCCAGGTGGAAGCAGCGGGAGGCGGCGAGTGGCGCGAGAGTAAAACCATTTTCCAGCCAAATGCAGATATTTTTAGAGTCGTTTTGTTTGCTGGACCTCCGCCAAGCATGTCCGAGTCTAATTATTACACAAGTGTTATTTTCAGCAAGGTGTGTTCTCTACTTTCAGCGAGAGGGTCTTGTAAACAGGTCAGGAGGGGTGAGAGGAGACAGGTCAATAGAGGCAGGGTGTTCCACAGTGCATGAAGAGGAGTATTTTTAGCTTGCCATCGCCCCAGTTGAATGGACAATTGGGCCCTTTGCAAGCCTTCCTGGCAAAGAAGGAGACGACAGAGAGCGAAAACACCCCAGCCATTCTGGAAGTCATCCATCTTCCATTGCTTCAAAATACCAGAGCCTGGGCTGCTCGTCGCTCTTCAGTGGAAATTTCCAAACAGCCTCATCTCCTCCAGGCTCGCATAAAACAACCCTTCAAAGCTCGGCTCCTCTCCCTCTTCCTTCACAAAACTTGACACGCTGAGATGGGTTCACCTCGCACCTCTCTGAAGCTTTTAGCACCCTCGCAGTCTCAGATGCTCATGAAGCAGGGGAAAAACGGAGGGCAGTGACCGTCAGTGTTTACATAAGTGCTGCTGCAGAAGGAAGGATGAGAGGAGGCTTTCATGCTAGAGAAACAGTGGAGAGATTCCCTAACTCTGCTTTGACTGACACACACAGGGATATGTGTTGGTCTGTGTGAAGCATGTTTATATCAACACTGCATGCACTATAAGATCAGAACTACAATCGTTTTTAGGAATATTGGCATCGATTCATGGACTTTTTGATCACAAGATCAATGTCCACATGCTAGAAAGTGTCCTTAGGAAACACACTTAAATCAAAAATGCTCCCTATGGCCATGCCAGCACCTTGCATGGTAGCTGACTGCCTGTGATGAATAGATTGGAATGAGCATATGAAAAGATGGTGCTTTAAAAATGCAGCCATTCACAAAAAACAAACTGGAAAACACAATTTAGCAGGGTTCAGATCTTCACCAGGAGTTTCCCCCTCTACCCTTCCAAACAAAAAGGAGTTGACTCTTACTCAACTGTCCCTCTCAGCAAACACTGGATTTATTAACCTCATATTATGTCTAACTTTAGTGAATAAGAACATATCTTGTCTGAAATCTATCTGCAGCAGCGCCTTTTCTATGCATGTACGTTTTTGAACCATGGCAAATGCCAAAATATGGCCTGCAATAGTCTAGCCTGCAATTGTCGATCACTTGCGTCCCCTACCGACTAGTTAAGAGGAGAAAGCTGTTAGCGATATATAAAACTGTCAGAAACAGTTTTCTTTTTAATGTAATGTAATGTAATCTACAGAAACCACCACAGTTCATTGAGCATACAGTCACTGACTGATGGGCCCTACTGTATGCAAGATTAGCTCTTGGTTAGCAAATACACACACACACACACAACGGAAACCATTATGCTGGTATGCGTGAAGTTTTTGTTTATGTAACCCAGGCGTAATGGTTTTTGTAATGTCTCTTTTTTTTTTCTAGTTCTCTGACGGTGCGTTCACTGGTGTGACTGCAATCAAGACACTGAACCTGGATAACAACAAGCTAAAGTTCCTTCCCAAAAGCCTGAATTTCAGCAGCATCGCCATCACCAACCTGACCCTCACTAACAACCCGTGGGGCTGCACGTGCCAGCTAGCTCCATTGCGGAGGTAAGAGATTCACCTTAAAAACAAGACGATACAGCCTCACCGGCAGCTCAAACTTAACTCTCTTCTGGTGGCTACTTGCAGGTGGATGGACTCTAGTCGCAATCGTCTAGAAGCAGTGTGTGCATCTCCCCCTCAGCAGAAAGGAAAGCAAGTGAGAGACAGCACCGCCTTGAGTGGCTGCAAAGTCAAGTCAAAGAAAAACAAAAAGGGCCGACAGCAGTAGAGGTAACTGCCACCTGACACGCCAAGGACACAACTTTTCTCTACATCATCATTTCCACATCTTACAAACTGACCTGATCAACTATTTAAAGATAATCAGCAACTCTTTATTATAATTGAATAATCGGTTGTAGTCATTTTGAAGGGAGAAAAAAGGTAAAAACGATCTGATTCCATGAGTACTTTCTGGTTCCCACACTTTTCTATGACATTCGACTGAATAACTTGAGTTTCCGACAGATAATTACATTTTTAGGACGCCATCTTGGGTCCAACATTTGTTTACCATTCCCTCAAATTGAATGGACCCAAATATCTAATCTTGTAACCAAGAAAGAAGTCAATGAAAATAGAAGTTGCAGACCTAAACTATTGACAATATAAGACTAAAGCCAGAAGAAGATTAGTTTAGCATAACGACTAAAAAACCCTGGTCACACAGGGAGTTGTGCTTGAACATTTCTTGAGCTAAGATCAAATATGGAACATTTATATGAGCGAGCTTTTTTAAAGTTTAAGAGCTTTTTTTCTAAACCTCTTAAACTTGTCTTAAACCCTCATTAGATGATGAATGGGGTGGGTAGTTTAGCATTGCTGTCTTCCATGAAACTACCACTAGGAGTCAGCAAAGAGAAATATGTTCAAATCTTACACATAGGACCCTTGAAATGGTACTTTAAAATCAGTATAATTAAAATAAATACAGTTTTCGTCTGTTGTTTTTGAAAACTCCTCTTGGACATATGTGACTGGAGGCACTTGACCTATGAGGTTAAATGAAAGTGAAGTTAAAGGCTGGGAAGTGACACCCTCACTGATAGCTGAGGTGCAGTTCTTTTCCTCTCTTTGAGTGCTTAATCACATGCTGGGATGGTTTGGTGTGAAGGTTTTCCGGTGCGATGCGATTTTGGATTCAGGCGCCACCACATGAGGTTTGAGTTAGTGTTGGAGTGGGCGGCAGTAGGCTTTGCATGATGCCGTTTGTTCCCTCCTCTCTCTCTCTAACCACAGAACTGTGTGTCCTGCCCTGTGTCCTCAGCTTAACTTTCCCGTGTTGACACAGAGTCCAGGTCATGGGGTCTGTGTTTCATTTGGCTGTCCATTTTGTGTCTTTCCACAGGAGACGCTGAAGAGGAGCCTGTCCAGGTGACTGGCTACACAAGCAACTCAAAGAAATGCTGACTCATTATACTTCAAAGCTGTCCCTCTATTCATCTGCCAAATATTGTCCCTAGTGTAAACACAGACAAAAACATTCCTATTTACCTTTGCTCTCCGTCTGTGGCGCTCACACCGGACAAATCAAGAACTTTATAGACCTGAGACATAACTTTACATGTGTTTTCCTTCATTTATATAAAAGAAGCACACATAAGAACCAGAAATGTGCAACATCCAGGTTACCAACAAAATAAAAGATGCATTTGTGTATTTGAATGCTACAAAAAGCACTAAAGACAAACATCTTGTCTTATATTTCTGGCTCAGAGAACAGGATACATGGTGAAAATGAGAATATTTGAATGCTTGCCTTGAGGATAACTTAAAGTCTTGGTTAGCATGAAACTCAAACTAGATAAGCTAAAAGGAAATGCTCAACATTTTAAGATAAAGGCTTAATCACTGTTTTACAGAGAGTGAGATTAAGCTACTGGTTAGCTTAACACAAAGACTGCAAACAGCTAGCCTAGCTTGTTTGCGATGTGACAAAATACCCCAGCAATACCTGAAAACCTACGTTATCAACATTAACAGATACCTTGTTAAATTAAAACATATTATGAAATTAACTAAACTCTTTATCTTTGATTCATTATTGATATACAAAATAATGAATGTCCGTTATTTCAACACAGTCTCACGGCATTTCGTGTTATAGTCACGACATTTAATCTATTGATTCGTGTTCACCAACACGATTTTCGCATTTTTTTCGTGTCACACAGAACGATTTGAAAAGCAATGTAAACAAATTAGAAGGAAAAAGACATTTAAAAAAATACAGATTTCAGTATTCTGACACAGAACGATTTTAGAAGCAATGTATTTATATTGGTAGTATGTTTCGTGCCTGCACCGAATAATAACAAATTAGAAGGAAAAAAAGATGACATAAAATACAGATTTCAGTATTCTGAGGCTCTGAGCCCCATTTCTTTTCCTCGCTGACGGCAAAAAAACTCTGACATTATACGATTTAAAATAAAAGGGATAGGGTTAGGCTTAGGGTAAGATATTGAGTAAGAACATGTTTTTATGAACCACACAGCTTCTGGTCTTCCAAGACCCTACCGGACAAAAAGACGTGGTGCAGGCACGAAAGACACTACCAATAGAAATACATTGCTTTTAAAATCGTTCTATGTGACACGAAACAAATGTGAAAATCGTGTTGGTGAACACGAATCAATAGATTAAATGAATTTCGTGAGTATAACACGAAATGCCGTGAGACTGGGTTGGTTATTTTGGCGGTTACCTGTTTTACCCTTGGCTCCTCAAAAGATTAGGAGGCAGAGAAATACCTTAGTGTCACTCAAACAGGTATCAACAATTGGTTATCATCTTTTCTACTTTACTGTATGATGTCATTTTTAAACCCACATTGCCTGGGAACATTAACAATACTTTGTAAAAGTGACCAAAAAAAGAAAGAAAAAAGAGATAAAGAATACTTATTTCTTAAAGAGGTTTAAGTGTGAAATATGTGGATAGAATTATAGCTGAATCACAGGACACAATTATCATATTTTCTCTTTCTCTTAGTGCCATTTTCCCTGTATGATGGTTTTGTATTACCCCAAAGAAACTAAAACTGTATATAGTTTGTATTTGGCACGGCTAAGAATGTAGACAACAAAAAGTTAATCCGAAAAGATGATTGCGTTGTGTTATTTTGTGTTTACTATAAAGCAGAAATATAATATATATACTTTACCTTTATTTAAAGTGTAAGAAAAATTAAATAATTTCTTGCAATATGTTACCGACTGTTGCCTTTATGCATTATAGCCTAATGTGTATTCAATATCTTCACATTTCCTTGACTTTTGGAAGGGTTACCATCCAATAAACCTTTTACAAAATCATGCCTTCTGTTTGTCTTAAATATACACTTCTTTTTAAGATGTCTAACAGGACTTACCTATATTCATACTTTTGCTAAATCTAATGGGCTTTTCTTAATGATGTGTCTCCCCCTAGTGGGTGAAAGCTGAATCGTTTTTGGGAACTTAAACTGAATTTCTGATCACAGTTGTTTTGATTCATATTATCTATAATAACAATTTAAAAACACTATTATTTTTAATAGTTGTACTTTGACTTACTGTAATTTCCTTGATGTTCATCACAGAAATGACCTTCTTCATAAGTTCTTGAGGACAAGGGGAGCCAGCCATGATGCCTACATAACAAATAGAAAAGCATGTTAAATCCACAGCAATCACTTTATGGAAATATTCTCAAACAAGTACTAGAGGCAGGAAAAAGGCAATGAATCCTCTAAACGGTCACTTCTTTTGTTCCATCCATACAAGCAGAATATCAGCATTTTTCTTACCTGCCTCAACGGATGACAAGTCATATTTAGCCAAGTCTGGCTGACTAATCATGTCAATATACATGGTGGGGGTGCCGTAGATGAATGTGCACCTGTGAGGACAAATACAAATACAAATAAAAAACATTTATTTGAGATAATAAATCCAGCATTCCAATGAGTTTCTGTTGTTCTGGCTGATTTCCTCATGTTAAGGAGACACTTTACAAAATGTGCCAACGTGCTGTGATTTGTTCCTTTCTAATTTATTTCAACTTGCTATAACATGCTTTTTTTTAATATAACATAAAATATGTTAGCCTTATTACTCACCCAGTAGTGGAAATGTGCCATGTTATAGCAACGAAGAAGAGTAATCAATCAGTTAAAAAAGGCTAAGAGCAATATATAAAATAACAAATAAAAGAAAAAAACTGTAAAAATCTGAGAAAGGTAGACAGATGAAATGGTTCGATTATTGCACATAGGACATACTGATATTGCATAGTTTGGTATACATATACATGTTAAAGGTAAGAATGGGGAAACCAGCTCAAGTGCGCTAGAATTTGAAACTACGCAGCCGAAAACAAATCTGCCCCTTCCTCCTCCAACACACACGAACGCGCACATGACCAATGAGGGCACGAGATAAGTTTGTGCAGTGTGTGAGAACAGAACGCTCTGATCTGTCGCTATCACACTGTTTGATTTAGCTCAAAGGCAAAGTTTGACAATTTGGGAAAAAAGGCTTGTATGCCAAGAGTTATATAAGGAGATCGATACTCCTCTCATACTGTACCTTTACCCTAAATTAGAAGCTCCATCCAGCAGCTGGTGAGCTTAGCACTAACACAGCTATACAAATACTGAGTGCTTACACAGGGCAGGGGGTCACTGGGGGTCACTGGGGCTCATGGCATATTCTTCCTATATTACTCTTTCAGGCCGATCTTAACAGTACGGCTGCCTTAAATAAAAGTACAGTTCGACAACCATTCATTAGATCAACCTCACACTTGGCGAGTGTATAGCTAGAACCAAAGGGAGTTTAATATTAAAATCTACTGGACATTTCTTAGTGCTTTATGTACACAATGTGTGGTGTATTAAGAGGGGGCCTAACTGTTACACCACCAAACGGCATGCTGGGTGTAAGTCGCTTTCTGATACACCCTACAGCACATTCCATTACAGATGAAGAAAGAAAGAGCGGATATCAAAAAGGGACATATTCATCAGTAATTCATTTGACAACTGATGTTAAAGTAAACTGGCATGAAGCATTTACAGTAGCATGTATTGATATGTCTGGTACTCAACATGCCTTTGCAATGAAATATAATAATCCTGTCACAAGCAGAATAAATGGACAGGATTTAAGGAAGTGCGTTTTGAATCATCGTTTGGCCTTTTGGCCATCACGATTTTTGGAACCAGAAGCTGCACCACTGTAGAGTTCAGTACAGCCAAATGCTGAACAAGACATTTCCAGTCAACCAAAATGTTACAATTAACTTTCATTAAGTGAAAACTAACTGTTAATTGGTAAAGTTCTAAGATGCAAACAAGAAGAGCACCTCTTCCTTACAAATCAGGCCGTTAGCAACATGCTAATTACAAGGTAGTCTGCTATTAATCAAGTGAAAGGTAAGATCATTTTTAAAAATACAAATCTAACTTTTTTATGCTACAAGTAGAGTCACACCTACTGGCCGTTACAAGGAAGGCAGGTTCAAGGCACTTCATCTTTGGGTTCACTTTTCAACATTTGAGTTTGCAGCTGAGCCATATTTCAGCACATTTCTGTGAAGGGTCCATCAGCTCATGGTTGTGTTTATATTTTCTCCTGTGAGTGTGCGTGGCATAACACAGGATGTAAAGGCTAAGGATGAAGTTTCATCCACATGTAGACAAAGACAAGCACTATGTTTAATGTACCACAAGATATGGGATGTACAAAGTAAAGCTTTTCAGTCATGTAAGTGTGGATGTTATAATTTTAAGAGAGATTTCTGAGAGACTCTTCCCGGCTCCTAGATACTTTGTATGGTTTTCAAAAGATTTTATATACATGTAACATATTCTTTCACCATCAGTGTTTTGTGTGCTATATCATGTGTGCCACATGTTTGCAGATAACTTTACTATCTGCACTAGAAACATTAATGACGGCTATATTACAATTAGATAAACCAGTTCCAGGGTTTGGACTTTGGAGTGAGTGAAAAAGGTTGTACAGTAGATGCCCACTTTTGGAAGCACTCAGAACTAAGGTGGCTACATTGTTATTACTTACTATGTTATTCTCATGGGGCAACATGACTTTTTGAGGAAATAAATAAAAGACTTAAAGGTCACCTATTATGCAAAATCCACTTTTTCATGTCTTTTATACATAAACATGTGTGTCCCCCCCTCTGTGTAAAGAGACTCTGAAAGTTTCAGGAAAAAATATTCGCTCTTTGTTTGTCCTGATCCATTTATATAAAAACCTGTCTGAAAATGAGCTGATCAGATTTTGGCCACTTAGTGATGTCATAATGTTTTTTTGGCTTGTGTAACCATTAGCCAATCAGCAACCAAGGTAACCCCCCCCCCCCCCCTTCCCACCTTATCACCTGAATCTCCTCCTAGAGCACCATTGAGTTCTTTTTAACCAAATATCTCTCTGAGGGGCGTGGGGAGGGGCTCCTTATTTTCATCTAAAGTAACAGACCCAGAGTCAGCACTTCTGAAACAGGGCTGAAACAGAGGGGATTATGGGATGCTACAATGATCTGTTTGGTATTTGGAGCCAAACACTTCAGAGATATGTTTTGTATATATCTGAGACCTATAATATATTGATGAAAAATAGTATAATAGGGGACCTTTAAAGCTAGAGTTTGCCTACAAGTGATTCTTGTTGATTCTCTTCTCTTTGTACATGACTAAAAAACATGTGATATCTGATCTCCCTCAGGAACTTTCCATCTGTTAAGAATATCCGACACTAATGCATACCAGACTCAGCAGACGTGACCTCAAGCTGGAACAAACACAAGCTAAAGCATATTTCTCCAGCCCTCTAACCTTTCAGCATACAGCTTTCCAGATATTTGATTTTCTTTCAAATAAAAAATATATATGCAGATTATTTTTAGTGCACAACTGCTTCTTGCTTGCACTTTGCAGTTGGATCATTCCTAAATGTAAGCCAAAGAAGTCTGAAAACCGGTTCTCACAGCAGTTTTGAGAAAGAAAGGGGATTATTGTAAGCACGTTAAATCCTTTGTCAGGCAGTAACAGGATATTAAAGATCAAACAGCTTTCTGTCCTACTAATTTAATATAATCCTTTTTAAGACTCCAGAATACATGAATGGACCTGGCCAAGGATTGCTGACATTACCTTTCACTCTCCATAGCTGCTAAATTGGCCTTTCCATCGTACCCAGCGGAGGGAAAGACCACGGAGACGCCATGGACGGCCATACAGAGCCCCCCCCCCACAGAGCCGAAGCAGTGGTACAGAGGCACAGGCAGACAGATCCGGGTGTGAGGCTGAGGGACAATATCAGGAGGCAGAAGGGACATCATTAGGGAGGCAATTGAAAAAGAAGGAGGATGATGCATCATAATGTATTGATAAACTACCACCTGCTTGCTTGCTTGCAAAAGTATGTTTCTCCTTTATTATTTTAGACAAAAGTACACTATCAAATTTCCATCCACAGTTTGGAGAAGGCCCCTTTCCTGTTTCAACATAACAATGCACGTGTGCACTTTCAGATATGTTTTTCAAGGGTCTTGTGAAAGAACTTAAATGGCATTGTAACAGTATGTTTTCTTAATAACAACAGATCCAATGCATAGGTTAAAATCAACACTTTTTTTATTCATTTAAACAGCTGGTAACCGTTTTTAGAAAGCATTACTCAAACAGGGGAAATTATTCCTTTTTTGGGGCCTTTACTTAAAAATGGCAGACAAAAACATAAGAAAAATGTAAGTAAAGAATCCTGCTGATGAAATATATGAAGATTTATCTCTTTGAATGGTTTTTAATACAAGACTTCCTTATTTTCAACTAATTTCTTTCTATTTCATTTGTTACATTAAATGTATTACTATAATATAAAGGATAATGCTAATCAAATTCGGTATTTCCTTGTTGTTTACAACTAAATGAGTACAGTATATGTGGCAGCAGGACATTGTGTGTGTGGCTTATTGATGCCTTTTTCATATGTTTTGGATAATAGTGAAGCTATATGGTACAGAAAAGGAAATGTATCCAGTTTTGATACACACGCAATACTTGTAACTACTGTATGCACACATTTAGTGATGGTTGTGGTCCACTTATGGATATGGATGTTCAATCCAGAACTCCATCTATACCCTGCTATCATACTCCGAACCCCCTTCTGTTGACTTCAAATATGCTCACTGCTCAGAAGGCCTTAATTAAACTCTAAGATGATATATTGTGTGTAAAGACTCACCCTCCAGGTGTATCCCAGTCTCTTTCCAACGGAATAGGCATTGTTGACGATGTTGTGATGAGACAGCGTGGCTCCCTTTGGAGCTCCAGTTGTGCCCTGGTAACAGACATAATTACGGAAATAAATGAAAACCATAAAGCCATAAAAAGGTCTGATACTGTCCTTCAAGATGACTGATAGGCTTCTTGATTTCTCTATAAACATGGTGGAGCCTACCTTCAGTCAATGACAAATTGTATCTAAAGTGTGTTATTTTGTATTCTTAATAGCGTCACTTGATAGTTTGATCATTAGTATGACAAGTATATCACTTTGACCTTTGTCCTAATAGAAATAATAACTTTAAAGTAAAACCTTGCACACTGTAAAAGAATTGTGTTGCAAATTGTGGCCCTATATGCATTTCTATTTTATTAAGATAACATTTCAGCCCTCAGGCCTTCTATAGGTCAAAAATCATTATCTTGTAGAAGGCCTAAGGTCCGAAATGTCACCTGAATAAGAGAAATATTCAAATGTAGTACTGTGCAAAACCTTTTTTCTTACTTTTATGTGTACTTTTATGTGTAACGTGTCCAAAATGTGATCACAGTGCAACTTTTGTCAGTGTGCAAGCATTATATATCATGTCAAGGGCTAAAATATTCCCTGTTCAGTCTATATAAAGTTAGATCCAGTGTGCACTTTTTCCCAGGACATTCTGCCAGAAAGAAAGGAAACCTGGCATGTATTCAACATGTTTCAGCGTGCACTGACCCCAATGGGGCTCTTTGAATTTCCTTAAAAAGGTAAAGAATGCAGGAAAATGCTGAAAACAAATGATAGATGTATACAGCGAGGAGGGGCTAACTTAAAAACAGCAAATGACAATGCTACATACTATTGCTTTAAGGGCAGCAGGAGTTATGCAACCATTACCGAGGTGAACTGGATGTTTATGGGGTCGTCAAAGGACAGCTTCCTCTGCAGATCCTGGAGCTGCTGCATGTACTGGCTGCTGCCGGCCTGCATCACGTCCTCCAGGAGAAGCATACCTGGCTGCCGACTATCCACAACGATCACAGAGCGGAGGTCTGGGAGTCTGAGGGGAAACATACAGACAACATCTGGGTTAATGCTTTACAACTGAAGTGCTCCAAGGTACACAGCAATATTTAGTTGTCATATATATATAGTGTGTCCGGGATTGAGTCCTGGGCAACTTTGAAGGACTGCTTGTGCAGGAAACAACTTCTTAAATAATATTGAACAAACTGTGGGAAGTAAATTAGCAACTAAAATAAAATGCTTAAGATCTGGCAGTATCTCTGAAGAATCTTTAAACAACACTCACATGATTTAGCTATTTTTAACCACCATGTGTAGAAATGATATCTATGTGTATTACAGTGCTCCATAAGTTAAACCTAATCATACAAAAAGAGTCATTCAATACAAACTCAGCCAGACCTTCCACCAATACCATGGATTTAACTTGGTATGAAAAAATAACTATTAAAGTTAATGGACCTTGAATGTGGGTTTGATAGTGATGTATACTAAACAGAATTTAAGTTAAGCAAGATAACTAGTTAAGTAATTAATATTAGAAACTTATTTTTGGTGATTTATTATTTAGTTATTTGATAACTATTTACCATTTACTATTTACATTCACGTTACGAATTAGCCTTAGGGTTTTTGGGATGTCCAGTCAAAATTGTAACCAAATCCAGTGAAAAATAGACAATTATTTGTGGCCTGGAATACCCAGACTTCCAAAATGTAATAAATGCATAACAGAAAGTGCTATAAGATTTTGCGAGGTCTCATGAATTGTACAGTATAGAAGTTTTCACATGATTAATAATCCATAACTTGCAGGGAGTTCTCAGTGAGTGTACATGTTGGTACTGGTGAGCCCCAGCAGCTGTACCTGGCGCTCCTGATGTCTCCTGGGGTGGACGTCTCGATCTCTGGACATATCTGTCTCAGCATGTCACAGTACTTCTGAGTCCTGAACTCCGTAGGGCACACGATAGCTTTACACCCAACCTGTGGAGAGAGCAGCACATGATTCACTTTAATGTGAAACAGTCTCTGCGTGTCATAACAATAAAATGTATGTAAAAGTCGCCCACCTTCCGCAGTGCAAACTCCACTTCCTGCAGCTGGTACGCTGGGTTCACAGACACCTGTCGGGGGGAAACCATTAACAGTCGCTCATGTAGGCAGAAAATGAAGGTTTAGAGATTAAAATGGACCACAGCCAAAACTGTGACAATGTTAAGAACATAATGTACCACCACTTTGATGCGAATATTCCAGATCAACGTGTAAAATGTAATATTAATAAGGGAACACTTTTCCACTGCTTATGGGACTGCCCAAATATCAAAACATTTTGGAAAGATGAAAACTCTGTATTCTAAATCTTAATAACACCACATAATAAAATGACTGTTTAAAAAAAACCTTTCTCATTGTCTTGCCTTGGAGAAATTGACCTATGCTATAAAGGGAAATCCTGATGCCTTCTATAAAATATGAGAAAATCCTAACAGTTTTTGGAAAGGAACTAGTTACGACCTGGTCAATTAGTAGGCAATATATGATTGTGATGTAGCTTCCTGTCCAGCTTTGTAACAAGGTCCACTTACATTATTTGTAATCATTACTCATTAACAATAATGTAATAATCCTCATTTGTGACTCAACTAGTGAGTGTTTGTGGCAGCAGGAGAGTTTATGTTGAGTTCAACCAAAATGAACTACAGTGTGTGTGATCATGTTAATGATGTTGCTCATTGATGTTTTTTAAGATGAGCTCCAAGGCCGAGAGATAGAAGCTATAAAATCCTGCTGACAGCATTAACAAAGAGTAAGGTCACCGTCTCCCTAAACTCTTTATGCCTTCCTGTTAATGCACTACGCTGTGGCCTTGACCCACCAATATAATGCCAGCTCTGGCTGTGGCGAACTGGAACAGGATCCATTCGTAAGTGTTGGGACCCCACATGCCGAGCCGGTCTCCTTTCTGCAGCCCAAGAGCCAGCAGCCCGGCTGCAGCCTGATCCACCTGCAGAGAGAGGAGACAACATAATCAGGTTAAACGTGTCACTTTGAGAAAACACATGCAGCGATGCAAGTCCATCAAATAAAGATACACATTCTCAAGGGCGCTTTATTCAAAAGACTTTGGATTCCTTTGATACAATTCTTTGATGCATCATGTCACCAGTAAACTACAATTGATCCCGTATTAAAAAAAATATGAATTTTCTCTTAAAAAATGTTGTAGTTTAAAATGCATTAATGTTTAGGCACTAACACATTGTTTTAATGAATTAACAGCAGAGATGTTTCATGAAAGCTGCATTCTGATTATTATATTCCTGCTCTCTTTTTTGCAAGATTAACAGTATCACTTTTTAAGGTCACTGGGTGAAAGTTAACAAACTATACAGGACTGAACTGGCAGGTTATCTTGTTTCAGGTTGGATGTCGCCTCAACAACCTCCACCAATGGGAATCCACTATTTCACCTGAGCGCTGACACCCAGGGCAAAATCATTCCATACATTCTTGCAACTGCTCAAAGCGTGATTCCTTTGCATTCTAAGTGATGTATGAAGGCGCCTTGGAGCATATCAATAAGTTAACTAAACCCAGTTGGCATGGTTGTGATGATTTACATTTGATTAACCATTTAGTGGTTAATTGTATCTGCTAATTACTCATTGATGCATGGAAAGGCCTGCTTCCAGCTTCAATTGAGAGAGGGGAACAGGTTTGTACAGTTAGTAAAATGAGGTTAAAGGTTACTTTACAAATGTTTAACTGTAGAATGTAATTACAAGCATTTTGCAATTACTCTTTTCACTGGAGTTCAGGTGCTAAAATGTTATTGGTCTAGAGCAGGGGTAGCCAACACGGTGCCCGCGGGCACTTGGTCGCCCGCAGAGGCAACGTGAGTCGCCCGCGGGGCATGTTCTAAAAATAGCTCGCCAAGCAAATCCAAAATGTATAAAATACACAAAACAAAAAAGGAAATGTAATTAAAAGAATCTACCCTATGCATAAACGAAACCTAAATCATAGCGAACTCTATCTACTTACTACAACTCTATATCTATCTAACACCCCTCCTCCCCCCACCCCCAAAATTAATATCTACCAATCACGTTGATTTGCGGGACCAGCGTTGCAGTCTGGAAGAAAAGCAATGTGGCACCTCCCCGCTGATTTTCCTTCTGGCAGAATCTACACAACACATCAGCCCCATTGAACAGCCTATCATGCAGCCTATACAACACATGGGGGGCAGAGTTTTACTCTGTGTGTTGCAACTTGCATATCTTTATTGCACTTGACGCACACACACGCATGGCGTAATTTCCACCTGGGACAGGGGGGAAATGTCCCCCCCACTTTTCGAAATCCCGTTTGTGTCCCCCCACTTTAAAAATATGTTTATTATTTTTTTTTAACGCAAGCCGTCGGTCGCCACGGAGGAGCGAGACAGAGCGAGCGAGAGAGCTAGGGAGGGAGAGGGGGAGAGAGAGAGCGAGAGAGCTGGGGGGGGAGGGAGGGAGGGAGAGAGAGAGAGCTAGGGAGAGCATACCTTTATCTATTTAATATAGATAAAGTAAGAAATCATTCCAATGTGTATAGGACAGTAAAAAAAATCAAAAAACAGTTTGAAAGGGGAGTGATTAGTAAAATAAGCATACATAAAAAGAAAAAATGCTAACTAGGTAACATAAGATAAGAATAAACCAGTTTAAATGATTTGTTATTGGTTGTGATCATATTCTAAAGATGTTTGGATTATTGAAAAGTATACAGCTCTCTTTCATCTGAGTGTTGAGAGCTGTATCCATACATTCATGTTGTGCTCAAAGTGCTCCAGATTGATGCATTTCACTTCAACATTAAAAAATAATCTTCCTGGGGGTGCATGCCCCCCGACCCCCCTAGAGGAGGTGAGGACCCCCCTGGAGGAGGTGAGGCCCGTCCACCCCCAAATAAAGCAGGTTAAAATAATTAGATTGCATACATGTTCTTTTAGTAAACACTGCAAACGGGTCCCACAGACCCAAACAGCAAACAAAGGTTAAAGGTCAGCATATCATAATGTTAAAATGTGCTAAATATATACACCGCAAAAAAAGAAAAGTAAAAGTAGCCCCCGACTTGTTTTATTTTTTTAAAGTAGCCCTCACCCTAAAAAAGGTTGGTGACCCCTGGTCTAGAGTGAATGCTGTGGAATAGTTTGAGAAGGTGAAGCCATCCCCATAACTATCTATCACTTTTTATGAGTTGTACAATTATACCCTGATGGTGTAAACATTAACATTGAGAACAATGGCTGGGTGAACAGGTTTCTTAAAAAGGCACTCGGAAGTGGATAGCATCTACATCTTAAAGAGGTAGGCAATTATTTTAGAAGATTTTTTGTTTTTTTCCATGTACATTGAGGCAAATCTGCTTGTTGTAAGACATCCCAATGCAGTCTGCAGTTGTTATAATCAGGGGTGCACATAACTGGTACGCAGGTACGCATGCGCGGCAACAATCTGAAATGCGTACCGTCACTTGTGTCACAAAGCGCATTTGCGTACCGACGTAAATGTGAAGCTTTTCCAGAAGGCGGTTAGTTCACCGGACGAGAGTCGGTCAGACAGGGCTGCTGTTAACGTCGGTCTGTACAGCAGCCCTGCGCTAAAACAGCTGATCACAACGTTCACACGCTCCGCGGTCACGAAGCTCTGTACTCTACTACCACCAACCCCCCCCCCCCCCCCCCGTTGACAATCGCGAAGCGTTGTACTCCACTGACGCCCCCCCCCCCCCCCCCCGTTGACGATCGCGAAGCGCTGTACTCCACCCCCCCCCCCCCCCCCCCCCCCCCACCCCCGTTGACAATCGTCAGAAGTTGGAGTACCAAACACTGGGTTTTTCTCAATCGCGAGTACGCTTGCTTGGTAGCACATGTCTGCCGAGCATCTTGCTTCAGAAGCGAGGCAAGAATACTTCCTGCCATTCGGAAAACAAAGAGTGGAACAGGCTAGCAAGTGTGCAGGTGTGCGTCATATGAGAGGCCCCACCTTACATCTTCCGCCACAGATTTGGGGAAATTGGTCCGTGCGCAAAGCATTGTGGGGATTTTAAGACCGCGAAGTCTACTCATGTGAAGCCTCGATATTTCTCCAAACGGAGTACGCCGGGCTCGGTAGATTTCCAAGTATGCTGGAGATTGGAACAGTCCTTCGGCGGCACTCGATGACGTAGTATGCTTGAAATAGTGGCTCTGAAGCAGCTTTACTCGCGATTGAGAAACACCCACTGACTCCAGGTACTCATCTGAGTACCTCACTGAGAAAGTTGTGTGCACCCCTGGTTATAATGAGCCATAGTCAGAAGGGCTGCAGAATAAGAAAATAAAGCGGGGTGACATTGATGAACATTACTCCCAGGACTTCCATGTTTGGATTTAAGCACCAAGTGTAGGGTTCTGGGCCTTTTCTAAAAAAAGAAGCATTGCAAACAGGGCCACAATGTATTTGTTTCTTGGCATTCCAACATCCAACCTACAATTTGAGAAGAAAAAACTCACATCCTTCTGAAGCTGTGCGAAGGTTTTGCGGACTCCATCTTGCAGGAAGGCCACGGCCTCTCGGTCAGGGAAGCGCTCCACCGTCCTCAGCAGGGAGTCTCCTACCGTGGAGTGGAGCAGAGAGGTGGTGGTCGTGCCGTGGGCGTAGCTGGTGATGAGAGACGGGATGATGGGCGGGGAGTCCACATGGATGCCACTGCAGGGAAACACAATATATTTTTAGACACATGTTTTCTTAGTCGTCCATGTCAGTACGTAATACATTTGGACGGACAAAACAAGACATTTTAAGATGTTACCCAAGATTCAGAACAATTTCAATATTTTCTGATATTGTACAGACTAAACAACCAATCTATTAATTAAAAAATTATAATCAGCAGATTAGTCGATCATGAAGATATTAGTTTGCACAAATTAAATGTCTTTTATCTTTCTCTAACTAAACGAAGAAAACAAAAAAGTCTTGTTTGGGTCAAAAATGTAATAAATTGGATCCTCCCATTAGGTATATTTATGGGTAATTAATAAAAGTAATACTTACTCTTGATTATGATGTTGATTAAGTACGGATTTAATCCACTTTATATTATTAAAACTGTTCAAGACTTAATCAAAGAAAATGTGTATTTATTGTCAGGGCGCTAAAACTGAACAGCTTCCTTGTTGAAACCTCAACAAACCATTTCATCTCCTCTAGAAACTCATTTACAGGGGCTATCGTCAGCCGTTATAACGTTTAGTGACATAATAGTTTGTTGACCTGATAAGGGAGAAGTAAAATGATAAAGGTTTCCGCATGGGTTCAACTGGACTGTCAGTCCACCTTTCACACAGAAACACAATGACCCACAGGTTTCCGTGCAAAAGAACAACCTATTGAATATTTGTGAATAAATTATGAGAAATGAATAGCTCTTTAGGTTATTACAGGGCTGCACTGACTTGTAGTGTTCAAATTAAGGTATTTTTTGCATATCCAGATTTCCATTTGATTATTTTCTATTCTGTTAATTGCCATACACAATGTTAGCTAATCACAGTTGGTCGTAACAGTGAAAAAACTCACAAACGTATAACATGTGAATTAAGGCAGTGCCTTTTGTAAAGGGTCACGTGTTAAATAAAGGTTGTTAACCTCAAGTTTCTTACTCAATGGGTTTGATGCTGCGTTCACACCGGACGCGATGCGATGTTTGGGGGCGGCGCGATTACATGTAAAGTCAATGCAGAGACGCGGACGGACGCAAATTCGCTCCGACGGCGCGCATGAAGCGGTGGACGCGGCGCGAATCACGCGATTGAACGGTGCCGCGTTAAACGCGAGAGTTCAATTTTTTCAACTCGAGCGTCAAATTGACGTGACGCGTTCTCGCGGAAGCCAATCAGCGGTGAGGATCTCAGCCTGCCGTCACTGACGTTCAACCACACAACATCAGCCGTTAGCTGTTAGCAGTTAGCACACAGAGCTCACAGCTCCTCATATCTGTTCAGAAACTGGACAAAAGTTAAACAAGTACAAACCACAGACTGTCTGTGCCATGGCGAATACAGTCGCTGCTTTATTTATGTCTGTAGGCCGTTGTTATGAGTGTGGAATGAGCATATACAACGTTAGCTTAGCCTGGTCGACCCGATCTTCATTCAGAAAACAAGCATTTTAAAAGATTTTTCCTCTGCCGTCTGTCTGTAGACTTGTCAAAGCATTAATTCATGGTTTTTACTAAACGGTATCAGTATGTTGTTACTTCGGCATCATTTAGAAACGTGTATTACAATTTAATCACGGTAAAATATCTTCATGTTGTTGTAGTTGTAGCTCCCGAGCCAGCGCGTCTTTTTTTAATGATGCGAGTAAACACAGCTGGCAGCCGCGGTGAAACTCGAGCGTTTAGAGCGATGCGATAGGAGCGATTTAGTTATAATAAGGGTTAACATCCTGGGAAATGTAACACATTTACACGAAAGGGAAAACCCCAAAAAGCATAATATGGCATCTTTTAATAATACAATACATGCCTGCCAAATAATTAATTATAGCAAGTATCATTTACAATTTTAAAAGTCAAACTGGCAGGGGCAAAATCAAGTAATGGCTCTATTTTAAGGCTCAATCACAACAACCAGCACTACATGTGTACACACACTGTTGTGAGCAGTGCAACAGGATCAGGTTAATTGAGACAAAAAAGCAGTTGTGATGATAAATAATTATCTCTTCACTCAGTCCCGGCTTGTCCGGAAAACAATTATCTCTGGCAGAGAGGCAAAATGTGAATATGCTGCCAAACACTTTGACATTACATTTCCTCTGTGATACTGTAATGCTGCTTGAAATACTCTCTCTACATTGTCATACCAGCACAGCTTGCTGCAGTGTAAGGATGTCATCAACATTACATGTTCGAAGCTGATTATTATTAAGCTAATAAGGTGATTTATTGTTGCAAACAACTGTCACTATAATGTCAGGATGTATGTAGTGGCACCCTTATCTGTTTTGGGGCAACAGAGGTGTTTTGGCTAATGCAAGTTAATACTTTCTTGAACATTTGTAGTTCTAGTTACCCCTTAATGTGAATCTCCTTTAATCCAAAACACTTACAAATCCTTAAATTCTTTATCACAGGACAATTTTTTTCACTTAAAGTACCCATTGAAAAATAAATATGAAACATGCATCATTCTAAAACGCAATAATGTAACATTAAGTCATTATAACAATAAAGTAATAGAAGCTTTATTGTTACAATACAGTACAACCTAGTTGAGTGAAGTATAAAGTAAAATGGAGTACACTTAAGTAATTTAAGTTATTCATTACATGTACTATAATGCTCACAATTGTTAGTAACCTGACTGACATATTAGAGGGAATCATATTGTTTACATCATTTAAAAAAGTGTGCCTCTTGCGATTTAAACATTTCCTTTAGTCATATTGGGATTTGGGGGAAATCTTCTTTCTCTAGTGTTTGTATTACTGGAATCAAAATCAATGATTGTCTTTGTGATTCATGTTAATGTGATCAGCAGGCTGCAGGACTTACTGAATCAGTGCATTGAGTGGGTTGAAATTATTACAAGAATATAGCATAATCATCTGAATACCTGCACAACAGGAGATAGAAACAATGTAAGAATTTGTATTTTGCATTTAGTCTCCTGTGGGGGACTGCAAAACAACATGCTGGTGCTTCTTTAAACTCCTCCAACATTATTTTTACTTCTGCTTATTATTTATAACATACCAAATAAATAGAAGAGGAATGTATGTTTATACAATGTTGTGTCAAGATTGTGCAAAGCATTTATGAGTAGGTCATCATTTTGTAGATTTGAGTTGTGACAATCATGACTTTTCAAAGCACATTTTTTTACATAATCATAAAAAAAGAGAACGTTTATTAAGGAATACATGGTTTATAATGACACAAGAGGAAAGTATCATTGGGTACTTAAAAATCTTTCTCGCTTGAGCAGCCACAAAGAGAGAGAAATCTTGACTGAGCATTATTCCTATTATTTATCACGACATGATGTATCTCACCGACTCGCTGCAGGCAGGGCTGGATGATGCGTCCATGGTCTCTGCAAAAGTTTAAAAGATCTTGAAAAGCCACTGTTGCTCCGAAGAGTCTGTGAACACAGCACAATCTTTGGGATCATTGTGTGCAGATGCAGATCACCGCGCCCCTGAACACAACACTTGAGCAGATTTCCACACTCCGTAAACAGAGAAGTTATCCAGAAGGACTTCCTGTGCACCGCTGGAGAGAACCACACTGACTGGAAACACTGGGAAAGTCTCTCTTCTCAGTTAATCTGCAGCTTTTAGCCCCCTGCTCGGACCTTGATCCTTTACCTTTCACACAATTGCTGTGAGAGCATCAGTCCTGTCCTGCTGGTGGAGCGCTGCAATGCAGGAAGACAAGTCTCAGCAATTAGATGCACACCCTGACAGCTACGCAGTAGTGTAAACAAGTACTTGATTGCAATTTTGAGGGACTTGTACTTTAAATCAAACAAACATAGATGAGAGTGTAAAATATAGTTACAATTAAAGGTGGGGTAGGTAATTTTGGAGAAACCACCTCGAGATCGCTAGAATTTGAAAATACACAGAAAAAATCTGCCACTTCCTAACGGGCCGTCTCCACGGCAGCGTTAACAAAATCTTGGAGGTGGGCGTATCTGAAGCTTGGGGATTTTTTTGCGATCAACCAATCACATGAATCTCCCGCCCGCGACATACGAAGCCAAAAAGCCCGAAGTAAACTGGATATAAACTCCCCAAAACAGGCGAAAACATACCACTGTCTCTGCCACCTCCCTCCATGCCTGGCTCCTCCGGTTTATATCCCGGTAGGTCTGGTCATAAAGCACCGGGTGATTGATTCGCTACCGCTAATTTCTCCTCCATTTTTTGGAATATGAGGAAATGATCTGCGGTATGTCTCTCCCAGCATACACGCCGTTTGATTGGCTAGAGCTTGAACTGTCAGATTTGCGTACACGGGATTTGATTGGCTGACGCTTCCTCCTCAGCTTCAAAAGTTGAACATTGTTCAACTTTGGATCTTGAAAATCCTGAGAATCTCCGCTCGCCTGCCCACAATGCATTTCGGCGAAAGCGAAAAAAAGTGACGTCACCCCATTCAAAGTGAATGGGCAGAAGCGTTTCAAGATTTTTTAACGCTGCCGTGGAGACGGCCCGTTATGCTGCGTTCACACCGGACGCGATGCGACTATTCGCTTCGCTCTAACGGGCCGTCTCCACGGCAGCGTTAAAAAAATCTTGGAGGTGGGCGTATCTGAAGCTTGGGGATTTTTTTGCGATCAACCAATCACATGAATCTCCCGCCCGCGACATACGAAGCCAAAAAGCCCGAAGTAAACTGGATATAAACTCCCCAAAACAGGCGAAAACATACCACTGTCTCTGCCACCTCCCTCCATGCCTGGCTCCTCCGGTTTATATCCCGGTAGGTCTGGTCATAAAGCACCGGGTGATTGATTCGCTACCGCTAATTTCTCCTCCATTTTTTGGAATATGAGGAAATGATCTGCGGTATGTCTCTCCCAGCATACACGCCGTTTGATTGGCTAGAGCTTGAACTGTCAGATTTGCGTACACGGGATTTGATTGGCTGACGCTTCCTCCTCAGCTTCAAAAGTTGAACATTGTTCAACTTTGGATCTTGAAAATCCTGAGAATCTCCGCTCGCCTGCCCACAATGCATTTCGGCGAAAGCGAAAAAAAGTGACGTCACCCCATTCAAAGTGAATGGGCAGAAGCGTTTCAAGATTTTTTAACGCTGCCGTGGAGACGGCCCGTAATCGCTCCTATCGCATCGCTCTAAACGCTGGAGGTTCACCGCGGCTGCCAGCTGTGTTTACTCGCATCATTCAAACAAGACGCGCTGGCTCGGGAGCTACAACTACAACAAATGAACATATTTTACCGTGATTAAATTGTAATACACGTTTCTAAATGATGCCGAAGTAACAACATACTGATACCGGTTAGTAACAACCATGAATTAATGCTTTGACAAGTCTGCAGACAAGACGGCAGGCAAAACACCTTTTAAAATGCTTGTTTTCTGAATGAAGATCGGGTCGACCAGGCTAAGCTAACGTTGTATATGCTCATTCCACACTCATAACAACGGCCTACAGACATAAATAAGCAGCGACTGTATTCACCATGGCACAGACAGTCTGTGGTTTGTACTTGTTTAACTTTTGTCCAGTTGCTGAACGGATATGAGGAGCTGTGAGCTCTGTGTGCTAACTGCTAACAGCTAACGGCTGATGTTGTGTGGTTGAACGTCAGTGACGGCGGCTGAGATCCTCACCGCTGATTGGCTTCCGCGAGAACGCGTCACGTGAATTTGACGCTCGAGTTGAAAAAATTGAACTCTCGCGTTTAACGCGGTACCGTTCAATCGCCTCAATCGTGTGATTCGCGCTGCGTCCACCGCTTCATGCGCGCCGTCGGAGCGAATTCGCGTCTGTCCACGTCTCTGCATTGACTTTACATGTAATCGCGCCGCCCCCAAACGTCGCATCGCGTCCGGTGTGAACACAGCATTACAGAGCCCCTCTTCCAACACACACGAACGCGCAGTCGCGCACATGACCAATGAGGACACGAGATAAGTTTGTGCCCCGATGGAAGGCTGACAGGCAGGTAGGCCATCCAGTTATTTTAGCCGGGCCGGCTAAAATGATTGGTCGTACTTTTTACAGTACTACGGCTTCCACAGATGACATTTTTTTATGGATTTTTTGTCAAAGCACTTAAGATATTCATTGCTATCGGGATGTTAAGAGCATTCCATGGAATATAACAAAAAGTGTATCTCGAGCCGGTTTCTCAAACTTACCTACCCTACCTTTAAAGGTGGGGTAGGTAAGTTTGAGAAACCGGCCCTCATTGGTCATGTGCGCGTTCGTGTGTGTTGGAGGAGGGGCTCTGTAAGGAAGTGGCAGATTTTTTCCGGCTGTGTATTTTCAAATTCTAGCGATCTCGAGCAGGTTTCTCCAAAATTACCTACCCCACCTTTAAAAGAAAATTATAAAAAACATGAAAGGTCGAAAAAAAGAAAAAAACGAGAGAACAATAAAAAGAGATGAAATACATAAAAGACAGTAAAAACAATAACATAAAATACCATCAAATGTAGGTTTCAGGAGGATAAACATAGGGACATATAAAACCAGCTCTAACTATATGCTTTTTGCTACTTTTTACTTCTATTCCATTACAATTCAGAGGTCAATTTTACATCACTACATTTATTAAATACTTACTTTGCAGATTTAAATCAGACTTTAGTTCCACCTGGAGTAAATTCACAAGCTACCCTGCAGTATACAAAGTCATTTAAACTAGCTGCACCTTTACCAGCTTTGATAACACTTTAATCCATCAATAATTATAATCAAAACATTTCATATTATTCTGAAATGGACCAATCTGCAGAATGAGTACTTTTACTTTTGGTACTTTAAGTATATTTTGATGCTCATACTTTACTTATATTTTGAATGCAGGACTTTTAATTGTAACAGAGTATTCTTACACAGTACTTCTACTTTTACTTAAAGGGGACCTATCATGCAAAATGCACTTTTGTACGTCTTTTATACATGAATATGTGTCCCCGGTGTTCCAGGGAACTCACCAAGTGTCAGAAAACACAACCCTCTCTATTTTCCTCCATACCCAAATCTCTAAAAAAGGGGCTGCAACGGATCTGATCAAAACTGATCCAGATTTGAACACTGTCCTGACGTCAGGACGGTGGCGCTACGGCTATTGGGCCAACTCTCCACCTATCAGGGGAATGTGGGGTTGGGCCACGGCCGGCCATTGCTGCTCGAAAGCGCTGGAGACGCTGTAGTACATATGCCAGGCCTGTAAGTGGCGCTGTAATCTGCCACAAAAGCAGCAAAGAAGACTTCATATGGTAACCATGGTTACCCTTCTGTTTATAATAATAATTATAATAATGGGTTCCATTTATAAAGCACTTCATATTTGATTTCAAATCCCGAAGTGCTATTCTCCACCTCTCCGCCTCTTCCAAGGAACGAGGGGACCGTGCGGCAGAGTTTCAGTTTCAGTTTCTTTCGCCGATCAAGATGTCCGTTAAAGTTAAAATCTTCCGGACAAAATTTGAAAAGTGCCGGTCAAAGGTCTTCTTTGTTATTTATTGAGCTTTAAAACAAATGAATAACGACTCTATAGGCCTATAATAATATAATAAAACCATAGACTGTATATATAAATAAAACACGGAGGATGGAGATCTTTTTTTCTCCCCCTCTTGACTTGATCAGAGCACGGCTACCCTCTCCTGCAGGGGGGCGTGGTCTCACAGAATCAGCCCCGTAGACAGCAAACAGCACATAGAGCGAAATGAGGCATGGCTAAAATGCATGATCTGTTTGGTATTTTGAAAACAGAAACGTATAAATATACCTTATATAGGTATGACCCTACAATATATCATTTAAATATAGGATGATAGGTCCACTTTAAATACAAGATCTGAGTAGGCTACTTCTCCCACCTCTGCAGATACGTTTAACAGACATGTTTGAAGACATACAATACTAAGAAATAAGACACTTGGGATGTACCCCATGTCAATGCAAGGCATTAAGGGATGTTGGAAAAACCTAACTCTATTATCAAAGAACCAAGGTTATGTTCAGGAAGGGTTCGTTTTTTTTCTCAAATGTGTTCAGTGTTGTTCTATGGGAGATATAGACCACTCCCAGATTGCATAAACTTTCCTGGAAACCATAAGAAATGTCTATCTTGGCGGTGATAACCACAGGGACTTTGCCTCTAGTACTACTTGTGCTATGCATGGCCATAAGACATCCAGCCAGTAAAACCTTTCAAAAGAACAAATCTCCAGTGGCGGCTGGTGGAAAATATTTTAGGTGGGGCTGTGGAAATGGTGATCAAACAATACTAGAGGGGTCCGGGGGGATGCTCCCCCGGTAATTTTTTTTGAGAAAAGACCCCTTAAATCATGACTTCTGGTGATGTTAGAGGGGGGGAGAAGGACAATTTGAAGCTTAAAAATATGAGAAGACTGATCAATACCTCCATAACTTCAGTGTGGTTAGCTATGAATCTTCCAAAACTTCCAAACACCTTGTCCTGGACATAGTTTCTACAGCATAAACTGTGCAACAGTACAGTAGGCCCACACAAACTGCAGAACACCGGGGCTTTGGGAACACTGATTTAATTCCCATTTAACCTGTTAAGGGGCTTTTTTCCCCCGTTTTTTTTCTCACGAAACTGTGTCTCAGGGCTTCTTAAAATGTAATAAACTATTCATGTGTCCTACTCAGAGGAAACGCATCTAACTGATGATATGAACCATGTTTACCGAAACAAAACACAAGTCTCACAAGAAGCGTCTAAATGAGCCCTGAGCGAAAAAATGCTAACGCACTCTAGGTATAAATCAATCGATATACTTATCGGATATGCACAAACAAGCTTACAAGCTGAGATTCCACATATTCTAGAAATATTAGTATCATCACTGAGCGATCAGAACTCGCGACAGGGGAAGCAAATACAGACATCACATTAGGTAGCAAAACATGGAGATATGTTCACCTTTTGCAGAATAACAATTCTGATCAAAAACGAGAAAAACGCAGCTGAAGGTTAATCCATAAATTAATCCAATGTGTCTGTCACTTTGAAAAATGATTGATGATCCATAATTCAATTTTTATGTCAAAAACTGAGTTTTCATTAGCTGCTAAATGGTAGCTTCCAGAGTGTATGACAGCTTCCTGTTTTGTCTCCTTGGATACGAGTCCAAACAACTCACAGACTGCACCGGGCGCTCACGTAGGAGCCCTGTGACCATCATATTTGACGACGCTGATTGGCTGAAATTATGTTTTCGCGGCATAGTTTACACATTACAGATAGCAACAGTCAGCTGCTAGTGGCTGCTGCTGCACTGGTTGAGGGCTCCTCTCTTAGCGCCCAGACGAGAGAAGGTACACGGGCAAGGCCAGGCAGGAAACATGTGACTTATCAGTAACTTTGGACATCGTAACACAATTTTAAACGAGATTTTATTGTAGATTATACATTTTACTGATACCAATTATATAATATTTACCTTGTTCAATAAAAATAAAAATAAAAAAATATATATTTTTTTAAATATATTTTTTATTTTAATTTTAATTTTAATTTTTTAATATGGGAAGAGGTGGGGCGGCGCCCCTAGCGCCCCTATGGACCGGCCGCCACTGCAAATCTCAATACTTAGACACGGCCTAAGAAGTGACCATACTCCTCGTGGAATAAGCCCTTAAACCATAAGGGGGGCCGCAAACCCTTAATGACATAAGCCAGAGAAATGGCCTCCACACTTCCTGTTCTGAGAAGAAAGGAGGCGGGTACAAAATTGAAAGCTCCTTGTGGCTCCTATGCTGACCCCTCCCATATAGGCACAAAAGCTGGATTGGGCCTCTTTCAGACCATAGCAAGGCCTTGGGCTTACTGCTAGCAGGAAGGGTGGATGTTAGAAGTCTGTAAGTCACTATAACTCTTACCCACATGACGGTAGGATGAGGTCGTTCACAACAGATCTCGTCCCACAGGGCAGTTCATCAGTGTTCAGCTGTCGGCCAATCTCTGCTAGGATTTAAGTCTAGTCAAGCAGATTCATTGCAAGAGAGCACACTGATTGGTGCATACTACTACGTACTCTTAAAAAGGAAGGTGGAAAAGGTTTACAAATCTGTTAGGCAGTGAGATTTAGAGGAACCTAATAGAGAGCAATCGTGTTGGCGCAGGTCAGATGCAACAGAAGGCTCAACTGCTGTTTTTTTTTGCAGGAGTAGTTTGGATGGTGGTTGGGCTGATGAGGCCCTCCTACCATCACACACGTCTCTTTAAACCTCTTCAGCCACTGTTTCACCAAGATGAAGGCGGCCCGTTGTCCACTGGGGAAGCAGCATCAGATGGACTGGGGGTATGGACTGATGAACAGGAAAGTTGGAGGCACCCTCCTCATCCTCCATGTCAAGGTCAGAGTTGGCATTGCTCTCTGCGTCCTAAAAGCCCAGCTCCACTTTGATGAGGGTCTGCTAGCGCCTATAGAATTCTGTTCCTAGACATGATAAGACAAGGTGACTGCAAAGGAGCAAAATGTATAAATATTTAGTCTTACCAGGTACCATGTCACAACGCATTAGCCTGTCTGTCAGTAGGGCTAGCAAACAGGGTTAGAAGATTGCTGGCTTAACCCTTACTACTCAGCTTCGCTAACAAATGAATCTTAAGTGTTTCCCCTACAGTATATACAAATAGTGGCGGCGCAGCGCCGCTGCTGAAATATGCGCGCCGCTGCTAGGGGGCGCCAGCTAGGTACCCCAAAAAAAAAAAAAAAAAAAAAAAATTAATTTCTTTAATAATTTTTTATTTTTTTTTACTTTAAATTTTTTTTTTTAAATAACAATAAGTGGCGACCCTTTTTAATTTTTGATTGTTTGTTATGTGGATTTGTAGTATTTGTGTTACTGTATGTTCAATAAAGGTGTATTTTTGCTAAATCTTGAGACATTGCCACTGTATGTCTAGGCAGGGCCGATTTTTGGCATAGGAGACATAGGCCTGGGGCGCCAGATCTGGGGGGCGCTGCGCTGGTAGCTCTGGGAGGGGAAAAAACATTTTTGACTGTTGGCGCTCATCCTAATTTTCGGCCTTGATGTAACAACATTCATAATTAAAGGGGACCTATCATGCAAAATGCACTTTTGTACGTCTTTTATACATGAATATGTGTCCCCGGTGTTCCAGGGAACTCACCAAGTGTCAGAAAACACAACCCTCTCTCTTTTCCTCCATACCCAAATCTCTAAAAACGGGGCTGCAACGGATCTGATACAGACTGATCCAGATTTGAACATTTCACTGACGTCAGGATGGAGGAGCTGACCTATCAGGGGAATGAGAGGTTGTCGTGGCATGGTAACAGCATGGTAACACGATGCTCGTAACTCGGCCCCCTCCTTTGCAGGGGGGCGTGGTCAGCTGCAGCGCATGCAAAGACAGAGAGGAGAGCAAAATAGAACGAAATGAGGCATGGCTAAAATGCATGATCTGTTTGGTATTTTGAAAAAGAAAACGTATAAATATACCTTATATAGGTATGGCCCTACAATATATTATTCAAATATAGCATGATAGGTCCACTTTAAGTAATTGTAACACCCTTTTCACCCCGGTTACACTTTTCATTTGCCCTGTACGATGGGCGCTGTAAGTAATGAAAGTGGGGGATGTTGGCTTACCAGGCGCCCGCAGCTCACAGCCAAAGTGCGAGCGTGGGAGCGAGAGAGCGAGAGAGAGCGAGAGAGAGTGAGCATGGGAGCGAGAGAGCGAGAGAGAGCGAGAGAGAGCAAGCGAGGGAGAGAGAGAGAGAGGGCGCACCGGTACCGGCGCTGTTGTTATTAGAATCTGGTGCTAGCTGCACTAACGGATATAAGAAGTAGATGTTTCTACAACCAGGGTGGAGGAGAGCACTCCTGTCAGACTGAGAGGCTCAGTGAGGTAAAGGACTCTCTGAGTGTTTAGATAGTTCATTTTAGTCTAAGTTATCTCAGTGGGTCTCAAACGTTTTGAGCACAAATTATGTAAACACATATTTCCAAGGCACTCCTTTATAATTATTAGGATAAATAAAAACAGGTTTGAAATCATTCCAATGTATACTATAGGACAGTAAACCAAAAATATCGTTTAAAGTTGGAGAGATACAAACATATGCATAAATAAATAAATGTTAACTAGGTAAAATAAGATATGAATGAACAACAAAAATAAAATAAGTTACATTTATTTGTTATTGGCTATGGTAGGTTATTGGTTATGTTCACATACTTATTTGATTATTAAAATGTAAACCGATCTTTTTCATATGGGTGTTTTAGATTTGTACCCTCTAGATCAGGTCTTAATTGTGTGCTCAAAGTGCACCAGATTGAAGCATTTTACTTTAAAATGTTCAAAAAAATCTTCCCGGGGGGGCATAGCCCCGGACCCCCCTAGAGGATGTGGCGTCCACCCCCCAATTCAAACATGTTCATACAATACTGAATACATTTGAAGCAATTTTGACGTATATTACCTATGTCAATACGTTTTTGTTTTTGTAGTGTATTTGTCTTTTGTAGAGATTTTTCATTTATTCTTTATATATCAAAATCTCGCCTAGGGCAGCAAATTGGCTAGAACCGGCCCTGGTACTAGGCCTCAAGAGCCTTTCTTGTGCTGGCAGATACATAGAAACAAATTGGCGGGGCGCACTTCGCACGTGCACACACTAAAAAATTCCACGCGCTCCGCGCTCACATTATGCTGAGCCCACGTGCCTTAGCACCGCTGCTATGACTCCATCCTAGGGGAAACATTGAACCCACATTTGGTAGGTACATCGTTACACATTAGCTGGAGAGTATACTGTCACACAGAATTGGTCAACCTAACCCGTTTCAAGGAAAATGTAAAATGAGTTACTGTACAGAGTGTAGAGTAAGTCAACAAACTGCACAAAAACAGTATTTAAAATTTTTTTTTTACAGTTCTTTATTTTAAGCAAACACAGTGGGTTACATTGAGCCTTGTAGAGTAGATTAGTACACCAAAGAAGCGCTATTACCGCAGGTCAACTTGTGTATCGTAACACAGACCCAGATCCTCTACCCCACTAACTGAAGTTTTCTGAAAGTCTTCCATCTTAAAACTCAAAACATTAAGTATTACAACACTAAAAGATTTCATTGCATACCACAATCAACATAAAATGGCAAGGCACGAGAATTATCGTGTTTTTTCGTACAAATATATAAACATGGGATTCATGTTAAAAAAATGAGTGGACAGGAAAGTGAGCATGAGCAGCCAGTGTCAATGTGCATTTACTTCTGAGACTGGTAGCCGATACACCCATTATTTTTTGTCAAATCCAACCTTGGTCATACAGTCCAAGTTTATTTAGACTGCAGTAAAAAAAACATGGGTGTAGTATCTATAATGCTCTAGTCCACATTCAGAACTCGGAACTGGTAAAACAAGTAGCTTGGCTAATATTAGCTGGAGTTGAGAGTTGACTTTAAATACTACAAAAAACAAAACTGCATCAAAAACAATACTAATGTTTGCTTATTAGAGCATTCGTCTTAGTTCTTTCTGATGTGTCGGTCTGTTGAGATCAAACTGTTAAACATAATTTATACTCGTATTCTCCATTGAACATGCAGACCACACCCTTCTTCGTTACTTTTTTGACATTCATTTTGTCATTCTTTCCCTGTTTTATGTACATTTTATGTCCATTTTCCTGTAATGCACAGCTACATTTTTTGTATGAAAGGCGCTTTACAAACAAATGTCATGATCAATCATTAAATACATTTTGTACTGACATATCTTTAGAAGATAAAACATGCAGATGAGTGGGTCAGGATAAATATTCCCACATTAAAATGTAGAAACAGTAAAAATACATTTACTGAACTTTTCTCAGCTGGGTTAAGAGAACAGTTCCTCTTTCCAACGATAGTAGTGCCCTTCTTTGGCCATGAGTTGTTCGTGGGTCCCTTCTTCTACTACGGCTCCCTTCTCGATGAAGATGATGTGATCTGCCTTCTCCACAGTCTTCAGCTGATGAGCCACCACCAGGACAGTCCGACCGCAGGTCAGAACCTCCTGCAGCACCTGAGACACAACCCAACAAAGGAATACCACGTTACACCTGGGAATTCCAGCATTACAGAAAGATGGCGGATAAAAGTAAATGTTGTGTTGAGGATGGGTTGCATATAGGGTTGCAAAGGGGCGGAACATTTCCGGTACATTTCCGGAAAGTTTCCAGAAAGTTTCCATGGGAAGTTAAGCTGGGGAATTTGGGAAATATTCGATGCAAAATTAAACAAAAAACATGACATTTCAACAGATCTTTTAAATATTTTTTTTTAAGTAGAACAGAACAAGTTTTAATTATTTTATTGAACAATTATTTGTTTCATTGAAGAACGAAAACAGGAATGTTGAGTTAAATATTACTCACCCTCCCAACCCCACTCATTAAAAAATGAACAAAAATGCACCACCCATCCACAAATCCCCACAGTCCCATTCAAAATGTTAAATGAAAAGAGCCCTTCTCCCTCCAAAAAGTCCCATTAAACATGCAAATCTTCCTTCAAGCAATCCTCTGCATTTTTGCTAAACCCTTTCAGTCAACAGGCTCTTCCTGGGCCTCATCAACATCCAACTCTGATTCTTCCTCTTCAGTGTCACTGTCTAGCCTTGTTGAAGATGGCTCTGTGTCAGGCTCAAAGAGCCATAGGTTTGCCCCAATGCCAACCAGTTTTTCCACTCTCACATTAGTGAGCCTGTTGCGAACCTTTCTGTGGTCTCAATAGCCATGCAGTAAGCAGTGTGCTATGGCATGGATATTCAAGTGTACTTGAATGGCATTTGTTTGTTTTAGTCAAGATTATGCTAAAATATACTTTCCCCAACTATATTTAAGTTCCCTATGAAGAGCCAACCTTCAATTTTGAAAATTCCCAGTTTATTTCCATAAATTCCCGTTAATTCCCATGGAAAGTTTCCATCTTTGAAAATTCCCGGAATTTTGCAACCCTAGTTGCATATTCATTTTTTCTCCAATAATTTGCAATACAGTACAATTTTTTTTACAATTCAGGTAAAGCAATATGGAAGTGGATTAAGGGTCCTGAAACACCAAACTGACTCCAGAGATTTAGGATCTGCATCTTGGCCAAAAACTCCCATTTGAACACACCGCAAAGACTTCAGCCAACAGGCAACTATCGCCTACGTTCTTCGCCTGCATGAGAGGAAATAACCCTCCTTCTCAGCAGGCGGCGGTAGTCTGTACTCATCAATCAAAAAGGGAAACCGGAAAACATAGGATATTAAGTAAATGAGTGGTTGTTAAACAGCAATTGTCCACCATTTTCAGACCACTATCACCACTTCATTACAGATGGCTTTGTTTTTATAACAAATATTTGTGTATTAGAATGATCAGATGTGATAACTATGTGTGTGCTCTCTCGGTTTCACTCCTTTGTTTGTTTTCCTTCCATCAGTTTCTTTTCCAGTACACCGATCAGCCAATCAGAGTGATTTATTTTGATGACAGGCTTGGCTGCCAATGTAACATGTCGGAATCTGCCGTCGTGGGTTGGGGAGCCTTAAGGGGATAAGAACAATAAAAGAAAACATATCTTCTTTATCATCCAGGTTGTTTCCACATTCCAGCCCTGCCTCCTAAGTTATTAAAGCCAACTTGATGAGCAGGGAGCAGCTGTTTCAACCCGTTGGGGGGGTCCCAGCCCCATCACAGAACAGCCTCTTTATGCATGCAGAGCACAAAGATGCCTTTCTTTTTGTAGATACTCTTCATGGGCTAGTATCACATGCACTGGCCTAAGATTAGTTTTATGAAGCTCAGCGCAAGTTCAACCAGGAAGACCGTCTTTACTCATTCATTTACTAATTCTATCTTACTACTCTCTCTCCTCTCAATAAGTGATCGGGGGCGTCACTCCCCAGCTAAACCAATCACTTCATTCCCACAAGCCTATCATAGCGCTCTGCTAAACCTTTAAATCTGACAGCTGTCATTTCAGGTGAGTAGACGCAACCCTCCTCCACCCCTTTTCACCTCCTGTCCCTCTGAATCCAGGGTCAAGCTAAGCCCCTCCCCTTCAGACCGACCCCAACTATCCCTTCACCACCACCAGTGTCTAGACCCCCGGGGGGTTTCATCGGCTCAGTTCTCCCCCTCCTGAATGATACTCCCGCACAACGGGGCCTAATCGCCAAACACCATTACATTCATTTGTGTATTCCTGGCAATAAATATGTATTCTTACATCAAAACCGTCTCTCCCTGATTGAAAGTCTATTATATGCACAACAGTTACAATAAAGCATTTAAAACATATAATGCCAGGGTCTCTTAAAAAATCCCATAAGTTAAAACTAAATGAGAATCTAAGACATACAATTGTGTTAAATAAAATAGAAAATAAAGTATTATAAGTGTTACGTAGATAATGATTGCATTTGAATATACTGAATATAAACATGAATTTAGTAAATGAGCCTCTGCAGGAGTGTAAACAGTTTGTAAAAGAGTGAGTAGAGTATAACAGTAAAGTGTTAAAGTATTATTTAAACACAAATGCATCCGACCAGTTCAAAAGAAAGGAACATCAGCTGGTTCATTTTTTGGGACTATGAACTCAGTTGAAAGGTCAAAATGATGAATCTGAACGTGTTCATTTGAATCTGTGTGAAATTAACTCTGAGCTAGCTCTTGTAATGAATACAACGGAAGGAATTCGCAAATAATTACAAATAGAATAGAGAGATGGTCACAGTTATAAGTGGAATTGAACACATTTACTCAAAATGTAATTAATTTCTTCTATAAAATGGCAAGTCATCCTAAGAACCATTAAAATAAAATAAAAACTTCAAATCTGGCCTCGCTTTGCAACACACCTTTGAGTTAGGACTTTACATCACAAAATCAGAACTCTGAGACATGAAGTACAATTATAAGGGTGTTTGGTTTCGGAAAGTATACTCAAAAGAATATTGAGTGCTCCTGTGGTGATGGATGTCATTAGAGGTATTTATTGTATTTGACTTACAGTATGCTGCACATCAACATCCAGTTTGCTGGTGGCCTCGTCCAGTATGATGACCTGCGGCTCCCGGACCAGAGCTCTGATGATGGCCAGGCTCTGCTTCTGTCCGTCTGACAGCTTACCACCACATTCCCCTATATCTGTGGAGACCAAACACAGACTTTAGGATTATGCAGATAATACAAATGTACTTTAAAAAAAAAATCAATATCACATCACGTATGCTAGGATCAGGTTAATGTTTAACTACTTTCAAATCATATATCTTGTTTTTTCCATCACACAGTACATCTCCCCAGATTGACACACTCTGTATTTTCTGTGTCTGTTACAACGGCAGCTGTCAATGTAAGCTAATTTTTGTTTATAAATAATAAGATAAAAATAAAGCAGTCACATAATAAAAAAAATTCTGTCCTCATAATATAATGCAATTACAGTTCATATAAATACTGATCCTGCAATAAGCGGACAATTTAAATAACAAAAATGACATAATGTATCTTAGGGGCATTAAGTTGACAAAAAACAACAAAAGCATTAGACCTATAACTCCACCCCTTATAGGATGGTATTGAAAAACTAAGTAAAATTGTATATGTACTATTCAGATCTAATTGATCTGATAAAAGACTTCTATGTTAAGTATTAAATGTACTAAATATCTTTCCAAACTTCTGTACCTGTGTCATATTTGTTCTTGAGTTCAGAGATGAAGTGGTCTGCGTTGGCCTTCTTTGCAGCTTCCTTCACCCTCTCTAAGGTGCAGTCATTCAGGCCGTACTCAATGTTGTACCTCAGAGAACCAGAAAACAGCACGGGATCCTGGGATACCAGGGCCATCTAAAAAAAAGTATATTGACTTACAAACTATTCAAAGTAAAGTGTTGGTGGACGCACATTCACCAAATACAATATCCTCATGAATGTATAATTGAAAAGCAAAGTAAAAAAAACACTTTTTAATCTCCAAATAAATCAAACTACCTCAAATACCTTATTTGTTTTGTGTAATTAGCAGATATTACCCTGATAAAACACTGGCTCACTTAAGGTGGATTGACCTTTAAGGTAGTCCAGTTTACATCATTTAAAGGTCACCTATTATGCTATATTTGCTATATCTATACTGTACAAACAGGGTTTTGCTCAAAATACCAAACAGATCACCCATTGTAGCATGCCTCATACCCCTCTATTTCAGCCCTGTTACAAAAGTGCTGATTATTGGTCTGTAGCTTCAAATGTGACCAGAGCTGCTGTGGCTAGACCCCTTTCCGCATGCAAGCAGTGAGCTCTGTGAAAAGAACAGTGCCTGCTCTGCCGGCAGAGACTCAGCTAAACGCTGCAGTGATTAAATGCCATATCATGTTCCAAACCACATCAAGCATTATTTCTGAAACAGTATGGAGCTCAAATGCTTTCTCTTTCTTGCGGGTTTACCACAAGGCGAGTACCTTTTATATCTGGCTTTTTTACACATACTCTCTCCAGTACAGCATTAGCTCTGAATGTTAGCGATGCTTGCTAATGTAAACACAGACCATATTACTTCCAAAACATGTCCCGCATTGTTTCTGATACAGCCAAGTTTCTGATAGAGGACAATAGGTTCGGTCGTGGGTGGAACGTTGCCAGGAGTTCAACGTAAAGCCAGCCCACATTTGAGTAATTTCGTCATGACCGCAGCAAATCTGGATCAGCTCCGTTGTACCCCCGTTTTTAGAGATGTAAGGAGGAAAAGAGAGAGGGTTGTATTTTCTGATTCTCCTTACACACCGGGGACACATATTTATGTATAAAACACATCAAAAAGTGCATTTTGCATAATAGGTGACCTTTAAGTAACAAGCTACTCCACTGCACTTGACCCGGCATTTGGTGGTGCAACTGTTGAGTCATGTCTGACATCTAGTGGTAACATTTGCTATACCTGTCCAGCGTTCAACTTTAAACCAGTTTAAACATTTTGACACAGAACAAACTCTACAGTCTACACAAAAAAGGCAACATGTAGAAAATGTAAGCATTCCCCCGTTATTGATTTTCTGCAGGGATCTAGCCTCCTTTCAGTGAGACAGCAGTACCTTTTGATGGAAGTATTTGTGATTGTAATGATGCAGAGGTTGTCCGTCCAGCAGGATCTGCCCCTCTTCAGGTTCGTACAGCCTCTTCAGGAGGCTGACACAGGAAGTCTTCCCGCCTCCAGAGGGACCCACCAGAGCTGTCATCTTACCTGGCTTAAGCTCCATAGAAACTTTCTGTGCAGAACATGTTACTCATGATCAGAATTCATGTTTAACCCCATTAGAAATGATTTATGATGCTGTAGGACACACGGTACCTTCAGAGTTGGTTCCACGTCAGGAGATGAGGGATATTTGAAGGTCACATTTTGGAAAACAATTCTTCCCTCCAGCCTCTCAGGAGCTAACTCTCCCTCCTTCTTACACTTTGGTGTTCGGTCAATATAACTGAACACTTTGGAGATGACTCCGACTGTGGACATCGTCTCTCCATAGCAATACATGATCTCCTGTGGCAAAAATAATCAACAGCAAGTATGATTTATTGAACTCAAACACATGGGAGAGATTCTGAATGGGGACATATTTTTAACTCAGCCCACCTTTAAATTGTTTGACATGGGCTTCTGGTACAGGAAGAAGGACACAAGACTTCCAATAGTGAGGTCACCTGACGATATGAGGCTGCGGGCCTGTACCAGCATGAGTATCTTTATTCCCAGACTCACCACCTACATGGAAGCAGAGAGAGGAATTACTCACATTGTACCTCAAACTAAAAGTATTTTCTTACATTATTGGAGCAGCACATTTGTACGGAAGACAAATCCTGCCAGGAAAATAAAAAAGAAGTAAGATGTGTGTATATATGATAAAAACACGAATATCAAAAATATCAAGTCAAGATTCAACATTAATATCTCCTAGTTTCACATATATCTCATAATGTTATTTTCTTAAAATGTTGACATAGTGATATAAAAATGTTAGTTATTAATGTCACTATCTCAACATTTGGAATTTATATTTTATATTATTACGAGAGTCAAGTCCAACATTTACTGCTCAGTCTTTCGTAGTTCTGACCTAAAATATGTAAAAATGATCTTAAAATGTGCTCTTATTATTTATAATTAGTCCTAAGTATATTATAATCATTAACTATGTAAATACAAAAAATGACTATTATTGAGTAATAATCTTCTATGACTCAAAAAGTCGAATTATTCACAAAAAATAGTATCTACTGACTATGCATCATTTTATTTATATAATAATAATAATACTTCATATTTTGTATTCTTTTCCTGGTAGAAATGGGTCTCCATACAATGAGTTTAGACCTCAACATGTGCTCTTGCGCTCATATGATCTATGAATGATGGCTGTTCCTACCCTCCGTATCAACAGGAAGACTGCGCTGTAGATTCCTGTACTTCTCTTCACGGCGCACATCACGTCCAGAGCCTCATTGTACCTCCTCAGCTCGTCTTTCTCCGCCCTGAAGCTGCGGACCGTGCGAATCCCGCTGATTGTCTGGAAAGCCAGGTCTTTGTTCTGAGCGTGGCACTCCTGGATCTGGTCTTTCAGGTCCTGTTTTACAAAGACTGATTCAGTAACACTAAAATACACATGAGCAGACAGATGTCATCATAACAGGTTCAGAATCCTCTACTCTTACAAACAAAAGCAATTTACTCTGAGCCTCTTGGGGGAAAATCAAAGGAGTGCTTCTAAATCTGGCAGAGCTTGCATTATTGCTGCCAGATTTAGCACCCAACCCTGTAACTTTGGCCAGAATGGTCATAATTTGACAAAAATCCCACTGGTGTGAGTTATTCTCCTTTAGTTTAAGCAAACAAAAGATTTTTTTTCTGGATTGTATAAAATGGCAGGGGGGCTTCTAAATCTGGCAGAGCTGGTTAATGCTGCACGATTTGGCCTCCCCCCTGTAACTTTGGACAGGATGAGGATAGTGGAAGTGGGCGAGCACTTGACCACAGCCACGTGAATGTTGATTGATTGACATCTGACACAGGCAATGGTGATAGACCTCTCTTGCTTTCTACACAGCCATTGGATAAAAGACAAGTTTTAAAGGACGATTGTCAATCAAATGCGGGACATCGTCTGAATTTGTAGGTCCCGGGACAAAGCAAGACTCCTGGTCACTCTAACCGGATGTGTAACATGCAATATTTCTTTTTCCTTACTATATTTTTTCGTCATGTGAGGTGTACAATGGAGGAAAAAAATCTATACTGTATAAACAGAAAATGTGGCTATGTTTTAAATGTAATTCTTTATGATAACCTTCCAGAGATAGTTGGATACCTTCAAATTCAATCTGATGTGTAAACTGAGAAATTAAGCTTTTATAACCTATTAACTATAGCCATACTTTGAGCTGATTGGTTGGATACATTTTTTAAAGGGATTTCCCGCCCCTAAAGCAGATGTATTTGTGTCACACCATACATACTAAATCCAAGTAGTCATTCATTCAATCCCATCTGGGAATTACTCACCAAATAAGTAACTGTTTGTATTAATTAGAGCTCTACTTACTGGTTGAAAAGCACTACTATACTTTGTTAAAAGCTGGGTTAAGAGCAGAAGGACCAAACTACTGATTGATTAGAAACAATGAACGTGGAAAAACTAAATAACAACCAATCAAACAAACAAACCACTATGATAATAAGTAAAGAAACACTACACAGCTGTCTGTTTTCTAACGTCTATTCAGAGTAATCCATCTCTTCACACCTACCTTGGACCAGGTGATGTATTTGTTCTGCAGGAAGGCCAGCAGAGGCATCTCTATACTGGTGAGCAATGTGAGCTCCCAGGACAGGCCCAACATCACTCTGAACATGAGAACGGTTTTGACTGTGCTGCGGACCAGAGCGTTGGAGTTCAGTGCGACCGTGCGGCCCATCCTGTCCACGTCAGAGTGCAGGCGGGAGGACAGACGTCCTGAGGGGGGAGGGGGGAGGAAAGAGCATGTTCAAGGATGCTTACTGGCAGCTAAATGTCTGCAGAAGTACATTAGTTCTACACTTATTGTGGAGGGAAAGTGGAAACTGTCAGATTGTTCGACTAGTAAGTTATAAATAATTACTCAATGAATAAATAGTTACATGGCTTAGTTGAATACTACATTTTGTATTGATCAATAAGCGGTCTGCTCTTTTTCCAATATAGATTGTTTTCAACTTTGGGTTCATGATAGCTAAACACTCCTCAGTAAAGAAAAGAAAAACAGCGATAGAGAAGGAAAGAGGTTATAATACAGAGCGCTGGAAGACAGATAAATCAGCAGAAGAAGGCAGACAGGAAGTATTTGTTTACATAATGGTTGATGGAAAAGAAAATATGAACTGGCTTGGTCAGTTAAGCCCGCGTCACACTGTCCCGAAATTGACACCCGATGGACACACGAATATGGAATTGTGAATTTCGCACGAAGATGGCCCTGAACCACACACGAAGGCAACATTTACACTATATTTAAGACATACAACTGCAACGAAAGTAACAAAAACAATTATGTTAAAGTACTATGATACTGTACTGATATTTTCAGACTTTGTTCTTTACTTTATCCGTCTTTATATGTAGAAGATATTAAGTTTTCTCCGTAATGTTGTTGCTATGGAAATGGCTTCCTGTCAACTCGCCTTCAAAATAATATATTATATCCTTTTCAGTTTCACAGAACACAAATTGGGTTATTTACATAATATGTTTACATGATTTTGTTGTGCAATAAAACAACCCGATGGACACATGATAAAGGAAATGTTCAAATTCGGCTCTGATCGTAGCGACATCGGGCCATTCGTGAGGGCATCTTAAGCCATCGTATGACCGCCGGTGGAGTTTCTCAGGCTCCGGCAGCAACTTCGTGAGCGGTGGCAAAATCTTTGGCATGCCAAAAAATTGCCGAAGGACCTTGCGAAGGTTAATTTTCGTGTTGAATTCATGTGTCAATTTTGCCCTTCGTAAGGCCATCGTGAGGGCATCTTGTTATCATCGGTGCCATCGGGCATTCGCCCCGATCAGAGTGAGGGCGAATGCCCGATGGCACCGATGATAACACGAAGATGACACGATTTGACAAGATGCCCTCACGAGTGCCTTACGAAGTTGCCGCTCACGAAGTTGCTGCCGGATCCTGAGAAACTCCACCGGCGGACATACGATGGCTTAAGATGCCCTCACGAATGGCTCGATGTTGTTACGATCAGAGGCGAATTTGAACATTTCCTTTATCGTGTGTCAATTTCGGGACAGTGTGACGCGGGCTTTACAGAAAACTCAATCAGGGCTGAGTTACGTTGCTGTCGCTGTGGTTCCAGCTTAATGGAACCAATATGATCATTTTTCATCAATAAAATCATGTTTAAATCAATATGTAATGTCAAATTATTGTTTTAGTAGCCGGTAAATAAACAGGATTATATGCAGCAACCCGGTTATCATAGTGAAAGAAACCCTGAAAGGTTGATCAGGAGGATTCAGGGTTTGAATTACCCTAAAGGAATATTATCACTGACTTATTATCAACTGTGGGCATATACCTTATCACCCAACATCCGTGTCGGTCCTTACTAATGCTCCTGATGCTAAATAGGAGAAATGTTTCCATAGCGTGTCCTCATATTGCCATGGCTATGTAGTGTACTTTTTGGGAATAAAAGTCTAGGTGGAAAATATATTGTGTCTACAAAAACAGATTTCTTGACCCTGTAAATCATTGCATCCCTGAAACATCCCATTAGACACGTTCACATTGTTGTTCTCACCAGGGTTGTTCTCCTCAAAGAAGTGCACCTCCTGCTGCAGCAGGGTGTGGAACAGCAGATGCTTCAGTCTCTTGTTGAGTCTGGCCAGAGTGCACATAAATATGCCTCCTCTCATGCCGGAGAACAGAGCACTGTCAAGATGGAGACATTACAAATAATTTGGTTTATGTTTCCCCATCAGTGAAATAAATCATCCATAAAAAAAGTTTAATTTCATTACCTTCCAAGCGAGACAAAGGCCAGCTGTCCAATTGCATAACCAACGCTGGTTTGATGATTTTGACCTCCTAGCATATCGATGACATTCCCCTGATATAATGGGATATATGTATCACCTATCAGGAAAGACAAACAACACAGATTATAAAAACATTAATAAGTTGTTTCTGTGATATATATCCTAATTTTAATAATACATTTAAATTTCAATGTACTGAAACAATCTCTAAACAAAGATATCTTCAAATAGATAGAAACAGAAATTATCTTTTTACGCAAATATCACACCTTCATTTTTTTAGTCCTGTTTTTACATTTTTTAAACCCCATATTATTTAAAAAACAAAATACTCTTAGTTTTAGTCTTTTTGCAGTATTTGTTGACATCAAGAAAAAACACAATGGATTATTCTTTAGTCATTTATAGGGATGTACTTAAAATTTTGAAGCTTCATTCGAACAGTTTTAATAAACATTAAAATGCTGGAGATCCTTTTTTTAAAGATCATTCTCTATACAGCTAGCATCTTTATAGTAAGTATAAGTATAGTATTATCTTTTATAGTATTTAAAAATGTTTCCCTCTTTTTTTTTATTCTGATGACATTGTGAAACAGCCTTTACATGCCTTATTCAGAAACCAAAAGAAAAAGTAAAAAAACATACATTTGTTACAGCCCCAATAGTTTCGCTGTTCTTCTGAAATTTTAATTATACAGTAGAGTCATTGCAGTGTTGACAGCTACTGTAAGAAGGCATATATGCCCATGTACCATATAAAATACTGTAGAATATCAAAGTTTCATACTTACAGACGACTCCTAAGATGAGGAAACTGAAAGCTGCAATCAGGTAAAGGGTGTCTGGTTTGAAGTATTTCAGCACCCTGACAAGCAGCCGCCTGGCATCCAGGTCAATGTTGTCCTTTTTAGTCTTTGAATCACCACAGAGGCTCTTCTCCCAAACCACACAGGCCAGCAACGAGGACAAGGGGCCCAGGAGCAGCATGCTGAGGTCAGGAGATGGTCCAGTGTTAGGCTGTGAGGGGGGCGCCATGAGGATCCGTCCACTTTCAAACACAGGAGAGAGAAGGCAGAGGAGAGCCACTAACCTGCGGAGCACGCCCTCTGGCTTTCCATCAGTCAGTTTTGAGGTGAAAACATGGAGAACGGCCCACTTTGCCGCCCCAAAGGCCCACACGCCTGGCAGGCCACCCCAACTGGAGCAGCTCAGCAGCACCAGCACGGCCCACAGAGCCAGACACAGAGCCGTGTCGAACAGGAGAATGACCAATCCACATGCTGCCAATTCCTTCATTTTCCAAACTGCAAGAGGCTGAATCTGATCCTAAAAGACAACAATTTCTGTTATATATAGTACAATGATTGTGACGCCAGTATATAAAAGAAACAGGTAACATTTATTCAAGAGCTGTACTTGAGTTCTGAGTTTTTTTGTACTTTCTATTTGTATCCAACTTTATAGTTTAGCAACAATACATTGTGAAACATATGCAAATTTACAGAGTCTTATATATGAAGTTATGTTTATTAATGTTCCACTACTGCACTACTTTTAAGGTGTCTTATAAGTCCATGTGTGCTGGGCGTTTGACGAGGTGAAAGAAGTACCCATCTTGTACTTAAAGGTAGGGTAGGTAAGTTTGAGAAACCGGCTCGAGATACACTTTTTGTTATATTCCATGGAATGCTCTTAACATCCCGATAGCAATGAATATCTTAAGTGCTTTGACAAAAAATCCATAAAAAAATGTCATCTGTGGAAGCCGTAGTACTGTAAAAAGCAAGACCAATCATTTTAGCCGGCCCGGCTAAAATAACTGGATGGCCTACCTGCCTGTCAGCCTTCCATCTGTGCACAAACTTATCTCGTGCCCTCATTGGTCATGTGCGCGTTCGTGTGTGTTGGAGGAGGGGCTCTATAAGGAAGTGGCAGATTTTCTCCGGTTGTGTATTTTCAAATTCTAGCGATCTCGAGCCGGTTTCTCAAATGTACCTACCCCACCTTTAAGTAAAAGTATAAATTCCAGAGTGTAGGAATACTCTGTTACAAGTAAAATCATTGCATTGCAAATGTTACTCAAGTAAAAGTACAAAAGTATTGGTATCACAATATACTTAAAGTGCCAAAAGTAAAAGCACTCATTATGCAGATTGGCCCATTTTCTTATAATATATATGATATGTTTTGATTATAATTATTGATGCCTTAATGTGTTTATCACAGCTGGTGCTGATTATATTTCACATTATTAATCCAAAACTGCAAAGCTGTAACTATAGGTATGAAATACATTTAGTGGAGTAAAAGAACAAAGTAGCAAAACATTAAAGGTCCAATGACATGGCCATTTCTACTGATCATAATTCCATTGTTGAGGTCTACTAGAATAGATTTACATTGTTCAATGTTCCAAAATCACATTGGTTTCTCATACAGCATCTCTGTATAGTATGTGTATTCACTCTCTGTCCTACACGCCTTGTTGGAGCTCCTGCCCCCCCCCCTCCCTATGAGCCCACTGTGCTCTGATGGTCAGCTCGCCCACTCTGTTCTGATGAGTCCACCACCGTTACAGCGGAACATCAGTGATTATGTTTTACGGTACGTCTACACAGCAGCGTTAAAAAAATCTTGGAGGTGGGCGTATCTGAAGCTTGGGGATTTTTTGCGAACAACCAATCACATGAATCTCCCGCCCGCGACATACGAAGCAAAAAAGCCCGAAGTAAACTGGATATAAACTCCCCAAAACAGGCGAAAACCTACCACTGTCTCTGCCACCTCCCTCCATGCCTGGCTCCTCCGGTTTATATCCCGGTAGGTCTGGTCATAAAGCACCGGGTGATTGATTCCCTACCGCTAATTTCTCCTCCATTTTTTGGAATATGAGGAAATGACCTGCGGTATGTCTCTCCCAGCATACACGCCGTTTGATTGGCTAGAGCTTGAACTGTCAGATTTGCGTACACGGGATTTGATTGGCTGACGCTTCTACCTCAGCCTCAAAAGTTGAACATTGTTCAACTTTGAATCCTGAAAATCCTGAAAATCTCCGCTCGCCTGCCCACAATGCATTTCGGCGAAAAGTGAGGGAAAGTGACGTCACCCCATTCAAAGTGAATGGGCAGAAGCGTTTCAAGATTTTTTTAACGCTGCTGTGTAGACGCACCGTCACAATGGCGTAAGCAACCAGAAAATGACACCAGTAATGACAAACAGATGAGAATGCTGCGTGGGGTCTGGGTGCCGTGTTGGCGGGACGTTGCGGGGCTCGCTGCTGCGCCCTTTGAGCGGACAGTGTGAGCTGGATTACTGGTGTTGTTTCCTGGTTGCTGCGTGGGGTCTGCGAGACAGCGAGAGCGAGACATCGCAAAACTTAGCCTGAACTCAGCCTGAGCACACACACAAACTCACAGTGAGTTTGTGTGTGTGCTCATCGCGAAACTCAGCCTGAACTCAGCCTGAGCACACACACAAAATCACAGTGAGTTTGTGTGTGTGCTCAGGCTGAGTTCAGGCTGAGTTTCGCAATGTCTCGCTGTCTCACGCTGAGTTCAGGCTGAGAAATCCGCGGAGCAGCGGCTGAGAAAAGATAAGGCTGAGTAAGTGTGTGTGTGTGTGAGGAGCTCCACGGATTGGTCCATTTGGACCTGGGTATGGGCACGTCACTATACTCAGGAAGAAACAAATGGAAAAAGAAAAATCTCCAACGAGGCGTACTAGGGCAGCATAGACAGGTCTTTTCTGTGTTAGAGTTTTACTCGCTACAGGGTGTACTTTGAGGGTTTGTGACTTTGCAGACCGTTTACATGCAGAAAAAGCTACATAACACACAAGGGGACGGGAAATAACTGGAAAAGCATGACATGGGACCTTTAAAATACTTAGTTAAAGTACTAGTTTCTCAAAATAGTACTTAATGTACTTGAGTAAATGTCCTTTAAACTACTTTAAACCACTGGGCGTTTGTACTGTGTGTGTGTGTGTGTGTGTGTGTGTGTGTGTGTGTGTGTGTGTGTGTGTGTGTGTGTTACAATAAAACACATAACTAACTTACATTACTTTGAACAATTATAGCAAGTAAGTAAAAACAATGCATTTCTTATTGTACTTAAATATTAAAAGTATATAAGTAACACTCTCACAATAAACACAACATTATGTAGAAATATACGTTGTTCAGTGCCTAATTACATTACATTACATGTTAGACGCTTTTATCTAAAGCGACTTACATACTCAATACTGTGGGCAATCCCCACAGGAGCAATTTGGGGTGAAGTGTCTTGCCCAGGGACACAACGACATGCTGACTGCAGTGGGGTTTGAACCTGTGACCCCCTGATCCGAACATCAACGCACTACCTACTGCACCACACGCCTAATTAACATTAAACCCGAGTAAAACCAGAAATATGAATTATGTTAGCTGACAGCATGCCTGCAACAATATCACCAACATATGTTACTATACACCCCGTTACGGTTAGTTTAAAGAACCCTCATAACTTTATGAATTCGTAACTTTTTTGTATAGTTTTTTGGTGTAGTGGTGTTACTCCTGCTAGCTAGTGTTCGATAATAACTCCTAAAACACTTGTTGATAAGATTATAGGGTCGCTTACGCCCTCGCTGCTGTTTGATAATACGCTTAACAAACCTGTGGCACACAATAGTCCCATATATTTCAGGTAATAAGGTGTATTTGTAGGACTTACCATGTGTTTCCCCTCACAGAGTCCACGGTTAGCTAACTGCTATACTTTTACTTTTAGTTTCACTTTCAGATGGGTGACGTACTGTATGCTTCATCTGTACCGTCTCCGTACACGTCTCCGTTCTTATGAAACAAGGCGACATTACACGACATAGCGCATAGAATCATAGCCTTAACTTCAGTTTTACGCTTTCATTTGTACTTCCTTTAACCAAGGATGTATAAAGACAAGAGAATAGTCGAAGAGCAGCAGCCGTTACACAGTATGGCCACAAGATGGCGGCAGGTAGAAGAACTGGAGTACTTAAATATAGTCTCTGTATTTACTTAGTAAAGCAGACTTTTTAGAAAATGAACCATAATTACTTTTAACTGATAGATCATTTTTTATAAAAGTAAGAATCCTGTATTCAAAATCATAATTAAGTGAAACTACAGAAGTAGCCTAGCATCAGAAATACTGGAAGTACCAGTAGGCCACTTTTTTATTTCATTTTTTTATTTTTTACATCTATTCAATGTAGTAGGTCACTTTTTATAGTGAAGTGGTGACGTAGGGTGATGGAAAGTAACCAAGTAACATGTGCAACTTTGAGTTACTTTCGATCAACAAATCGAAATTCTGATCTACTAGGATCAGATTGTATTCAAACCTAGGGGAAAACATGAATTCATGAATTCCTCTATTATTACAAAATGGGAGATTCTGCAAAATGTGTTATTTTACATTTGGAACTTAACAAATATTTTGACGATTACACTTTAATTTAAGTAGCTTACATGCATGACTCTTCTTTTTAACAGTTATTCTACACTGTGGTATTTCTAAGTTTACTTAAGTGATATAACTTATATATTCCTTTATCCACCCATGCATTTCAGGATAGTTGTTATTATTGGTTTATAATTTTTGTTGTCTATCACATTCACATTACATTGATTTTGCAGCTGGTAAATGTATTTAGCACAAGTCAGCACTCACCCATTCACACCCAAATGTAAACACTGGTATCAGAAAGGTGTTCATACAAAGTGCCGTCTGCTCAATATGGTAGATTAACAATCACACACATTGCTATGCCCTCCAGAGGAATTTTGGATTTAGTGCACTAAGACATTTTAACATATTGAGGATGAAAGCACTGACCTGAAAGGGGTGATTTGTTTTTTGATGATTGCATTTATGCACATAATACATGTTTGGATTTTCACCGAATAAAACACACAACAGAGAAAAACGTTAATATTCAAACATTTATTCTCCCCTACCCCCGTTCAAAATGTATAAATAAAGAATTTATAATAAAAGGTACTAGCCTTGACAAATTAACATAAATCCTGTCATTGCAGAGAAACGTCTCTTTTTGTTTACTGCAATTCAGCTAACACCTGACATTTTCAGTCACATCTGACACAAAACAGTCTCACTGGTTCATTTATCAAAAGATAAATCTGTCATACAATCTCTGATTAGGACTAAAGGTAAAAACTCAGTTACAGTGTGATAAAACTCCTTAGTGCCATAAAAAACATTCCTCTCAAGAAAAACGATATAACAACATGAATTAGTTTGCTTCCATCCTCAAGAGAGGGCTCCATACTTTCATATGGTTTAAATGCAGCAGTTCTATAAAAAGGCACTGTTCCATTAAGGAAAGAAAGCATGAGAAACACTAAACAAACATGATTCATTGCTGCTTATACAGTACAAATGTTCATTTTTCTACATGTGACGGTAGACAACAAAGAGATACATATGTGTGTTATGCTCAGCATGCTGTGTTTAACACAATACATAAGATAAACAAATTCCTACTTAAAGGTAGGGTAGGTAAGTTTGAGAAACCGGCTCGAGATACACTTTTTGTTATATTCCATGGAATGCTCTTAACATCCCGATAGCAATGAATATCTTAAGTGCTTTGACAAAAAATCCATAAAAAAATGTCATCTGTGGAAGCCGTAATACTGTAAAAAGCACGACCAATCATTTTAGCCGGCCCGGCTAAAATAACTGGATGGCCTACCTGCCTGTCAGCCTTCCATCTGTGCACAAACTTATCTCGTGCCCTCATTGGTCATGTGCGCGTTCGTGTGTGTTGGAGGAGGGGCTCTGTAAGGAAGTGGCAGATTTTCTCCGGTTGTGTATTTTCAAATTCTAGCGATCTCGAGCCGGTTTCTCAAACTTACCTACCCTACCTTTAAGATGTCAAAACACTGAAGAAAATATATTTAAGATGTCAAAACACTTATTAACCTATTTCTTCTTCCATACTGATAAAGGCCTACAGTAACACGTCTCAAGCTATTGCTAGTAAAAGGATACATAGGATGATATTCTATATTTTTCTTGTCAAAAATATAATTATTTTTGACTCAATCCCACATACACTGAACTGCTGCCACATTTCTAACTAAAGGAAGAAATGTGGAATAATCCGCTGTTAAAAGTCGTCCCAACAAAAACATGATTTCTGCCTTTCTGAGTAATATTTGGTGTGTAGCCAATTATATTGTATAATATATGTATTTTTTGTACAATATATGGACATGACTTCGATATATTGTTTTACATGCATTTGCTTACAATGGTGCTAATATTTTAACATATGAAAGAATAATAATAAAGAGTAGGTTTTTTTTATAACAAGATTTGGGCATTAAGCTGATGCTGCATATCTCTTATTAACAGTACATTCATTTGTATTTTTATGATCTTTTATTTATTTAGAAAAATATTTTCTTTTACATCCTTATTCCAATTTCGGAATATTCTTAAGAATTGACGTTAATAGCTCTTTCATATGGTGAGCTAGCCTTATTGTTCTGTTATATTATCATCTGCATAAAGTGGTCTTGAAATTAAATAAATAAAAGTTAATTGCAATATTTTTCTGGGATAAAATATTGTTCAACATAAATATTTATCCTGATAGGGGATGATGGCCTTTAGGTGGTCATCATGTTGAGGCACTGAGTGGAGGAGTAGTAACATCTGAATGATATGAGTTCTTATTGCACATTCAAGGCCCAAATCCTTAAAGAAATGTGCATTTAATGAAATAACCAGAAATTATTTGACACACTGTGGCCAGGTAGCTAGGACAAATATAGAATAATCACACCATATGTTTCTTTAACTCTTATTGAAGCACTCAGGGAGCGACTTCACTCCACTATGTTTGCCATCACTTTGATTTCACCCATTTATATTTCTACTTAGTTTGTTTGTTATACTGTATCATTTAACAGCAGCTAATCAGACCTATCGATAATCATATACTATCATCATTAAAACACTCCAGCAAACATTCAGTGATTTCTTCAACAAAGGATCGTGTATGTAACTTGGCTTGATGAAGTGAGATACCTCATGTAAGATAGATTGTGTGATCACATTGATAGGATCAGCAGCATATTTGCAATAAATAGTACAATCACTGTACTGTAGTTGTTAAGTGCACATCTGTTCATTTTGGTATAAAGGTTGTCTAACATTAATTATTCATTGTGGTTCGTCTTGACTTTTATGGCACACCAGATGGCGGGAAAGTAAACAGTGCAACATCTGGAGCACCGAGCTGGCTGGTGCAAACATCCGGAAACAATCTGCAAAGCTGATTGAGTTTGTGATGTGTGTTAGAGGAGGGGGGGGTGGGGTTCAGGCGCCGGAGGTGTCTCCTTCACACAAGGCCTTGTCTTTGTCTCCTTCTGTGGGCACGCTGCGGTACTGGCAGTCCGGAGCCAGGTCCACAGCAGGTCTGGCTGCTTCAGGCAGAGGGGACGGGGGACCCTGCTTCGACAACTTCCTGTCCCTTTTGTCCAGCCAGCTAAACGCCACGATGAGGAACACGCCGGAGGAGGAAACCACGGCACTGCAGGCGAAGAATACGTGGTAGTACTCGCCCGTCCTGTCGATCAGGACTCCTACAACAACAAGAAACATCATCCATTATGTTTTGTCTTTTATGGGTAACATTTGTTTAAAAAAGGTCTTATATTTTTGTATAATTCCCTTAAAAGAACAGAGAAACTTTCATAATAAGGTTCCTAAAAGAGCTTTAACATTTGGAAAATACACAAAGAAATTAAGACAGTGTTATTTGGTAGAATCAGGGTTCGAGTTATGTGGGAGCCAATGGGAGCTGAGCTCCCATAAGGAGGGGCCTGAGCTCCCACGGACGCAGTGAAATCAATCTGTGGGGGTCGCTAATACATTACCAACAACCATTATTTTAATCACAAATAATGCATGTGTCAATGTAATGAGTATTATTTACGTTAACGAGGTAAATAGGCTAAAAGAAAAACATGTTTTCCAAAAGAACAACGCATCTCTTGAATGACAATATGCCTGCACTGCACCTCCAAGGTGCGCAATACATTATTGCACAATCTATGCCTGTGAGCTTGCTGCGCGAGCCGAGATGATGTGTGTGTGCGTAGTTGAACATTTTCATATTTAAAGGGGACCTATCATGCAAAATGCATTTTTGTACGTCTTTTATACATGAATATGTGTCCCCGGTGTTCCAGGGAACTCACCAAGTGTCAGAAAACACAACCCTCTCTATTTTCCTCCATACCCAAATCTCTAAAAAAAGGGGCTGCAATGGATCTGATAAAAACTGATCCAGATTTGAACACTGTCCTGACGTCAGGACGGTGGCGCTACGGCTACTGGGCCAACTCCACCAATCAGGAGGAGACAGCCACGGCCATTGCCGTTCGAAAGCGCTGGAGACGCTGTAGTACAGGGGTCGGCAACCCCTGGCACGCGTGCCACCAATGGCACGCGGCACCGTAACCAGTGGCACACTAGGAATAAGTGGAATAAGTGTACAAAATATTTATTTTATTTTCGGATCCTGAACGAGACCGCCGCCAGAGCGCGTCTCCCCGTTACCTGCAGAAGGAAGCCATGCGCGCAACGCAGCCCCACTCAAAAAAGCCGATCGCGAGACGTAACATACATGACACTTTTCTCTGTGTGCGGCAAAACAAGCTCGCCAAAATCGCTTCACCAGTCTGGCAGTATTTTAAGGTGTCCGAAAAAGACAATAAAATAGCGGTATGCAACGTGTGTGAAGCATAAATCCTGCAGCTCCACCCGCTGTGACGGACCGGTGAGCGGAGCAGAACACACAAGAGTTAGACCTAACACACTTAGCTATTTGATCTACCTTTGGAACTAGTTATAAATATATTTATTCTTCACTGTCACTCATTACTGGATCAGTGAGCTGCATGAGATACTGACAGGCTGTCAGAGAGAGAGAGGGGGAGAGAGGAAAAGAGAGCGCTTCCGCTCATTTCCCCCGTGTTATTATCCAAAGTTAATGTAAACTTGAATAATGTAGGCTACTTCATTTTAATGTAACAATTATGTTGGTTGTTGTTTGTGGAAGCGCCAGTGAATGAGCCCCATTAACTGAGTTTTAAACATCACTTTTCACGAGTGTTTTCGTCGAGCTCTTCAACACCCTCTCTCTCCCCCCCCCCCCCCCCCCCCCCGTTGATAATTCACGATCGTCGGCACGCTGATACATTTTTTTTTTTAGAATGGCACTTCATATCAAAAAGGTTGCCGACCCCTGCTGTAGTACATATGCCAGGCCAGTAGGTGGTGCTGTTCTCACAGAATCAGCCCTTGCAAAAACAGGGCGAAAAAAGTGCAAATTGAGCGAAATGAGGCATGGCTAAAATGCATGATCTGTTTGGTATTTTGAAAAAAAAAAAAGTTTAAATATGCCTTATATAGGTATGGTCCTACACTATATTATTAAAATATAGCATGATAGGTCCACTTTAAGTTTGTAGCAAGTAGAGGGCTGCTGGCAGGCCCGGACTGGCCATCGGGAGGACCGGGAAGTGTCCCGATGGCCTGGCGACTTTTTTTTTTTTTATGTATTGTGAACGCAACCCTGCGCAAATGTGGGTTTGCCTCACACAGGGTGACTGTCTGTCTACATCAGGGGTCGGTGAGCGGAGCAAAACACACAAGAGTTAGACCTAACACACTTAGCTACTTTATCTACCTTTGGAACTAGTTATAAATATATTTATTCTTCACTGTCACTCATTACTGGATCAGTGAGCTGCATGAGATACTGACAGGCTGTCAGGAGAGAGAGAGGGGGGAGAGAGGAAAAGAGAGCGCTTCAGCTCATTTCTCCCGTGTTATTATCCAAAGTTAATGTAAACTTGAATAATGTAGGCTACTTCATTTGAATGTAACAATTATGTTGGTTGTTGTTTGTGGAAGCGCCAGTGAATGAGCCCCATTAACTGAGTTTTAAACATCACTTTTCACGAGTGTTTTCATCAAGCTCTTCCCCCCCCCCCCACCGTTCGTTGATAATTCACGATCGTCGGCACGTTGATAAACATTTTTTTTTTGAATGGCACTTCATATCAAAAAGGTTGCCGACCCCTGGTCTACATGATGTGGCATCTGTTTCATATGGGTGTTTCCATAGATCTAGTCTCTTTATTTTCCCTCAAAGTGCACCAGATTGATGCATTTCACTCCAAAATGTAAAAACAAATCTTACCGGGGGAGGGGGGGATGTTTTAAAAAAAAACATAGAGCTCAGTTTATAACTCGAATTGTTTTACTTTAATGAATTGCTAGGGCAAGAGATGAATGAACGGATAGGAAAGATGGTTGTGCTTTAACAACAGGATTCATAGTGGAATACCGAACCCAAAGTCTTTTTTATTACCAAAAACAAGTGTTTAGGCATGGAGTATTTCTTCATTCCTTAAACTTGAAAATCTAAAATGTTTGAAACATATTTTGGTGCACTAAATTCTGTTTAGTTTTTCAATCTCTCAACTTTCTGATTTATTTTATTTTTGTTTAACTAGTTACAGCAACTTCAAACAATCATAACCAGTCATCCATTTCCCCCAGCTGTGTCTATATGGTTAATAGATGATTTCATCGAGTTAAAAAATAAAGTTTATAAACCACTTCAGCAGTGGCGGCCGGTCCATAGGGGCGCTAGGGGCGCCGCCCCACCTCTTCCCATATTGAAAAAAAATAAAAATAATAATAATTAAAATTAAAATTAAAAAAAAAAAATATGTTTAAAAAAAAATATATGTTTTTATTTTTATTTTTAATGAACAAGGTAAATATTATATAATTGGTATCAGTAAAATGTATAATCTACAATAAAATCTCGTTTAAAATTGTGTTACGATGTCTAAAGTTACTGATAAGTCACATGTTTCCTGCCTGGCCTTGCCCATGCACCTTCTCTCGTCTGGGCGCTAAGAGAGGAGCCTTCAACCAGTGCAGCATCAGCCACTAGCAGCTGACTGTTGCTATCTGTAACGTGTAAACTATGCCGCGAAAATATAATTTCAGCCAATCAGCGTCGTCAAAGATGACGGTCACCAGGCGCCAATGTCAGCGCCCAGTGCAGTCTGTGAGTAGTTTGGACAGTGACTCGTATCCGGTTGACGCAGTAGTTGATGAGGATGGCTTCGTGTGCAGGTGGAGTCTCCGGACCTCGGTCCCCGGCTAATTCTGTTCAAGAGCTAATCTCCAATCCTTTCGAAAGGAGAAGTTTGGCAGATAAATTGTTGCTTAAAGACCTTGCACCGGACCAACCCGATTTGAATATATCGCAGCAATCTCGTGAAAAAGACAACATTTATACACGAGGCTTCACAAGTAGCTGGTACACAAGAAAGGCTTGGCTAGCTGGATGCAAACAGGTAAATGCTGTCTTTTGTTTCCCATGCTTGGATATCACTTTATATGTAGAGAGGAGGTTTCCCATGGTTGTTAGAAGTTTATTAATAAGTGGGCATTTATCACAGAAGTGATTGTTCTGTCTCCACGTTTGTTGCATTGTCTGTGATGTATTTTCCAACGGTTATAGCTCCTGTTCTGTCCCAGCAACACTACACGGTTTGCAGCTCCACCACATTTTTGGTTTATCTTCGGTGTCGCTTAAAATCTGCTTCCCATCGGACTAAAACCTCCACGTAATCTGAAGACAGATACTTGAAGTTATTTAAACCTTTTGCAAACTTTATGTTCTTTCTTGCTCTAGCCTTGCCAGTTACATTGTACATAACACATATATTATCATTATGCTAACTGGTTGTTCGTGTTAGACGATGTAGCTTTTTCATTTCTGAGTTATTGCTATATGTAAATAAGCCTGTTTGTAAATAATCCTCAGAGAAACAAAGAAAAAACACAATTTATGACATTTTGTGCTGTGGTTATTTTTTTTAAATTGCATTTATTCACAGTTCAGTTTGAAATGCTGTAGTGACTTGTATTGAACCACTTAAATATTTATAATTAATGCTACTGAAAAGATGCTATTAATTTTATATCTCACATGCAGTTCACTGTAAAGCTACTTGGTGAAGGTGTTGGTTCATAAAACATGAACAGTTTTAAGAAAGAAAAAAACAGACCAGTTCTGAGAACACAAATTCCTGGTAAAGTAGTAGATGTTGAGGTTGATAAATAATATTTTCCACACTGAAGATTATGGAGGTATTGATCAGTCTTCTCATATTTTTAAGCCTCGATTTCTCCTTTCCCCCCCCCTCTAACATCACCAGAAGTCATCATTTAAGGGGTCATTTCTCGAAAACAATTTCCGGGGGGAAACCCCCCGGACCCCCCGGGTAGGTCACTTACGGTACGTCAAGAGCCCCACCAAAAAAAAAGACCACCGGCCGCCACTGCACTTCAGCTATAATGCCAATCATTAGGAATAAAGAGATTCATAGTCCAAAAAAGAATAGAGTGTTTTTAGGAAAGTGTGAAATGCTATGAGTGTGTGTATACGGCTAAAGACATACAATGACAACATTAAGTGTATGATTCAAAATGTATATACACAGATTAAGATCTCCTCACCCTATTTATATTGCCATAAAAGGGCTCCACCTTTTATATAAATACATCAAATAGGTGGAAGAGGAAGTAACTGACCTACAGTCAGTTGAGCATGCAAACATGTTAACTGTGTCTGCAGGCAAATGTATTCTTCAACACATATAAACAAATGAAGTCTATAACTGAGTGAATAATGATTAACACATATTTGCATACATGAAAATGGAGAAGCTCTTTCAGGAAAAAGCTTTGGCTTTTAAACTCAGCGCAACTATAATACCCCAACAACAGGCCTGACATTAACACTTAAAAATGTATATATTTTACTTAACTTTTATAGTTTTTAGCCATTCAAGTATATTTTATTTTATATATCTTTTAATTTATTTTTTTATCATTAAATCCAATTTCCATACGATGATATGCATTTAATGAATTCTCTTCTCCACAATATTTGTTTCTTATTTTAAGTTTTATTTTCCATCTTATTTTGCTTTTTGTTTATGTCTAAGACTTTCCCTGTTTTTATGTTAATATTCACGTTAAAAAATTATTATATATATATTTTTTAAATATTAAAGTTTTTATTATTATTATTATACTTTTTATTCGTCTCAAACCTTTCCTTTTTGTTCAGTTTAGTGACCACCACTAGTGATCTGGGACCACATGGAAGAGCGACCCCAGTCAGATTCCCAGCGTGTGTGATCGTGTGTTGACTCGTATCCGAGGTTACATCACGGCCTGGCTATTAGAGCACTCAGACTAACATGGAGCATACCTGTCATCTGAGACGAGGAGGCCTCTGCCCTTTCCCCGCTCTGCTCCACAACATGAATACCCCCCCCCCTCCTCCTCCAGCATTAGGCACAGACTTGTTTCATACCGGATCATTTAACTGTGAGTATGACAATGTTATTTACAGCAACAGCCTCGAGCAGGAGGGGCGGAGCTGTCTATTGCTACATGTATTGCCATTCTCATAATAAACAAAAGCACAAACATGGCAGTAAAACACATGCAGACACACATGCAGGTCATCTGACTTCATGTGTTTTGTAAGTTTAAAGGTCCCATGTCATGCTTTTCTGGTTATTACCCGTCCCCTTGTGTGTTATGAAGGTTTTTATGCATGTAAACGGTCTGCAGAGTAAAAAAAACTCAAAGTACCCCCTGTAGCGAGTAAAACTCTAACAAAGAAAAGACCTGTCTATGCTGCCCCAGAACGCCTCGTTGGAGATTTCTCTTTTTCCATTTGTTTCTTCCGGGAACTGCATGACGTAATGCGGTTCCCGGAACCAAAATGGACCAATCCGCGGAGCTCCTCACACACCAGGATCCCTTGGCGTCACTATCAAACGCAGTGGGGGGACCTTTCGCGTACATTTTCAACTAACAGGGAGTCCCATTGACTTGCATAGAGCTCCCTGGTTGGTAATAGACGAGTTGGGATCGCGGAGAAATGCTCTCCGCAGACCCATTCTCACAGCGTTTATAAACCTTTTTCTTACTCAATATCAAGCCACACTTATTGTTTTTACTTCGGCTGTGAGTGTTTGTGTGTGCTCAGGATGAGTTTAGCTTGTTCTCGCTGTATCGCCGACCCGGAAACCACACTAGTAAGCCAGCTCAGTGAGCAGCGAGGCTCGTAAAAAAAAAAACGTAAAACAAGGGACATTTGGTATAGCTTTACATTTCTAAACAAAGATAAAGAGAAAACAGCTAAAAGTTAAAATAGCTACTGTAGAGGTTGAACAATTGTATCCAGCAGAGCTGATCAGGAGATAACTGGCAATATTGATTATTTGACCATGGCACTGCACCGTTACATCATTTCCTGATCAAAAGATTACAGTATTTAAACAGCTACTTAAGGTCACTGAAGGTGTGACTGCTCTGAACTTTGAAATCCAGGAACATAAGCTCAGCAGGAACAGTGTTTACTAAGGTAATAAATCAAGGTGAGGATTTTGTCATTTTTTCATAGACTTCTATACAACTGCTCTTCTTTTTGCAACCAGTGCATATGTTTTAACTGGATTATTGAATTACGTCATCCTAGGTGTTGATCTTCAAATCAGGAAAAAAGGAGATCGGACGTCAAGAACAATCGGGCTAACACCGATGTTTAACATAGACTTCTATACAACTGAAGTGGACGCCAAAAAGAGTCGGAAAAACACATTTTAAACATGAAATCGCTGTCTTTTGTGTTTTCACCAGTTGTTTTTTCCGTTGGATGAATTCTAACAGGGAGAGCTGACTGTAATGAAGCAAGTGATGATGAAGACAGCAACTCCCATAATGCAAAAGCAAACTAATTCTTTTGTTATTGTTTGGATTAAGAGATTCCTAGCAGCAGAAAAGTACACTTAAACCCATAGTGCAATGCACAAAGTTTATTATGATGAATCAAATCATTGTTGATTGATGTGTGCATCATTTTCCAATTCAAAACAGAAAGTATATTATTTCTTGTACTCTAACTGCAGTACATTACTAGTATGTAATTAGGACACAGCTGTGGTTTAACAGGTTTTGGGTGTTTCACCCCTGCCGTCTAACCCAACCAATACATCTTCCTTCAGAGCAGCTCTCTCATTAATAAAACTGTTTCTACCAAAGACTAAAATCTGCCAGAGGCTTTTAAATCCAGCTGAGGCAAATCCTATCCAGACCATCTGATTATAATGTGCCCCACATTCCCTTATCTCTCCCCTCCATCTCCCACTCTACCTGCTAGTGGAGGCCCGATGAGCAGCGTGATGCTCTCCATGACAGCGAGCAGGCCCAGAGCGGAGGGGAAGCGCTTCATCTCCACGATCTCCATGAGGACGGTGAACATCAGGGAGCCCACCACACTCATGGACAGCCCGTAGAAGACCACGTAGACGAGCAGCACGGGGAAGCTGGGCCCGATGCAGCAGATAGTGTTACTGAGCCCGTTGACCAGCAGCGCCGAGGCAAACACGTAAATGTGTCGCCCCTTGAACCAGGGCATGCTGAAGAGGATGCCGAAGGGCGGCCGCACCACGATGTTGACCATACCCATGATGGAGATCAGCAGCGCGGCGCGGCCTAGCTCCATGTCGTTAGCCGTGGCGTAGGGAACCAGGTAAATCAGAGGCACCACGAACCCCAGCATCATCCAGGTGATGCCGATGGCGTACATGCAGTAACGCGAGTTGTGGCAGAGCTGATCAAACGCCATGTGTTTTCTCAGAGCAGTCACAAAGTAGTTCCATATCCTCCTCATCCACCCTTTTTCCTTCGTCACTTTCTCCTCCTCAAGCGGAGGGGGTCCATGGTTCATCAGCGGCAGGCCTTGATGCTTGGGGGGCTGCAGGGGCCTCATCAAGGCTCCACACACGCAGCAGTTCAGCAGCATGGCCCCCAAAACAAGGAAGCTGCCCCTCCAGCCCAGCTCTGTGTGGAGGTAGTTACCCAGGAAAGGTAGAGTGCAAAGTCCCAGCGCCGTGCCCGTGGAGGACATGGCGTTGGCGAACGCACGGCGACGCACAAAGTAGTGACCGAGGATCGTCACCGCTGGCTGGAAGCTGAAGCAGAAACCCAATCCTGAAATGAGAGAAAAACATTCAGAATGGAGCAACATCAGGTATAACATTGTGTTTATTGATTTACAAGATTATGTAAAGAAAATGTGCAGTAGAAAATAGATGCAGCCAGAGGTGGAATTACCAAGTACATTGTCTTGAGTATTTCCATTTTATGCTAATTTATACTTCTACTCCACTACATCTTAGAAGACTTTCTACTTCAATAGAAAGCAGCCAATTTATTATCTTTTAATCTATACACCTATTGCACGTCTGTCTCTTCGGGGAGAAGGATCCTCATCTGTTTTTTTCAACTTTTTCCCCATTAATTGTTGGGTTTTTCCTTGTACCCTGCAGAGTCTAAGGACAGGGAGTGTTCAAAAACTCCCTGAGCCAAATGTGTAATTTTTAATAATGGGCGTAAAAAAATCTAATGTAATTGAGTGAGTCTTTTTATGCTTTGTTATTTGTGGATACATGTCGAGGAAAAACATGTCTCAAGGTAACAGTGGATGAGATGTTTCTTATTAGTATATGAATGATCATTTCCGGGTCAAGTATTTCTTTAATTTATTTGTAAGGCCACCTAACTTACTCTAACATACTTTAACCTAAAAACATTATAATTGTTTATACCCATTTACAGATAAGTATAATTTGAAGACACGTTATTTTGTCCAGCTTTGGTCTCCACCAACTCCGAGGGAAAATGCTGTATATGTTACTGCTAGATATTAGCTATTCTCTAAATGCTATTATTTGGCGGGCAGGAAGTGAACATTTGAAAAGATTATAAATCAGTGGACGGTTTGCTGACCTGTAATAACCCCAGCTGTGACGTAGAGCTGTTCGATGGACTGGGTAAAGGAGCTGGCAGCCATTCCCAGCCCACTCAGGACGCCGCCCAACATGATTGTCGCCCGGCAACCAAGTCTCTCCACCAGCACGCTACAAAATGGACCTGTGGATCAAATGTAATGCTCTTAGTTTAATGCATACCGGAGCAGAATCAGGCTTACACAGAGGAGAGGTCAGCAGGTCTCACATTAACATTTCTTGTGTTTATCTGTAATCTGTACCAGCTGAATGGAAGCACTGCAAGCATGACTGAACACTTACTTTGTGTGAGTACATGGGCTATAGCTTAAGTATAGCAGTTAGCTTGCTGACCTATATAACTGTGTGAAAATATGATGCATTTCAGGGAAAATACATAGATAGATGGATAGGGAAATTAATGCAAAATACCAGCACAAAGAAAGAGCACAGTAAATGTTTACATATCAACACTAGAAATAAATATATATATATATATATATATATATATATATATATATATATATATATATATATACACATATATACATATATACATATATATACATATATATATTTAGAGAGAGTATAAAGAGGAAGTTACACATTGGGTTTCCTGAATTCTCAGTGCTGAACACAGCAGGATATATCGGTTAAAGGTCACAACGAGGGGTGGTAAATTCAACCCACGCCTGTGTTGTTAGGCAACAGGGCTGCAAGGTATTGATGGCAAAACATATTGTAGCCATCTATAAAAGTATCTGTTTAAAGGGGCCCTAGTGTACTTTTTAGGGGTTTTCCTTTCCATTAGTGTGTTATATATACTTATTATATTATATTACTGTTTTTTACTATTCATTCTACTGTGTTGTGTGCTGTTTTATATTGTTCCATGCTCACTGCTTGTAGCACTTCGGGATTTGACTTCAAATATGAAGTGCGTTAAAAATTCCTGTGTCCAAAAACCATGAGAACTCAAGCAGGTGCAATTTTCACACACCCACCTGTTGTAGCTCCTGAATAAAAAAGTCCCTCTACTTTGCTCTGAATGCAGCAGCTTAAAGGATAAGACTGGTGTAATTCTATATGTTCTTTGAGTCCACAAATCCCATGCAAATATCAAAACAAACATCTCTCAATAGATTTATTTTGTAGACTGTGGCTCTCAGCCCTGAGGCCACTGGTTCCTACTGAAGACAAACATCTTACAAACAGATCAAAATGGATCATCTTCTGTTTAAAAAGGCTCAGTAATTTCTGCTGTGCACCGTACTTATTTTTCAAATGTAACCCAAACAGGAGGAAATGGAGCATTTGTTAGGGACCATTTTCAGCAACCAATAATCCATCTTTTGCTACTCAAGTGAGTATTTGGGGCCGAATGACCATATTTGGACATTAGTGAAGCTCTACAACACATATGAATAAGATATATCAGGCTTTAGAATGCACACATAACTTGTTTGTTTTGGTATTATTTGTGGGATTTGTTGACAGTAAGAAATAATAATAAAAATCACTAGACATGGCCTTTAAAATAAAATACAAAAAACTGAATGTGTGCCTTTAGTGACCCCCTATGATTCCTTGGTATTCAGATTTGTAATTTCCAAAAGACTAAGCCAACTTTGATGCAATAGATTGTACAATGAATGTTCTATTTGTAGCTATATTTGAATAAGTATTTTCATTATCAATAAAGAAAATACTTTTAAAAGAAGTTGAATGGATGAATTCAGGGGTCAAAGTCAACACATGTTTATGACACATTGCTGATTTGTGAGTCAAAAACATGCTTTCTGTTGACTTTTAAGAAATGGTGGGGATCAGGTTAAAGTAGTGCGATAGCATTAAGATTGCACGGACCGGTACTGACTGTTTTGATATTGCCACATCACTTTGTATGACAAAAAAAGGGTGCAGGAGCGAATTACTGAGCAACGCCTACAGAGAAACTACACTTCACTGATTTATGTATGTGGACAGCAGGGCACTAATTTTAAACTAGTTTTGACAGTTGATGCAGGTGCAGATGTGACAGAAAGAGGATGAACGTTATCAAACCAATCTGATGAAATGCAGCCGTTGCAAACTAGGAATGTCCTCGCCTAAATAAACTCTAAGGCCCCGCTCACACGGGAACGTTTGCGTTTATGCACAGTATGCGTATTCAAAAAAGTCTTCCGTTCACATGCATTCGTTTCATTTAACGTGTCTGTTCAAACGAGGCCGCTGGAAACGCTGTAGTACATATGCCGGGACTGTAAGTGGCGCTGTAACTTTCGCCAAAATACACCAAAAGCAGCGAAGAAGGGCAGCCCAGCAGCCCCGCCGCAATGTTGCCATGGCTACCCTTCTGTTCATGCCCCGCAGTGTATTTAGCAACATGTAGTTCATGTAATTCTCCATGTCCACTTGTTGCTGATGGTTGTGGTAGAGGAGCTGTAGATTTTGCACTAACATCTGTAGCATGGTCAGTAGCAGTAGCACTAGCAGTAGCTACTGACAGGAGGAAGTGTGTGTGGCGATTGCTGGTATTCAGCGGGATATAGTAATTTCCTCAGCATATGGATAAATGCAACGGGGAAGTTAACTGAAAGAAACCGAATCTGTGGATATTGCATCGACCGACCAAGAAGCACGTCTCCGTGGAGAGGACCCGCTCAGAAAAGTGCAGAAAGAGAGATATTCTCTACAAACACCGGGTGAGATCCTCCTTTGTCAATATAATGGATCAATGCATGAAATCTGACTCTGTTTATTTTGTTTAAGGAGTATATTGGGCGTTAACAATTCTGGTTTGCCTTTTATAATATTATTTCATTCAAGAACCCCTTGTGCGTTTAATTAACACAGCTATTTTTGATAGTTGCTACAGCAGTGAGCAGGAGAGGTGGGGCTATCGCTATTTTTTCAGGAAATATTCGTATAGAGGTGATTACACGGACTCGGTTGACCCCCCAGAGCGTTTCGTTTGCAAATCTATCCACCTTGGGACCCGTTATCGTTTGTGGGGTCAGTTTCTATCGGCCTCGTGTAAATAATAGGGCTATACGCACGCGAAACTATGCAGATACAAGCAGTTTTCTCCTCGTGTAAACGGTGCCTAAGTCCTTCAACACGCATACAGTACAATCAACAGATCTGTGAAACTGATTTTCTCTACCTAAATCATACAAAATTAACAGTAATCTTTAGTTTAGATTGGATAAGTATAGTAGAGATGTGCTTATAGGTTTAAAGTGCTTACGTTTTAAATGACTTTCACACATCTTTTGTGGATTTTGCACTTAATAATTGGGTAATACCTTGCATTATTTGCATCTATCCTACCACCAAAATATCCACTGACACTTTGAAAAAACTGTTTTTAAACATAGAAAGTTCCTGGACTGAGTTAGAGTGTCAGACTAACAACATTCCTTCCTGTAAATGCGTCCAAGGGTTGGCTTTCCTGTGAAATTATCTTCTCCATGTCAAACTGCGATCTAACTCTCACTAGTTTTAAGAGGAAATCTCTTACAGGCATGATGTGCTGTCTGCAGCAGCACAACATCCTGCTTTTCACCTAATCTACATTTGGCTTCACACACAGACGAAAACAAGATGTTGCCAAAAATAAAAAAGATTGATCTTCTATATTGACCTTAGATAGAGATAGCGCTTTGTGCACCACACGGAGAACTAGTGCACTGACAAAAGAATAGTAGTCTTTGAATTAACATGTGTGTCAATACAACACAAGCTTTTAATAGTCTATGTTTATTTTCTTTATCAGTATCTTTTCAATGCTAGTGGCAGAGGCCTCAGTTCAGCTTGCCTACCTACCTAAAAGTGATTCATCAGAAATAATGCAAATGAGATTTTTGTATTTTATAATATGAATACCGTTCCTAAAAGTCTTCTAAAAAGCTCCAGAACATGAATCCTCAACATTTTGACATCTCTTTTTCTCTTAAAAGTAACTAAGTGTCACGTGTAAAGTTTGGAATATTATTATTTCTAACCCTGAAGCCGTGATGTTGAGCATATTAAAGTCCACGTGAGCTGTGGGTAATAACCAAACTTTAGTTTCTCATGGAATAATCCTTTCAAAATCAACACGAACCCAGCAAGGCAGTTTAAAACACGCACAAATTCTCTCTCGAGTTTCACTGCTTCCCTGGACAACAACAGCAGGTAGGAGCTAAAGTTACCCCGAGGCTGCGGGGCATTAAAGGGCAACTTAAATGTTAAATTGTCTAAATTGTCGTGTGTATCATTCCCCCTACCCAAGCTGTGCCACAGGGACAGATGCCTGTTCAGCTCTTACTGCGAGGCGGATCTCTGCACCTGAACTGTCTCCACCTCACTGGTGTCATTCAAGAGTAAAAGGTCCTCACGGTCTGCATGCGTCTGTGCCATATCCAGAGAGGATACATCCAATAATAGATTAAATCGAATTACTCTTCCGCTTCTCTGGATACTTTATGTTCAATTTGCAAGTTTAAATCTAATTGTAAATCGTCAGCGATGTGTAAAATGTTCCTCTTTATTAAGTTAGTTTATGTGAACTCAATTAAAAAAGTGAATCTACCTCAGGATGACTTATTTCTTAAAGGGGCCCTATTAAGCTCATTTGTAGGTTGAGATTTGTATTTTTGCCTCTACTCTGACATGTTTACATGCTTCAGTTATTTTTCTCATACTGCAGCACCTCTTTTCACCCTCTGTCTGAAACCAGAGCCCAGTCTGCTCTGATTGGTTAGCTGGCAGGCTCTGTTGTGATTGGTCCACCGCTTAGAGATGTCCCGCCCTTTAGCCCATCACTTACAATGTGTAGGAGCGCTAGCCAATAAAAGCGCAAGTTTTAAATAGTGAAGTCGCTATGTTACAGTAGTAAACAAAGGAGTCCAATTGAGGCGTTTCAGGAATGGGGAAGGGGGGATGGGGGGTGGAGTGTGTGGGAGAGAAACTCCCTCTGGAGGGAACTTTGGGATTTTAGCCTTTGCAGAGCATTTACATGCACAACAACCTATATTATACAGGGGTGCCCAGTCGATCGCGAGATGTGTCTAAAAATAGAACAACAATATTCTGTTTTATCGTTAATGTCCTATAACATAATCTTCCTGTGCCAGAATAATGCACTTGAACGCATCAAAGCTTTGTGATTGGCCGGCGTGACCCCATGTGTCGGGGCGTGGCTGGTGGGCAGTGGGCACTATAGCTGACGTTGTCCGTGTCAACAGGAGTGACAGTCCGCACACACACAAGACCGCAATTATGGCAGAAGCAAAAAAGCCCAAAATATATCATTTTCACTCTGAGTGGGAGGATGATTATTTTTGTATCTATTCCAATTCAAAGTCCATCGGTCTCATCTGCAATGCGAGCGTGACTTTATCGAAGAAGGGTAATTTAGGAGCGGCATTTCAAAACAGTGCACAAACGCTACGAGACGGAATTCCCTCCTAATTCTGCCCTACGCTCCCAAAAGGTGAGGGACCTGAAAGGACAGCTAAATGCACAGCAGTCACTTTTCACCAGGCCCAACAACAAGAGCAAGGCTGCTACCTTGACATCTTATCGTGTCAGTCACGTTCTTGCGAAACACATGAAGTCTTTCAAAGACGGCGAGGTTGTGAAAGAAGCATTCCTGGAGGCTGCGGACACGCTTTTTGGGGACAGTAAAAATAACAGTAGCATTTCAACAGGTTTTTGATATAATAAAAACTCAAGTTAGATACCGTTATTAATCAGCTGTAAGTTTTAGTTTGTTTGAACTTATTCATTATAATTATTGTACAAAATGGTATAAGAATGCAAACTTAAATTGATTATAGTCTATTATCAATTCAGGTTAAGAAACTAGTGTTGCTTGCATCCTATTTTAAAAAGGCATTTCTTTTTATACTCTACTAAAATGCAACAAAAAAAGGGTTTGATTCTATTAATTTTGTCTTTTTTATTGCACTTTGGCAGCAGATTCCTGTGTAGCTTCAGATCTGAGTTGTCTTATTAGTAAGCCTAATTTATACTTTTGTAGCAACACTATTTTTATATAATGGCAAAGAAAGGGTTCAGAGTCTTTCTTTTTTTCCTGTGTCATATGTGGCAGCACTGATCAATGTTTCTTGAAAACATGACCCACTGTAGTATGTGACGTGTGAATAAACTCCAACTCTGTATCAACAACACTGTTGTGTAACTTCAGTTAAATACTTGTATGTGTGTAGATTAGAAAGAGGTAAGATAAATTATCTGCAGTATTTTATGAAGTATTAATCGTACAAAGGTCAGTTTTATACAAGTAGAAGTGTGTATTTACCTGATAGTAGGCTGTCAGTAATGGCTACGCCTCTCTATTTGGACTGGTAGATCTCGGCAGACTGGCAACTTTAAAAGTAGCTCTCAGTTCAAAAAAGGTTGGGCACCCCTGATGGAAAGCCCCAAAAGGGCCCCTTTAATATAAATGAGCTGAAAGCCTTTAAGGCACCACGATATGTTAAAGAGTATTTTCTTGTAGTTGATCTAATTAAACAATAATCACCCCTTAACCTTGCCCAAAAATACCAACAACAAAAAAATACAGATGTAGAAACCATGGCTCAGGAATGGAGGTCTGAAGTTAAGCCATGAATTTGAGGAATTGTTAAACCGCCAGTATACAGGAATAAATGACTGAAATTGAGTAAATAATTAAACAGAGCCCAGTTTATTTCCTGGTCTGCCAGCTTTACCTCCTGCGTGCAGCACTGACGTCATGATGGAGGGCACCCAGGAGGTCTCGCTGTTGGAGGCGTGGAACTCATTCTGCAGGTCGGTGTAGAAGATTCCCACGCAGGAGGGGAAGCCCAGGGTCAGAGCCAGCACTACGATGGTGGCAGCCAGCACCACCCACCCCCAGCCACCGTCTGGAGCTGTGACTGTTCCCGGCACAGCCACGGAGCCCCCGCTTCCACCTCCCTGCCCCCCCTCCTCGGATTCACACTCGTTGACCTCTTGAAATTTCTCGATGCCGTTGGACTGCTCCAGGTCCCCGGAGGCCTGGGAGTGGAGGCAGCCATCCCTTGTCTCTCCGATTCCATTTCCCTGAGTCATTTTCTACTGGGCAGCTCAGGAGGGGCTCCTGTGTTAGCTCTGCAGGGTGTGTGATTACCTTTCCTGCCCATGTCACTGTGACTGCTGCTACCTTCAGGGACACCTAGGACGACAAAAGCAAACAATCCATCAGGCTGTGCAGAGAAGCTAAAGAGGTGGGAGGTTTTTATGGACGGGGTGTAAATCTAGTTTCATTACAATACCATATTATATTGATTCCTTTGATATATTTGCTGATATTACAGAGATATCATTTAGATTACATTCAGTGCCCTTTGGTCGATATAAGGAGGTATCGTAAACCCATTTAACACAATTAAATACGATAATAAAATCTCACACAAAGCAAACATGACTTGACAATTTAATTACTGGCCTCTGTAGGAACAAGGTGTTCTTAGATGGAATTAATGATTTGCTCTCAGGTAAAACTTGACTGTTTCTTATAGGATAAATATGTAAATCGTTAGATCAACCAATAAACAATCAGATCTCATATGTAAACATTTCTGATGTTATATTTGCTTCCTTTTTGGTCTTCTGAAACAGTTTTTCTTTTATGTAATGCAATGACAAGGTCTGACAACAAATTATAGAAGGAGCATTTCGGAAAGAATTGCAAATGATTCGGGAAACGTACCAAAGTGAAAAAGAATAACTGAAATATAATAAAACATTTAGCATCTTTAACAGAGTTTCACAGGGTTTGGAACATGTGAGGAATACTGTTTGGAATGTTCTATTCTTAACAGCAGAGCTTCAAGGCTACAAACACACGAGTGAATGGAGAGAGGCAGATCGTAGTGAATAGTGCCTTTACACTACATGTCAACATTCCCTATACACACACTGATTTGCCGAACCACTTATCATCTAATCTAATGCTCATTCACACACACTCACACACCAATGGCACAGCCTACGGGAGCAAATTAGGGGTTCAGTATCTCGCCTAAGTGGGCTTGCAATTATGTAGCGCCACTCAAACACTCACTCACACACACCGATGGCGCAGGATTCAATGATAGCAGACTGGAGAAGCCCTGGATCAAACAGCCATTCTTCGGATTAGTGAACAAATGACTGCATGTTCATTATAATTAAGCAATAATGGTCAATGGTGCAGGGAAACCCAGGAGAAATGTGCTTAAATCTTCTGGTGGCCATGTTTTGTACACTAATCTAATAAACAAAGGCAAGCTAAAATGAAAGCAATGACCTTTTATTGGCTTTGCTCCTGAGCTGACAGATGATGCACTTTGTTACATTGGTAAAATGTTGACATACACTTCAGGAACTCTGAAACAACCCTATGACTTCTAACCTCCTGTGCAGCATGCCTCACATGTTCAGGGTAGATGTGCTCCAGTTTTATCAACAAAAATCCACACCTAGATGTTTAAAATCCAGTTAACAAAGGAGAGGCCTGCAGGGTTAAATAGTGGATGCAAAGGGCATCTGGCTAGCATGAGACTAGCATGCACTTATGAAAACCCTTGTGAATGAATGGCCCTCTGTGCAAATGCTCCAGTAGAATTTCCCCTGGAGACTCTTCATATTATTTCCAGATGTACCGACGACTGAGCAGAGAAACATCCCCTCAGGTTAAGTTGCTGAGAATATGATTAATAGCTAATGTTACTGTACTCAGAAATGTCCTGTACACTCTGTCTCTTCAAATATTTCACATATATGTATTTAGAATATTTTACAAATGCTTTAGCTCATGATCAGAACACAAACAAAAGGAAAACTACTTATATTTAAACAAAAACACTAAATCACATCTGAAAATACAGATAAACATATCAGAATAACTTGAAGTGCTTATCAGTCTGCATACCAATTAGTTGAATCAATTGCAACACATGTTGCAAAAAGCAAAGCATTGCAACATAATGCAAGTTCACAACCACTTATAACTTATAAGAAAATACTTTAATTACCTTAACAAAAAGTGAGATATATGGACATTCTTTGGCAGTTTGTATTTCAAAGTGTGGCTTATTGTTATATACATACAGGGCTGAGCGATACGTCCAAAATCTGGGTTATAGCTCATTTCATATCTCCATAACGCTATAAAGCAGGATTTCCGGAAAGTCAATAAACAAATGGATTATTTGAACTCCATGTGGTATTAGTCTGTTTTTCTGCACTCCTTTGTGGATTGAATATTTGAAAAGTGAACTTTAGTGGAAAATGAACATCCTGTAACAGTTTCAAGTGAAAATAGAAAAAACTAGAAATACTGCCTAGGGTTTGTTTGCCTTTACATCCTATATGTTTTATCCTAATAGACATTTGTGTCAAATGGTCCTAAATCGCATATTCATTTTTCAAAGAATGGCCTATAACCTTTTTTCTTTCTAATTAGTTCATGATTTAGTTTGTTCCAAATGTTAAGCTATTCCCCCAAGGCTATCGTGAGACATCACATTCAATGGAATGGACGTACAGACAACCATGAAAAAAACATTAATAAACATTATTGTCTACCAATATTGTGCAGAGAGAAGCCTGTGCTATGTATTCTGGGGTAATGGAGCTTAAAGGGTGGAGAAGCATGTAACAGGAAGGATGCACGTTGGAGTTCCAGTTGGTTAATCGAGTGGTAATGTAAAGTGTGGAGAAAAAAAACAATCATTTAAAATCCCCTAAAAAAATTCAGATTTTAGAGTAGACATTTCTGTAGTGTGAAGTCAGACTTTGCACCACATTATCTTTATTAAACGACAGAAAATAATGTATATTCCATCACAAAAATCAAGAAATTCTTATTCTAATTTATTTCCACTTGTGCGTTTGTGCTTTGTGTAAAGTTAGGTTGACCAGTAGTTTGATATTTACTCTACAAACATGGGAGTGGTCATGGCAGTTGGCAAGGAAGCAAATATGCAGGTTCACACAAATCCGTTTCCTATTGAAATTCAATTGCGGTCTACTTTTTCCCCTAATGGGAAGAAAAATATGTTGTTGTTTTCTGGAAATAAGTTCAGAACAGTATTGGTAAAGCACTTTATAGACCAGAACCAAATGGCAGGAATGTTTTTCAGCATGACTGTCTGGTTCCTTCCCTTCATATTCCTCTTCCTGAGTGTGTAAAGGATCAGTGAGGGGGGGTAGGCAGGCTTCACATATCCCTGCAATCTGATCCACAGAGCCATGTTTTTACTGTTTCACCTCCAGCTCCCTTTCCTGCAGCCTTGTGTAATCATGCAAATAAAAAAACAAGTGTCTTCCCTAGATAACTAAAAGTGATGCTGGACAGCTGATCCTTGCTGTGGGACAGCCCATGGAGGGATGTGAGCGCTGCGTAAGAGTCGCCTGTTTAACATGTCATAAAGTGGAATTTATTTACTTGCATAAGGCAGCAGAAACGAACCATTATCCGCATTAAACATGACTTATTTTCATATTTTAAACTGTATTAACGCGCAGGTTTTTTTTACACATCCACCCACGTGGAAACTCGCTAGGATTTCGTGTTGTTTTCGGATGGAAATATGCACATAAACACGGTGCAGACTCCATTACATCCCTGTCACATCAAATCATCTTCTCTCGGCAGAAGTCTCGCTTCCAAAGAAGTGGTATTACCACGTCTTCTGTTCCTAAAGTGTGATATCACCCTAAACATCACTGTAAACAGCACGTCGGAGTCAAGAGGAAGCGGTTTAACCATCAATGTCTTCCGTGAATTAACAAACAAATGCTGAAACATCACCTTTTTTTATTGTTGGTTGTGGTCGTCCAGCTCCCCGTCGGTCCCACACACTCAGGCGCGGTCGCTCCTCGATGACTGGTGGGGCAGTAGCCTACCATGGGGCTGACAGACCTGACAGACCAGGGAGTGCTGCTATTCTTCGCGGAGCTCCAGTAGCGTCCGCCCGCTCGCGGTGGGAGGAGACTGACGTGGCCCGGCGGGGAGGGTCGGTGGCGGCCGCTGCGCAGGCCCAGCCCCGGAGAGGTGTGGTCCTACCGAAGGCCTGTGTGGTGAACAGCAGGGGGAGGCTCTACTGAAATACTGGAATATGTATATTATGTATTACTTTGAAATGGTGCAGTGTACCAAATAGCACACAGTTTACACAATTTCAAGTCACTTTACTTGAGTATTTACATTTATGCTACTTCCCTGCTGAAAAAACCCCAGCATAGACCAGTTTATGGTTGGTGGTTTTAGCTGGTGTTAGCTGGTGTTAGCTGGTTTAGTTGGTTTACCAGGCTGGACAAGCTGGCCAGGCTGGTCTTGCTGATAAAGTTTCAGCCACACGATGGAGTTGGCTATGATGCCAATATAAACAAGGTATTTTGTCGGCTCTGTACATCAATGCCGACCTATGCTGACAAGTAAGTGAAGGGTAGAAAATGTTAATGTGGCTATATTCGCTATAGGGAAATGTCCCAGCAGTTAAAGGTAGGGTAGGTAATTTTGGAGAAACCTGCTCGAGATCGCTAGAATTTGAAAATACACAGCCGGAAAAAATCTGCCACTTCCTTACAGAGCCCCTCCTCCAACACACACGAACACGCACATGACCAATGAGGGCCGGTTTCTCAAACTTACCTACCCCACCTTTAAAGGTAGGGTAGGTAAGTTTGAGAAACCGGCTCGAGATACACTTTTTGTTATATTCCATGGAATGCTCTTAACATCCCGATAGCAATGAATATCTTAAGTGCTTTGACAAAAAATCCATAAAAAAATGTCATCTGTGGAAGCCGTAATACTGTAAAAAGCAAGACCAATCATTTTAGCCGGCCCGGCTAAAATAACTGGATGTTCTACCTGCCTGCCAGCCTTCCATCTGTGCACAAACTTATCTCGTGCCCTCATTGGTCATGTGCGCGTTCGTGTGTGTTGGAGGAGGGGCTCTGTAAGGAAGTGGCAGATTTTCTCTGGTTGTGTATTTTCAAATTCTAGCGATCTCGAGCCGGTTTCTCAAACTTACCTACCCCACCTTTAAGGCTACTTTATTGATCCCAATTTGGGAAATCTAGGCTATTACATGTCTAATTCCTGATAATGACAGGAAGGCAGAAAGCGCATTGTAAAAATAATAATACGAGTTCAATGTCACCCTCCTTTTTTTCTTTTAACAATGACAACAATATAATAATTTTAATAAACCAATATGAACAATTGTGGAAAATTAGGAAGAACTGATGATTCAAATGTTGTAGTACAAGTAGTAATGTATAGTTTGTGCATAAATTACTCTGTTCCACATGTCTTCAGTCAGTTCTGGACCCTATATTATGACACGGACACTAGTTATACCAAGGCTTATTAGAAGTAAGAGTGGTAGGAGAGGAGTGGAGTTATCTTTGTATTTAGGCTGCAAGTCGACAAAGGTGATCAAATGCTGATGCTAATAATGATCCGATTAATTTGATATTGATTGTCTGCCAATAGCGAATCCTGATCCGATTCTTCTATTTCCCAGATAATACAGCTGCACCATGTACACTAGCTCTATTTGTTTTTGCCATTGTAATTCACCATAAGCAATTGTTGACTGTAACGTCTATGCCAACCAACTGTAATGTATTTTACCATACTTTAACGGTCAAGTTCTGGCAACCACAGCAGCCCAAATGTTAACGTAAATTTCAAGTTTTCTTTTTACAGCTAGTGTACTTATATCTGTACATTTCTTTTCAGTTTGCTTCAAGAAGTGGCTTCAACAGAAATGCAGGCCAGATTGGGAAAGGCTGGACGCTATACAACGGGAAACATTATGGACATGAACAAGGAAAACCACTTTCTTTGTTGTCTTTTTCTTATCATACATAGTGTTACTGTTGTTGTTACCATTTAAATATTGAATTTTATTTATTACTTTTATTTTAAATCAAATGCACCTGTTTTAGATAATATATTTATTATTTGATGTATAGGTTGATTTGCAGGTTGGTTGTTATTTGCATAATTATTGTATTGTTACTGTTTATTTTATTATATTAACTAGCTATTTATTGCTATTTATTAAATTAAAATAATAAAGCTGGCCAGGATGGCTGCTGGTGGCCGGTTCACCAGCCATCCTGGCCAGCTAAAGTGTCCAAAACCCCTCTAAACCAGCCAACCATTCCAGCCTAATATCTACTGGCTGGTCAATTTAGGTTGACCAGCCTGACCAGCTAAATTTGTCTAAGCTGTTATTTTCAGCAGGGTTTACACTACATTTCGGAGGGAAATATCGTACCTTTTACTCCACTATTTATTTGAGTTTCAGATTAACACAATATTTCAATCCACCTATACATTCTGATATGTTATTATTGGTGTTGCATTGATTAGTCGACTAATTCATTGATCAGAAAAATAATGACAAACTATTATTAAATTCATTTTAGATCAATTATATTATGATATTTAAATGAATATCTTAGTTTTTCCAAAGGACAAAACAAGACACTTAAAGACATCACCTTGGACTTTGATAAACTGTGATGGATATTTTTACAATTTTCAGACATTATATGGATGAAAATATTTATTGATATACCATCAAATAAACCATATAATAAGTGATATGCTTTTTATTATTCCTTATTCGTCTTTTTATGTGATCCAATTATTCAAATTGTAAAATAAAAAAGTAATCTACAATATTGCCCTTGGAATGTTTTTTCTCCATTGGTTCAAACAACTAAAATGAAATGTGTTTTACCAAATGTCCCAACATTTTACAATGTAAAATATCTTCTCTATGTACCATTCTCACTTTTTTTCACATCATTTCGGTTTTATTTGCACACGTTTTGAGATACCGGTCACCGAATAACACCAGTGGGAGGTGAGAAAAAGTGTGTGTGATATGCGTGAAATGAAAAATAGCAAGTAAAACAATACTGACTGGTAGAACAGGTGGCTAAATGTAACTTTTTTAATCTTTATCTAGGTCTACCATTTTTTTAAATCCACACTAGCCAACAAACAGTCAGTGAGTCAACATTTTTTAAAACACAGACACATTTTATGATTAAAAACCAGACAGGGTTTTGTTAAAATGTGTTACATGTAAAAGAACAACATTGGTAGACAAAATTCAAAAAAATATAAAATAAATAAAAGTGAAACAAAGAATCAGACAAAAACTGTTTTTTGTCAGCTTCCGAACATTTTTCTGCACAGTCTCAATTGACGATATTCACATTGGACATCAAATACTGTTGATAAATGAACACAAAGTAACGGTTAATAGGTGACATTATTCAATACCTCTAAATGAGTGTACAAGTGTGCATGTCCACAAACGCATGCAGGTGTTTACAGGTTAACTGGCTAAATTATCCATGGATTAAAAAATCTTTCTTTTGTGCGTTGAGCTGCGTAAATGATTTATAAACCAAGGTTAGGGGCGAGGGGGGCGGGGTCTGCAATCTGATTGGTTGGTTAATTTCAAAAGCTAGCTATTCTGTATTTAAATTAAACCGACGTGACAAAGATACAAAAACAACAAAAAGCAGAACATGTGAGTAGAGAATATGTCTAGTTGTAGACCAACTGTTCAACACAAGACATCTACACCTACAAACACAGAGCCATGCCTTCCTCTGCTCCCCCCACCATGCATCACATACACTTTGCACCAACACATGGGTCAGACAAAATCCAGTACACAGTACACACCATAATCTCTAGAACAATGCATGCTCTTGTGTTTTCACGTGCCCAAACAACAGATATATTTATATATATATGTATATATTTTATTTGTTAAAATTGCACATAATCTGTAGGCTAACTAGTGCATGTGAAAGTAAAAACTATAATGGTCATTAGTTCTATTTTTTTGTTCTTAAAAAACGGGTGCTTGATTCGAAATGTCTAGATAGTCACAGATCAAGGTCAGTGGTTCGCAAACTGTTTGGCTTTTGACAAGGTTGCAACTATTGATTACTTTTCTGTTTGTCAGTCCAAAACCAAAAGAAATTCACTTTATTTTGAGATAAAACTGAGAAAAGCAGAAGAATTTAACATTGAGAGGATGGAAAACAGAATCTTCTGCCATTTTCATATGAAACATTACGTCAACAATCAAACACTAGCCGCCCTTATCATGTTATTTTTCTTTTCATTGAAATCATTTTTGTAATTCCTCAAGAAGTAAAACATGTGGTGATTCACAAGAAACATTAACAGAGAAAAAAACAACAGCCATAGCGATGGTTCTGTAAGGCTGTACGTTTTGCTTTGAGCTAACATGCTAATGTTTAGCACGTATCATTTTTACCTCATTAATTATCTTACTTGCATTCAAATTGTCTTTTATTAGCACTACTGTATTTAAAAAGTACAGCTATTGGTGAAGGAAATGTCATTACAGGAGTCATACAGATCTCTAAGAGTAACATTTAAGCACTTTTTAAGCACTTTCAAGGTACCCAAACCAAAATGATTGAGACTTTTGATAAATAGGCAACAAATAAGGTTTACAAAATGAATTATATGTATACATATTTTATACTGCCACTTTGTTTAATTAACCAGCTGTTTCTTTTAAATTAGATTGCATGTTCTTATAATATAATTGAATCAAAAATCATATTCTTAACCTTAAAGAGAAAATGATGTAGTAGCACAGACGAAAAGCCAGGGGTCATCCTCTGGGAACCATGAATATGTGTTCAATACGACATGTTGTTGATCTATTTGGACCTACGATACTAGCATGGCTAAGATTTAAAAAAAACTATAATTACAGGAAAAAAGAGCAGTATATATATTGTTGCTTTCCCATCTTTTTAGAAGTCTTGCGACCACTTCTGGGGATACACCCTCAGTTTGGGAACCACTGAACTATGCAACCAAGGGAAGATCCAACTGGGTCCAAAGAAGAAGAAGCTAATAGAGGTGGAGTTCTAAGTCAAATCCTTATCTGATGACAAGTGCACTGGTGTTTTTTTATTAAAGATAAGAGCAGCAGGGTAGTCAGCTGTGAATGATCTTTCTGCTGCCAAGTGATCCTTGCTTTTATCTTGTTTCAATAAAAAAATGTATAAAGCCAAACCACCAGCAGTGTTTACAGCAGATTGGGACCCCATTCTGAACCTCCAGGAGTGATAAGGGGCTGCACAAAGCAATGGCACAAAGAAAGCAGCTGGTTATCATTTTGAGTTTGTCGGTATTGTAAAATAAAGCAGGGGACAACAGGTTTGTTTGGCTTGCCTCTCACTGAAACACTGAAATTGAAAACAAGCTAAAGACCGCATTACACCTCAGGTAGGTGCCTCCTGGATTTTTTTTAAGGTATGAGAGGCACCTTATGATAAGAAGGGAGAACAACTGTGCACAACACAGGTCAAAAGGCACGACACTGGACACAGACGAAGGGGAAACAACACCCAAGGTGCTTTGCAAAAGGCCCAGAGAAACCACAAAGGGGAGAGAGGGGAAAAAAGCTCCTCAATGAGACGTTTGGGGCATTTTATAGCAACGCTCAGTCTGCTCACAACTCTCAGAAAAGCAGAATCAAACTGCACAACACAGCAAGAGGAAATAAAACAACGAAGAAGTAGTCACATCAAAGTTTGAGCTCTGAGACCTGACTGAGCATCGGGGAGAATGACGTCAGCACAGGTACAGTTTCTTTTTTCTTGCATTCTTTTTTTGTTCATGCTTGATATAACATAACTGCATCAAATATGTTCTTTATACAAACAAAGGGTGTATCAAAGTGATCGGTTAAAGATCCAGCGCTCTTTAGCTTTCACGTGCCAGGATTTAAAACGCGAGGTCTGGCTGCACGAAATGTTTTGATCTGATATGTGTTGTGGACCAAACTTTTAAGCTGCTCATTTAACAAGGCCGCAATGAAACCAGTAACAACGTTTTAATAACAGCTATTAGCATACATTTTTGGGATTAGTGGTAAATCCATTAGTGAATTAACGGCTCTAAAATTAATGGTTTCAGTTTCTCAAATGTCAAGATTTTCCATATTTCTGTTTTATATCATAAGTTATTATTTTTGTTTTTTGACTGTAGGTTGAAGCGAAACCAGAAATTAGAAGACATTACCACATGCATTTTTCATTATTTTCTGACATTTTATAGATTAAACTGTTTTTGCCGATAGGCTAGGATAGCTTTCTCAATAAACCAATGAATAGTTAAGTTCTAAAAACGTCTGAAAATACTAAAGAATTGGATATTTTTTTGACCCATGGAAACATCAAAGTGTCTGTTTTTATCAGAGGAAAAACACAAAAATATAAAATGTACAATGATTTATTTTCAGCCATCAGCTCCGGTTACTTAGCCCTGCTGATTTAGTAAATGCACATTTTAGGTATGAGCCAATTCACCTATACTATGAAGCATACCAATTTGACCTAACAATCGTTTAGTGTGTTCAGGGTGAGCATTCGATATCTAATGTAGGTTTCCATAAGTGTTAAACAATTTGAAAAAAATATTGGTCATCATTATTCTCATTTTCATTGAAATGTATATTCATTTGATTTTCTTCCTCAGGATCTGTTGGCCAGGATTTCTCTGCAGTACCAATACTTCAAGCAGAATGGTATTTGACACATATTCTGCCTTCAATTTAGTGCACTACTGCAAATTCAATAGCACTTCAGACTTCATTTGCATGTTGCTCCAATGTTGTGTTAAAAACAGCAACTAAATGTCAAGTATACTTAAAGAGAAACGTACTTTAGCCAATAAAAACAGTGTCACATAAGATCTGAAATAATGTGGCAGGTTTGCTTACAGTCTGTAAAACTCTGTGATAATGTAGGGTCAGGTATCTCAGGGTTTAAGCGCAAAGAACTCAGTTGCTACGAGTGCTGCAGAATGTAGGACAACACAGATGTTTGGGTGATAAGTCGAGAGGCAGCTGAAAGTTGGGAGAACATCGGCATGAAAAGAGCACAGCGTACACTGGCCACAGTCCCCGCCTCTTTATCTGGACAAATGACAGTTTTCTCTAATTACAATTTTAAGATATGCAAGAATTCAAAGTAGGATATCGTAGAGAAAACTTGGATGTTGTTTTTTCTTTTTTTACAGAAAACGTGCAATTGATAAAAGGTGATATTTAAGTGATGGACAGAAAGCAGTGAGGCACTGCGTACACACACCATATTACCGGGCGGGAAACCTTCAGAAAAAAATTCATGATTATGAATAATGATATTTTCTCCATCGTTTAAATAGACCCATATGTAAATATATAACAACTATGATACAGAAATCAGTACTTACACCATTTTGCATTTCATATAATTTCATCATGTAGCCTATATAGATCTATATTAAGATTCCTCACATGCCTGGACAAATTGTACACAAGTGTAGTCTTTTTTTTCTTTTTTTCAGAGTTTTCTTTTTGCGCGAACATTATTATCCCTGGGAAGTAGAGACCAAATCGAGCCCAGGGACAGGAAACAGGAGGATGTTGTGATTTGTACAGCGAAACGGAACAGAAACACCTGTAAGATGGTTGTTTACTCTTTCAAAGTGTTTAAAGACTGAAATGCTGCACAAGGATGGCTCAAACAGAGACTCTGCGTCATGCTGCCTTCAAATCCTCCGCCCTTCATCCTCCAGGCTCGGTGTGTTGCCTCAGAAATCAGCCGAGGATTCTGGGAGTGCAGATCAAGACGCGGCAGTCGCTCCATTGACAGATTCAGGTAAAGAGGCTCAGAAAGAGGAGCTGTATTCATTCCTTTACGTCCTTTGAGAGTCCTGAGGAGGTTTCTGCTTAGCCAAAAGTAGAAGTGATGATGATGATGATGATGATTTATAGTAGCTTTGAGCTGGGCGTTCATCCGCTGACAATAACACGGGGCTACAATCAGTACCGTAGCCGTAGCAGTGACCATTAAGAAAAGCTGCTATGAGGAAGAAAACACTCACTGGTAATCCCTTTTTAAAACTCCCCCTGAAGTGTTCCACAGCCGGCCACGGAGGAGGAGGAACATCCGGGTGGTGTTGCAGCACTGCAGGGGGGGGGGGGGGGGGGGGGGGGGGCGTCGGCAGCCCCCGCTGTGGAAAGGCACACCAGAGGAGGAGGGGCGGGGCGTCGATGATGATGACGATGTAGACAGAGGTGATGTTAGAAAGGTAGAAGGGGAACTCATGGGTCTTTAATGAAAACTGGAGGAAATGTTTGTTATTGTCTTTTGTTTGTTGGTAAAGTGTTATTTAGCTCAGCGCCTCGTCTCCTCACATCCGCGAGCCTCGCTCCTGGAGGATCTGTGAGGACACATGGAAATATAAGTCAGTGGAAATCAAAAAATCCCATAACATTTGCCATCATTTCAGGTCATTAAAGCTGCGGTGATCAAGGAATTGTGGACCTATCATGCTATATTTGAATAATATAGTGTAGGACCATACCTATATAAGGCATATTTATCCTTTTTCTTTTTCAAAATACCAAACAGGTCATGCATTTTAGCCATGCCTCATTTTGCTCAATTTGACAATTTCTAGCTCTGTTTTTGCAAGGGCAGATTCTGTGAGAACAGCACCACCTACAGGCCTGGCATATGTACTACAGCGTCTCCAGCGCTTTCGAACGGCAATGGCCGTGGCTGTCTCCTCCTGATTGGTGGAGTTGGCCCAATAGCCGTAGCGCCACTGTCCTGACGTCAGGACAGTGTTCAAATCTGGATCAGTTTTTATCTGAAAGGTCCCCTTTAAGGAGAACATTTATATTCAGGTTTAAGTTTCTCAATTGTGAGGATCAACTTTTCACTTCTCTTTTATATGATTTTTAAGTTGAATGTTTTGCTTTTTGAGTTGTAGGTAAAAAACCATGAACAACAAAGGAATCATGATATTTAAATTTGTTCTTTTTATCAATAAATCCCACAAAAAATAAAGTGGCTCTGATACACTCCGCTTCAAGTTCATTAACTCCTACTGATGTCAATCTGACAAAACAGCTCAAAAATATGTTTAATTTGATGAAGAAAAAAAAGGCTCAGTCAATTCCTTAAACAGCAGAAAAACATCACTCAAACAGAAAACATTTGTTAGAAACTACTTTCAGTGGCGGATTAATACACATTTGGTTTTGTAGGTCATTGATTCCCAACTTGTTTTCCCCTTCTCAGATTGTTACGTTAAGAGGTGAACAAGAAGTACGGTTCATATAAGGCTGTCCATGCAAGAAAAATGTTTGCTAGTATTTTTATGGTAGATTTTGTTTTTAATGGGAGTTGTTGACAAAAACAATAATATAGATTAGCGTGTGTAGCTACTCGTGATCAGCTCACCTTGGCCTTCTCGGTGGGCTCGATGACGATGCCGTTGGTGGAGTTGTTCAGTTCCCGGGAAACTACACATAGAAACTCTGCCTGGTCCTCGTTGCCGTAGTTATAAGAGGAGCCGATGCTTATGAGCTGAGGACAGGCAAAAAGACCAAAGTAAGAATTATGAAGTACACATTTATGTTCATTTAGTATTAGTATTCTTTCTGAGTTCAGCATTTCAAACATGATGATTGTCTTTTTCTCTCAGTTTTATAGAGCACGGGTTACATGTTGGATTGTTTAAATATATATATCCTTTATTTAACCAGGTAAAATAACTCATTGAGATTAAAAGGACATTTCCAAAGAACAATCAGAAAATCTACCAAAAATGTAAATAATTGAACCATTGCTATGAAAAGGCATTTACAGGCAATTTGTTTTGCTTTGATACGTAGCCAAAACATTATTAAACTGGCTTCCTAAAGATTAATCTTTTAGTAATAAATATCTTAGAATAACACGATAACAAAATATGTCTTTGAACCAAAACAGAGGCTCATATTAGACCTTCTTTCATGGTCCCACACATTGACCCAATTATTAATGCAAATCACAAACAAACCTGACCCTATATTGTCTGAATTAATAAGCCTAATCTCTAGACATTAGGCTTATATGAAGCATATTTAAAATGTTCATGTTTCATTCCCAATTTGAGCGCGTTTAGCATGGTTGCAATATTATTTTTGCAGGATATTGGGCACTATTGCCAAAAATGTGAATCCTACATATCAGCTCTGTTGAATACATTCACAATACTAAATATAAAACAAATCTCAAATAGATGCCTGAATATAATAAACTCTCTTTGCTTTTCTATTTGAAGAGAAGAACAAATATGTTTTTTGATAAATGTGCTCCAAACCGTAGCTTTGAAACAACTGATGCATGAACTGAAACATGACAACAGGGAAAACAAATGTGTATTTTGTGCACCTGCTCAAACTTCCAGCCGTCTGACATGGTAGAGACCATCTGTGTGAGTTCCTCCTCTTGGCACTGTAGTACTCGGTACACATGCTTCACAGGGCCCTGAGGGACAGAAACACACAGAACAACATCAACAATCTGCACACAGATCAAAGAAAGCTATTTTTGTTGTGTTTGTACTGGAGTTTTCTCTGTACCTGGGATGTTCGGTTCTCGTTGTCCCGTATCCTCTCTTTCACCAGCCTCACCAGTGATGCGATGTTGTAGAACTCGGCTTCCTCAAGAACGCCTGACACAAAAAATAGCCTTCATTGTGTGGTTTGTATACACTCAAAATGAATATTCACAGACAAAGATTTTGCATGATGTTTGAGCAAAATAAATCCTGATGAAAGTATTTTACCGTCCTCAGCCAGGTTTTTATCCATGATCAGTTTTCCGTGGCGAAGGTAGTTCAGGATGGGGCCGAAGTATGTGGGGTCCCTGTCGATCAGGTAGGCTCCAGTCTCATCCTGTGGGAGCAAATAAAGGGATGACATGTGTGACGGGGATTTGGTTTTCCTTATTGTAAATACTGTAGTCTCTTTGCAGAAATGGAAAAAGGGACAAAAGTTGAATCAGACCAGTCCAGGACGCTTTGAATAGGAGCCACACATCGACTATTTTAGTGTAAGAAGGATATTTTTGTATCAATAACAAGACATTTCATAACATTATTGCCGATTATATGTTTGAATCGAGAAATTAAGAAGCTGTTCAATTGCTAAATAAAGATAACGGATCAATATTATTGTTAACTCTCTACACATTTGTTTTCCAATGTCACAACAGTAGCTGTTAAAGTGTTTCTCTTTTTCAAATTAATTAGTATGTTGTTATGAATATCTTGCCAATCGACTGATGTTAAAATCTTTTTTTTTTACCAATTACCAAGTTTTTGCCTTTTGTTCTGGTGCTTTTCTTTGTCTTATGTGAAAGTAAACTGAGTTTCTTGTAAATATTGCAACACCCCAGTAAATGGAACTCAACTTGAGGATTTGTATTTCAAACTCTTCTCTTATTGACTGTAGGAGTATTTCTATATTTTTGTTTTGCTAATAGTTGCTAATAGTACATATTTCACCACTGCATATCACCAAAAAGACATTACAATTAGGACAAACGGATACATATCATGAAGGAAACAGTGAATCTCGCTTTTAGGATCCAAAGATACTTCTAGCTTTAGTTCTATAGGGCTTTATAATGAACACAACTATAAACAAATCCAATTAAGCCCAATAAGTTGTGTGTGTGCGCTCACTTTGTCGGAGTCCAGGTCGGGGTCTTCTTGACACAGTCGGGACAGGAAGGATTTGGGGTCCCGACACAGCGTCTGTTTGGTCGTGACGAAGTAGGTCCCGCCGACGTTCAGGCGAACCCAGCGCGAGCCCGGCTTGTCCGCCGGTTCGGACGGGGAGCTCGGGTTGCTCTTCCCCGGGAACCCAAACACAGAGCGTCCGCCGCTGCCGCTCGACACCCCGCCGGGGCTGAGCTGGCTGCTCCGCGGAGGAACCATGAGAGTGGGCGACGCCAGGCGCACCGAGCCCCGGACATCGCGGTGCTGCTCGGGCTGCTCTATGGTGCCAGTGCCGCTCGACTCCACGACATGCAGTTCAGCCATGTTTTTCTATTCGTCTGAAAAGCACACACGATTAGCTAACGACACACTGCGGGGAAACACTTTCGCCCAGCCGATTTGTAAACAGAGCGGAGAGGGTATTTTTCTCCGACGGGGCGGCTGGCATCAGGGCGTTGCTGCTCGCGCTCGACCGCCTTTGTCTCTCCAGCGCCGAAGATTAAGACACGGATATGATTATCAAAGGCTGTACGATGTTAGCAGCATCGCGTTTAATCGTTTCTGCTCAAGATAAATTGCTCATTCTTGTCTATTCAAACGTTAATCAGAGAAAGGCACCTCTTCCGGGTTGTAACGTGATTACTGTTTACTTCCGCTGTGTCGTCGTTTTTCAAAATAAAAGCTAAAAGTAATATTTGGTAGGTGGAAGTTTAGCCTCCCAAATAATAGCATTTATTAAAATGTTAATATATGTGAAATAATATAGAGAAATCTGCACAGATATTGCACAGATGCCCTGCACCAACATTTTGCACTTTCCCCCTACAAAAACACACAGTGTTTATAAAAAATGTGTAATTAAACATTTATTTTAAAAGTATAACAAATATATCTTATTTAACAGGCATCGTTTGAGTGTGATACCTTTATTTTTACATTAATAATGATATAGCCATATATATAAGACAAATCATAAATGACAGAAAGGGACATATATTTCACAGTATATAGCTTAAAATTACACTTATATTTATATTTATGATAACATAATTTTCTCCATCATTGTAAATTAATTCCCTTTCTGTTCCCTTTTTTTGGGTATATTTTTCTTTATATTTATGTTCTATAAAAATAAGAAATAAAAGCATTGTTGTAGTATTCTTTTTTAACCTTTGGAGGGCAGTGTGGCGCCGTTCCCGCCCCTATTACAGCAGCAGAAGAAGAAGAAGAAGGATTTGACTGGTTGTGGGCGCGTTTGGTGCTTGTTTGCTGTTGTATTGAAACAGACACGGCTGACAGGTATAGTGCTTGTTGAGACTCTGGTTACACCTGTAATAAGGCTTATTATTACTGAGTAGCGTTGTTATTACAATTCAATGAATTATATATGTCATGCTTTATAAGCTAGCTACGCAGTTAGCATCCTAATGGTTTATTTTACCCGAGGCTGTCACCAAGCTAGCATCAAATAACTGTTGACTGTTAGCTCAGCATCACAGCTCGTAAGAGAAGATGGTGCACGCACGCATTTAAAATATCTGGTTGAGACTAAATCTGTTAAATTAAATAAGTTGGTCAGTAGGAGCCATCTCTATATGGGGCTAGTCTATTCTCTTTATTGTTTCATTTAATAAAGTGTGTGTTATTCCAGCTGACTAAGCCATGAGTGAGTTCAGGATCCACCATGATGTGAACGAGCTGCTGAGCCTGCTCCATGTCCGAGGAGGTGATGGAGCAGAGGGCTACATCGACCTGCTGCAGAAACACAGGACTCCCTATGTCAATACTACAGTGTCTTCTCACAGTGCTAAGGTGAGAGTTAACAGACATGCTTTAGTATAACTTCATAAGCAGGCAAAAGTCTTACAATGTGACAGACTTGACCATGAGCTCCCGAAAGTGATAAGGTGGCATGAAAGGATGATATTAAGAACTTGTGCAGGCCTCATTGGCCAACAAAATGTTTTTTTAATCAAATGTTTCTGCATCAACTGCAGTTTGCACTTTGTTGAGTTCATGCTTGTGTCGCAACTTATGAAGATGGATACATAAATATGAATGACTGAGACATCTCTTTGCATGTGCTATTCATGTTTATTGTTTAAAATACATGGCTGGATCTGGATGAACAATGGCATAATTGTAGTCTATAACATAAATACATCTTTCTGTCGAAGGAACCACAACAATTTTGAAATGTGTTGCTAATTGTGAATATATTCCTATATTGTCTGTTATCATTTTCAGGTAAAATTAGCTGAGTTTTCTAAAACCCCCGAGGACTTCTTGAGGAAGTACGAGGAGCTCAAGTCCAAAAATGTTCGAAACCTCGACCCTCTTGTCTACCTGCTGTCCAAACTCTGTGAGGATAAAGAGGTAACACATTGTTTACAAGCAGCTTATTATCTGTTTTTCTTTGTTTATTACATCCGATAAACTTACTTCACACTTTGGTTTAATGGATTTTAGGTGATCACGATGTAAAGAATGAATCCTATTTTTGATATGGTCAAATATATATATATCATTCCTCTCTCAACAATGGGAGTAGTGTCAACAGAGATAAACCTCCGTTTGACCTCATTTGTTAAGCTTTCTTATCACAGTGTCTCACAGCTATGTCATGATATTCTCCGTAGACCCTCCAGTTTCTGCAGCAAAATGCCAAAGAGAGGTCAGAGTCATCCACAAACACCACGACAACCACGACCACCAGCTACAGTCTGCCTCAGACCAGCACCAAGATGTCCATGCAGGAGCTGGACGAGCTGCGGAAGAAGCTCGGCAACGTGACGGCCAGCTCCAACGCTCCACTGGTGAGCAATTATAACTCAGATGCATCAGATCTGAGGTTAGGTTAGCCCAAGACAATGTAGAATAGGCCATTCAGATGAAGTCAACCTGGATGGAAATGATTTCTCTTGGAGGGTTTAGTGGGTTTAGTGATGTTAGGGGTTCAATTATTTTCAATCCCATCTAGAGGTATATGCGTGCTTTTCTTCCTCTACCTCAACAGAGTCAACAACCTACTCTTTTACGACACACTTGCTGTTTAGGCCATTATTAAGGTCCCATCAGGACTCAAAGCCTATGACAAGAGAGTCAATCATAACAATACTAGGTTAAAATGACATTTTGCCTTTTTATCGGCTCTTAATTAATCCGCCTCTCTTTGTCATTTGTGTTTTCTGTAGCCTGCTGAAGTCACACGGAAGATGCTGAGGGACAAACACAACAAGAAGAACCCCACCCTGCCCAACCCTGTGTTTCCTAACTGGGTGTACGACCGTCCTGCTCTCCTCGGAGACTTCATCACCAGCTCCGGCCCCACAGGAGATCCAGCTGTGGCCATCGGTAAGCCAACACATTGGAAATGAATTTCTGCTCCGTGCAGTCTGCAGCCCGACACTAGCTCATTATCCACCTGACTGGATCATCATCGACCTGAAATGAGTTGTGTTCTACTTCAAAATACTGTATTTGTTGTTGTTGTTGGTGTTTATACCTGGGTTTTCTGCGCTCAGGTACGATGCCCCTGCCTGCTCAGGAACAAGCTCTGGTGGAGGATCTGCTGTTTGTCCTGGTTGGTGTTGATGGGCGGGACATCACAGCTCAGCCTGTCCTGGGGAGGCAGAACCGCTCCTTCATCGTGGATTCAACGCTGGACATGTCCATCAAAGAACTGGTTAACAGAATATTACCAGTTGCGTCGTATTACTCCACTATAACACGGTAAGAATATAAATATGTCAGTTGTTCATATACATTTATAATCTGAGGATACATTATCAGATGGTTCTGTTGTGTTCATCCTTCAGCTTCATTGAGGAGAAGTCGTCCTTTGAGTACGGCCAGGTGAACCACGCGCTGACGGCGGCCATGAGGACCCTGATGAAGGAGTACCTGATCCTGGTCACTCAGCTGGAGCACCTGCAGCGGCAGGGCCTGCTGTCCCTGCAGAAGCTCTGGTTCTACATCCAGCCCACCATGAGGACCATGGAGATACTGGCCTCCATCGGTGAGACTGATCAAAATGTTTGTCTTTGATTGGGGCAGTGTTCATTTTAATAATGAAAACTACGACTAAATATGTTTTGCTAACGTTTATTTAAGTAATATTGTTGACAAAAAAGACAAGATTAAATGTAGTTTAAAAACAAAATATGTATTTGTCTGGCCTGACTAAAACAAAACTAAAATAGTCATGTTTTTTTTTTATCCAGATCCAACTAAAATACCCAGACTTTTAGTCAACTAAAACTTAGCAACCAGAATGTAGTTAACAAAATATGATAAAAACTAACAAGGACATTTGACAAAGGACTAAGAAGGAATAAATCAAAAATACCTGACAAAAGTAACTCTAATTCAGTGTGACCCAGCAGTTTGAGCTCAGCTGTTGATGTCAACATTTCATCCCTAAACAATACAAGTTAAAACTAATAACGTGTGTTATACCCTGGGGTGATTCTTTACTGTTTGAAGATAGAATTGGTTAGGAAATGTTTTTGTTATTTCCTATAGATAACTGCACTAATCAAACCGGTACCTTTTTTAAAATATGAAATCGTTTTTCTTCCACTCATTTCACAGCTTCCTCGGTGGACAAAGGGGAGTGTATGGGGGGGGGCGACACTGAGCCTCCTCCACGACCGAACCTTCAACTACACCGGGGACAGCCAGGCTCAGGAGCTGTGCCTCTACCTCACTAAAGCAGCCAGCGTGCCCTACTTTGAAATACTGGAGAAGTGGACCTACAGGGGCATCATCAAGGATCCATACAGGTACAGTTTACACTGATGCTCAAAAATAACAGATTACACTTGTATTTTACGACGGGTATTAGGACCATTGTTGTTGAGAGTCAAGAGGGGGGGTAAAATGATTTGAAAAAAATCTGAATTTTCAATGTAAAACTTTTCCAAGAAAGAACTCTGACGATGAAGTTCCTTCAACAATTATGGGTAAAAAGATTACACCATTTTCTTGATTAAAGAGTATATTTGTCATTTTAAGCTCGTAAAGTCCCTCTGCCAGTCCCATAAAACATATTTGTTTTACCCTACAGTGGCCCCTCTATCATAGTATCTACTCCGTGTTTCAATCTGATTTACTTCTATTGTCTATATTTCCCCCCCACAGTGAGTTCATGGTGGAGGAGCACGAGCTGCAGAAAGAGAAGATTCAGGAGGACTACAACGACAAGTACTGGGATCAGAGATACACCATTGTACAACATCGCATTCCTTCCTTTCTACAGAAAATGGCAGACAAGATATTAAGCACAGGTAAAAAACAAACTAACAAACAAATGTAAAACAGTAAAAAAACCCTCTCTTAAACAAGATATTGATTTTCTTTCTCTGTCATCTTGTAGGGAAATACCTGAATGTGGTGCGGGAGTGCGGCCGCGATGTGACGTGTCCTGATGCTAAGGAGGTGCTGTACACCCTGAAGGAGAGGGCCTATGTGGAGCAGATAGAGAAAGCTTACAACTACGCCAGCAAGGTCCTGCTGGACTTCCTCATGGAGGAGAAGGAGCTGGTGTTACGCCTCAGGTAGATGCTGAGTGGTATTTGGAACCAAGGGAGATAAGAGATAGTATTCAGTCTTTCAAAAGCCCTAGTGTCCTTTATGGAAGCATCTGCAT